AAGAAGAGTACTACGAAGAAGAGTACTACGAAGAAGAGTACTATAAAGAAGAATACTACGAAGAAGAGTACTACGAAGAATACCGCGAAGAAGAATACTATAACGTAAAAGTAGCTAAATATCTTTATAGAGCCTACTATAACGTCGCGCGCGCGTACCCTAGCGCGTAAGATTTAAGAAAATATCTAGATTATAGAGGAGACCGAGAGAAGAAAGTACGATTAGAAGCGTAAGCGTAAGGCTAGTCGAATAAGTAAAAAATAGTAGACGAAATCTAGAAAGCGGTATAATAAGCGGCGTACGAAGAAAAAGAAGAACGATAGCGACGAGAGTATATTTTAACGTAATAGCGAAGATAATAATAGTAGCGAAGATAATAATAGTAGCGAGTAAACGAGGCGTTATTATATAAGAGCGAGCGATATACGTAGCTAGATTATTATAGTTAGAAGTTAGCTAAATAGATTTTAGAATTATAGAGCTTTATAGAGCGTCGGGCGTAATCGTATAAAGAGTTAAGTAGTTTCTAGGGCTACGGAGTTCCGCGAAGCGATAAGCGCGTCGTAATTTAAAGATTTATATATAGTATATTCTTAGGGCTAGAGCTTCGTAGAGGGGTAGGCGCGATCGTAATATTAAAGATTATACCTAGTATACCGTTTTTAGGGCTACGGAGTTCCGCGAAGCGATAGACGCGTTATAATATTAAAGATTATATATATCTAGTATATTATTTTTAGGGCTACGGAGTTCCGCGGAGCGATAGACGCGTCGTAATATTAAAGATATATATTCGGTCTTTAGTCGCGTGGCTAGTTTCTAGTATTTAGTTAGCTTAGAGCGTCTAGCTTACTTATAATATCTACTTTAGAGCTTAAGTCGGTTTAGTCGTTATAGCGCTTAGTAGAGTAGTAGTAGTCTACGTATAGCTATAAAAGTAAGCTTACTATATAGGCTTAGAGTAAATATAGAAAGAATATCTTTAGCTAGGGGTAGTACTACCGTCGCGCGCTATATTATCGTTAAAACCAATATCCTTATTAGAGATAGTATTAGTATTTATATTTTTAGAACTATAAAACTTCGCGGAGGAATAGGCGCGGTCGTAATATTAAAGAGTTAAATAAATTTTAGAGCTATAGAGTTCCGCGAAGCGGCTTAAAGCGATAGACGCGACCGTAGAACGATAGACGCGATCGTTATTAAAGAGTTAAATTATTTTTAGAGCTACGGAGTTCCGTAGAGCGACGTAGAGCGATAAACGCGGCCGTAGAGCGATAGACGCGGCCGTAAAGCGATAGACGCGGCCGTAGAGTAATAGACGCGATCGTTATTAAAGAGTTAAATTATTTTTAGAGCTACGGAGTTCCGCGAAGCGACGTAGAGCGATAGATATAGCCGTAGAGCGATAGGCGCGGCCGTAAAGCGATAGACGCGATCGTTATTAAAGAGTTAGATTAATTTTAGGGCTATAGAGTTCCGTAGAGCCTTTATATTATTTATTATTATTTATATAGCGCTCCGCGAAACTACTTCGTAATATAAAATCTAATCTACTAACTCTTTAATATTACGACTACGTCTATCGCTTCGCGGAGTTCCGTAGCCCTAAAAATAATATACTAAATATAATCTTTAATCTTATAACTACGTCTATCGCTCTAAGCCGCTCCGCGGAACTCCGTAGGCCTAGAAACGATATACTAGATATAATCTTCGATCTTATAACGCGTTTATCCCTTTATAAAGCTCTATAGCCTTAAGAATCTACTAGATATAATCTTTAATATTATAACTACGTCTATCGCTTTAAGCCGCTTCGCGGCGCTTCGCGGAACTCCGTAAGCCTAGAAACGATATACTAGATATAATCTTTAATATATTACGACCGCGTCTACTTCTTCGTAAAGCTTTATAGCCCTAAGAATCTACTATATATAAATCTTCGATATTACGACGCGCTTATCGCTCCGCGGAACTCTATAAGATAAAATATAATAATAAGTTCTTAAGCTATCTATATATCTTTATCTAATTCGATACCGCTTATACCTATATTAGAGGATATATAAGCTATATCTCTCGTCTATCTTCTCTTCTTTCTCTTCGTTATATAATTACGTCCGTCCTTACCGATAGAAGATAAGTATACTATAGTATACCCCGTATCTAGTATCTAAGCTATAGACGCTAGGCGGGATAGCGCTCGAGAAGATTCTTACGTATTCTATTAAATAGAGCTTTTAAGGAGCTATATAATTCTTACTTTTCTTTCTTTTCTTCTTTCTCTTCGTTATATAATTAAGTCCGTCCTCGCTAATAGAAGATAAGTATACTATAGTATACCCCGTATCTAGTATCTAAGCTATAGACGCTAGGCGGGGTAGCGCTCGAGAAGATTCTTACGTATTCTATTAAATAGAGCTTTTAAGAAGGTATATAATCCTTACTTCTCTTCTTTTTCTTCTTTCTCTTCGTTATATAATTAGGTCCGTTCTCGCCGATAGAAGATAAGTATACTATAGTATACCCCGTACTTAGTATTTAAGCTATAGACGCCGGGCGGGGCGGAGTAGCGCCTAAGAAGCTATATAATTCTTACTTCTCTTTCTTTCCTTCTTCTTTCTCTTCGTTATATAATTACGTCCGTCCTCGCCGATAGAAGATAAGTATATAGTAGTATTAGGGGTTACCCCGTATCTAGTATCTAAGCTATAGACGCCGGACGGGGCGGAGTAGCGCCTAAGGAGCCCTCGTATAGCGAAGGTATACCTCGTTAGAAAAAAAGAGCGGTCTACTAATTAGTACGGCTATATCTAGTATTCTAAAGCTCCGTAGAGCTATAGATTAATTTTACTACTTCTTAAAGTTCCGCGGCGCTTATAGCTATACTAATTCTCTATAACTACGATATAAACTTATCTACTTTTATACCTTATCTATTCTTATATTTTATCTATTCTTATACCTACGCGTAGTAGATAAGTAAAACTATATAATACGAACTACGTACTTCTACTACCTTACGTAATCGCGCTAGTAGCTAGTAGTATATATCTATTCTTATATATTTATACGCTAGCCGCTTCTACTCTATTAAAGATCGCTTCTACTCTATCGGGGGTTACTTTTATTCTCTTAGATAGTATCGCGGGTTACTTCTACCTCTATAGATCTATACGTACTAGACTCTATAATATTAAATCTTACTCTTTAAAAGCTCTTCTTTTCTTATTCTTCTTCTTTTCTTCTTCTTTTTCTTCTTTAGCTTACCGCCGCCTTCTCTACCGTCGTAAGCCTATACTCTTATTTCTACTACTCTCTACCCGCCGCCGTAATATCTAATAACGAGACTAATACCTAGTAAGAGCTTAAAGAAGCTTTCGATAAACTCTCTTTATCTACTTCTCTTTTACTTTATACGCCGCGCGTTTAATATATTCTACGTACTTTAAGTATTACGGTCCTCTAGTCTAAAGTCGTTATAGAATACTAGTATCTTCTTTTCGTATCTCGATACTAGAATTATCTTTTCGTATCTCGATACTAGTATCGTCTTTCTATATCGCGATCCTAGTATCTAGTTCTAGATATTCGATTTCTAGATTTAGTTTTCTAGTATAGAGCGGCTAGTTAGATAGCCGTACGCTAGAGTAGATAGAGATTCTCGATCCTCGTAAATCGAGATACTATTATTATTTATACTTTTTCTTACTTAAGACTCTATCTATCGTAATTATACTCTAGATAGTATTACTAAGAGCTTAGCGTCTTTTATAACGTCCGCCTACGCTATCTAGTAGGCCGAATACGGCTTTTAGTAATATAAACGTTAGTAGCGTAACTCGCCGCGGCGCTACTTTAACTATCTCTTTATAAGTCTAATCTTATCTTATCTTACCTTATCTTACTAATAATAAAATAGTATAGCTTTCTCTAGTAATATATTCGATATATCTTTACGCTTATTATCGCCCGCGCTTCGCCGTCGTACTATTCTATAGCCGTAGCCTTAGCCTACGCCTATCTTAGATCTTCGTCGTCTAATAACTCGTAATAAGCGGAATTTTTAGTATTATTCGTAGAATAAGTAGAATAAGCGGTTAAGATCGGATAAGAAGATTAATAAGAATTATATAAGAGCGTACGCGTACGCTAGCCTTATTATAAAGACTAAGTAGAATATTAAGTAAGATCCGCCTTATATAGCGTACTAGACTAAAGAGTAGAAGTATAAGACCTTCGCTTTTAGTTAAAATCTCTTAACTTTAGGCGCTTACGCCTATTATCGCGTTAAAAAAAGCACCTATAAGATATCTAGTTAAGGAGATAGTAGAGAGTAGAAATCGGCAATTTCTAGGGCTAAGTTCGATACTCTAGTTTAGAAGATAGATAAGTAAAAGGCGCTTATTAATAGTTAGACGACTTTAATCGAGGCGTTAACGGCGAGTAATATTAGACTTTAAGAGCTTATAGATAAGATTCTACGGAGGTATTAGATAGTTTAGCTTATATTTATAGGTGTTTAGGAAAAGGGCTAGGGTTTTACTACTTTAATACCTAATTTTACGAGTTTCTCTAATAAAGTAATAAACGTAATAATATAGTACTAAAATATTATATATTTTATATAATATATCGTATATACGATATATTGTATATTTTACGCGATATTAATATTCTCGCTAAAAATACCTAACCCTATTTATATATTTTCGTGTAAAATACGCGATATATTATATAAAACGACGCAAACCACGAAATATCGTGTATTTTATACGATATATCGTGTAAGGATCGCCCGTAGTGCCCTACAAGCCAACCCTACCATCGATCTACCGACCATCCCGCCCTACCTACGATACCTGCGTGCACCGGCACCCCTTATCCTTTTCGCCATACTCGTCGCCCTCTACGCCGGTCGCACACGCTTCACCTCTCGCTCGTCTTCCTCATCATCGCCGACGCTGCCTGGGACCGCCGCCGCGGCGAATATCATCATGCCCCGCAACAGCACCAGCACGACGTACTCGAACGCGACGGCGACGGCGGCGGCCATGATCCCGTCGTCGACGGTGCCGTGGCCGCGCACCTTCACCGACGGCCTCCCGCTGCCGAAGCTGCTGGTGTTCGACCTCGACTACACGCTGTGGCCGTTCTGGGTGGACACGCACGTCACGCCGCCGCTGAAGGCCGAGGCGGGCGGGCGGAAGGTAAAGGATCGGTACGGCGAGCCGTATGGGTTTTATCGCGATGTTGGGGGCGTGCTCGTTGCGGTGAGTCTCTTTCGTTCTTCCCTTGTTCCTTTTATTTTTTTCACTTTTGAGGAAAACGAGAGAAGGGGGAGATGGATAGAAGCTCATGGGTGAGGTCTCACAGGCACATGACAAAGGCCTCAAGATAGCGGCCGCGTCGCGCACACACGCACCGGAGCTGGGCCGAGAGATGCTGTCGTTGCTGCGCGTATCGACTGGCAACGGCGGCGAGGAGACGACGGCCAAGGGCGGCGCGCACGACAACAAGAACAGCGAGAAGGCCATCTCGTTTTTCGACTACCTGCAGATCTTCCCCGGCAGTAAGACGACGCATTTCGCCAAGATACACGAGGCGAGCGGGATCGAGTACGAAGACATGCTGTTCTTCGACGACGAGGCGAGAAACCGGAACGTCGAGACGCTGGGAGTTGTCATGTGTTTGGTCAGGGATGGGGTCACGAGGGATGAGGTGGATAGGGGCGTTGAGCTGTGGAGGAAGAGGAACAAGAAGGGAGACGTCCATGCACCCAGATCATGATTTCACGAGCGATTGGCATTGATGCATATTCGATCATAGAGGACGATAGAGCAAGCTATCTAGATGGCATGAAAACACCCCTTGCGTTTCCTCGCTTTTTCCTTGAAATTTTAACTTGTTCTTTTTGTAAGAGGTGGTGTTTAAATCACGAAGTTTGTCTTAGGTTCGAAATGCTTCGGACAGGCTTTCTTGTCTGTCCGGGCCACGATACTGGCGCCCAATCAACACAACAAATCAACGAAGACGGCAGATGCGTTATTGGCTGATGTCTTTGCGTTCCTGCCCGAGACTGAAAGCAGAGAAGTGCGGCCCAGTGGCAAGACTGGGGGTGCGTCTTAGTCTGAGCTTGTTTGAGCTTCTAAGCTGCAGCAAGATGTGGCCCAAGGAGCTTGCAGGTTATTGGCGGAGATTTAGCACCGCCGTGTCTTGCATTACAGGGAGGCAATGAGTACAATAACCGGGGTTGTGCTCCGACCCGCTTTATCACTTCTGCGGTGAGACGCTACGATGCATCCGTTATCCGGCTCTTACCTCTCTTGTCACGGTGATGGACGGCGTCTTCTCCGCAACACCGCTTCTTTGGTCGTCACAATACTTGTGCGTACAATGTGGCTCTCGTTGTTAAAAGTGTTGGCGATCGGTTACATGGAGCAGACATGGGTGGCTACGAGGATCATAAAGGCCATGCCTTATCCGACTCATTTGCCTACCATTCAGGAACTGGATCATCGCTGTGCGATACCTGTACGAGACAGACGTATGCACTCATCGTTTTGCAATACGCGGTGGAAGATTGACGCGAAGACACTGACAGATATTCAACTAGAGCAATCTACTTCATTAACGGACCGTTATCCCTCAGTTGCTTGGGCAGCGGGATGATTTTCCTGGACGTATTCGAACGGGTCTGAAACTCGCACAGGTCCGGCAATTTGCTTCACCTGCCGGGTCAGGAAGAAGGTAGCGTCCTCGATAAGACACAAAGGGGTAATCGTTTGGTAGTCTTCCACGGGCCTGTACGGACGTGAGGATAGGCCGTCTGTACCCGGTATAGATCTACTCCTCCTTCTCTGGGGGGAAGTTGATTCTCTGATTTGCGATCTGCACACGGAAACGAGCTCGGAGCAGATGACAGACCACGGCTCGGTTCGACTTGTCTTGCACGCGGAAGTCCAAGTAGCCGAGTCCGAGATGGCTGCCGGTCGAAGGCGGAAGAAGTTTTCCTGGCGCCAGGATGGCAGCTGCCAAACACGCCGCACGTTGAAACAACAGCGTAGGATGGGAGAAAGCCGGTGAAGCGGCGTGCAGGAAATAGACGGATTGACAAAGACAGGAATCCGGAGCGAGCCAGCGCAGTGCTGCATGTCAATGGAAGGCCTGACGGGCTAGGCACGCGAAGACAGCTCCTCGACCGGGCGGTCTGAGATTCGCGGCTGGGATCAATTGGGGTTGAGCTCTCCTGACGAGTCGAGGAGGAGGCAGAGGAGGGCATCAGGCTGGCGGTCGACTCGGGGCAAGCTCTGGATTGCGCAAGGCCCAAGGGTGCAGAGGCCCAAAACGGGGCATCAGGCTGAGGATCCTCGCATCCTGTAAGCGCATCTGGCGAGGTCCAGCGACGGCGACGGCGACGGCGACGGGCTTGGCATTCCGCGGTAGTTGAAACAGGAGAGTGCACAGCGGGACGGGGGAGCGTCGGCGCGGAGGAAAGCACAGCGCGTGGCAGGCGCGTCCACCGGCATGCGTTTCAGACACACACTTGCCGACCGGCGCCAAGAAGCCACGCCTTTCCCCTGCTCTTGGCACTGTTTTAAGCACCCTCCCGCCTGAGAAATTTCCACCAACGCTCGGCCGCCGCGCCACAGCACCGCCCACTGCGGGCAAGCGCCGCCCGAGGACGCGCAATGGAAGCCCGGACGTCATCTGCTCTCCGCAGTCCGTGAGACCGTTTTGCCCGCCGTTCGGCGCCGCGCCGTGCGAGAGCAGGAGAGGGCGAGAATTAAACGAGCCCGCGCCAGCGCCTGCGAGACGCCGACGTTCCGCATCCCTCACTGCCCAGGGGTGGAAACACTGCCATGTACAGCAACACCCACTGCAGATCGCGCCCGCCGCATGGCGCCAACAGTGATCCGACATTCGTCCCACAGTCGATGCCTGTGCTCTGCTCGCCCGCCGATGCGGAGGCCATGCCTGGCCGCGTCTGCCATGTGCTCCCTGTCGGCACTCCCACCAGCCAAACCGCTGTGAGGTTTCATCTATTCCCCACATTGCCAAGTGGAATTAGATTGGGGCATAGCCGTGTGTCTTCTTCGGGGGCCACCGGGCTCCGTTTGTTTGGTGGACCACGTAATCCCAGCCTGGTCGTACGTCCAGCCAGCCGCCCTGGTATCATGAGAAGCAGGAACAGGAGCAGCACTCCTGTATAAAGACGGCGGCCGGCCGGCTCCAGACCATCTTTTTTCTCCAGGCAAGCATCCTCTTTCTTCAACACTCTCTTTCGTTCGCAACCTTCCACTCTTTTCCCAAAGTCCAACCGAACAGATCTGTGATCGTTCGTATTACATACACGCCCTCAGCCAAAATGTTGTCCAAGACTCTTCTCCCTCTGCTCGCCGCCTCTGGCGTCGTCTCTGCCGTCCGGACCAAGACCTTCGGCAAGAACCTCGTCCGCCGTGCCGACTTCCCCATCCCCGACTCCCAGGGCTCCGTCACCTACGACGCGGCCGAGGAGATCTCGGGCGAGTTCGACGGCGGCTACAAGACCTACGACCGTGGTGTCAGCTGCACTGGCCAGGACGAGGGCGGCGACTCGGACGCCGTCTTCATCCTTGCCGACGGTGCCACGCTCAAGAACGCCATCATTGGTGCCAACCAGATCGAGGGCGTCCACTGCGAGGGCTCGTGCACCATCGAGAACGTCTGGTGGGAGGTGAGCTTCTCCGCCCATGTGGATTGATGTGTCGAACTGTGGCTGACGATTGAATTGCAGGCTGTCTGCGAGGACGCGCTCTCCCTGAAGGGCGATGGCGACGCCACCATCACCGGCGGTGGTGCCACTGGTGCCGAAGACAAGGTGATCCAGCACAACGGTGTCGGCTCTGTCAGCATCGACGGCTTCACCGTCGTCGACTTCGGCAAGCTCTACCGCTCTTGCGGCAACTGCGACGAGATGGGCGAGCGCAAGGTCACCGTCAGCAACGTCGTTGCCTCGTCCGGCAAGGTCCTCACTGGCATCAACTCCAACTACGGCGACACTTCGACCATCACCGGCACGTGCGCCACCGATGTCAAGGCCATCTGCACCGAGTACGAGGGCAACAACACTGGCGACGAGCCCGAGGAGATCTCGTCGGGTGTCTCCGACGCCTGCATCTACTCGGACCCTCTTCCCGAGTGCTAGATGTTCTCTTTGTCACCACAAGCGGTGTCTTGACTTGACGGGTGGGGGTCCGGTGAGACGGGAAGGTGTTTCGAGTCTCCCGGAAGGCGGAGGTGGGCTTTGGTCTTCGTTGTAAATTGTAAACTTGTCTCCAAAAATAGGATGTGTACCTGCTTTTGCAAATGCTCGTCTTGTTGCAGTTGTGATTATTCCATGGTTCGTAGTCGAAGCCAAGATGGACCAAGGCGAGGCGTGAGCGAGTCAGCGCAGGACAAGAAGACTGTTTTGGGAAGGATGTACCTAGGGACCTCTGGGCGATCTGCCAAGCCGCTGCTGAGTCGGGAGATTGGCGAAACGCACTCGGGAAACCATCGACTCTTGACAACAACAACAACACCAGACGCCAAGCATCACCAACGGACAGCAGCCAACGTCGATATAAGGTTGTGGTCTGTGTGATGGGCGATCGGGGGTTTTTCTCGCACGCATGCACGCATGCACGCCACATCCCCATTCTCCTTCCCCACATCGGACGCATTGCTGCTTTGTCGTTCGCGGCTTAATCTACCTAAGCTTATTACACATTGCATCTTTCTCGCCCTTTGGCCGCGTGCCGCTGCAGCCGTTGCAGCCGGTTTGGGGCGTGCCGACTTAGCCGGGACGCCGGACCCCATTCGCAATATGGACGGGTGGCGCTGCCCCGCCACTACCATGCAAAAACACTCGATCCAGATCTTAAGGGCAGCGGACAATTTCGACTGACGGCTGTTCGCGTGCCTGGGCGAAGGCGGCGCCACAGCGCGAGAACAGAGACAAACGCGGCTCGCTTCAGAAATCTCGCACAGACTTCATCTCCACGGAACGAGGTCCGGACTGCTCGGTGCCCGTTCGGGAACGTGGCATCATCGTGGCATTCAGACAATGTGTTAAGTGCAGCAACTTCGAACGTCGGACACACGTTTCCTTTACACGACGTTTGGGAGGCGGCCAATCATGCTTGACGCAACAGCCGTCGTGCCACCGCCCTTACCTCTCATTTATGCAGGTACCCCCACCCAATCGCTCAAGCTCAAGTTGCTTCACAGGCAGAAGTCATTGCCGCGCCAAAGAGGCCGGTGTCTGGATTGGCTATACAGACAACAACCGTCCTCCGGCCGAACACGTCCGGCTGACCAAGATGGTTGCCTGGAATAGCAAGAGGAGGGGATCCCTGCACCGCTGTTGAGCCAAGACTGCGGGGCATTAAGACGTACGTCGCCCCGCGGACCGAGGACCTCCACCTACTTCCTTCCTCACTCCGTCTGCCCAACCCACCCCGATGGCTTCGCTCGAGGAAACGTTTCAAGACGCCTGCCAGGCTCGCCAGCTCCCAAATGCCGTGCTGATCTCCGCCAACAAGACCGGCAAGTACTTCACCCGCCTTTCCTGCCTCCACACGACCCGCTGACGCTTTCTTCCTCAGCCAGCTTCAAATATGAGCAGGCTTTTGGAAAGCGATCCCTGCTCCAGGACGGCGACCAAAGCCCCGTGGACCCTGACTCCGTCATGTGGATCGCCTCGTGTACCAAGGCAATGACCAGCGTTGCTGCCATGCAGTGCGTTGAGCGTGGCCAGCTCTCGCTCGATGCCCCCGTCTACGACCTTCTCCCCGAGCTTCGTGATCTGGAAATCATCGAAAGCGTCGACGACGATGGTAACATCAAGACGAAGAAGAACCCGACGCCCATTACCCTGAAGTCTGCAAATTCACTCCAACGATCAAACCCCTGTGCTGACCCGACGCATCCAGACACCTCCTCACCCACTCGTCCGGCATCGGCTACGACGAGATGAATCCACTCCTCATGGCCTGGCGCAAGGCCACCGGTACCAAACCCGGCGGCGCCACCCTCACCGAGCGCTTCACCTACCCGCTGCTCTTCGAGCCCGGCACCGCATGGATGTACGGCGCAAGCGTCGACTGGGCCGGCCGCCTGGTCGAGCGCGTGACCAAGACCAACCTGGAAGCCTACATGAAGCAGCACCTGTGGGCCCCACTCGGAATCACCGACTTCACCTTCCACCTGCGCTCGCGCCCAGACCTGGCCGCGCGCATGACGGACCTCAGCGGCCGGCCGAAGCCCGGCGCAGAATGCGTGCACATGCGCTCGCCCTTCCTCTTCCCGGACGTCGTCGACGACCTCGGCGGCCAGGGCGTCTTCGGCACCCCGCGCGAGCTGTTCAAGTTTGTGCACGCCCTGCTGCTGGCCGCCAACGACGGCGACGAACGCCTGCTCAAGCGCGACACGCTCGAGCAGCTCTTTACCCCGCAGCTGACGCCCTCGTCACGCGCCGCCCTGGCCGCCATCATGAAGGCGCCCGAAGGCGAGCGCATCCTGCCTGCCGCCAGCTTCGCGCCCGAGACGGGCATCGACTGGGGCCTCGCGGGCCTGCTCATCACCACCGATGTCCCCGGCTGGACCCACGCCGGCACGTTGCTGTGGTCCGGCTTGCCCAACTTGAACTGGTGGGTCGATCCGAAGGCGGATTTGGCCGTCGTGTATGCGAGCCAGCTGATCCCGCCCGCGGACCCCAAGGCAATCGAGATGGGCGAGTTGTTTGCGAGGGAGATGTATAAGAGGTATGGCGCTGCGCGGGAGAAGAAGCTCTAGGGAGGGAGGAGGACGCTTGTTGGGTGAATTGGATTGTAGGGACGGGGATGGCGAGGAAATGGGAAGATACGCGTGTATATCGACGCCAAAGGGCACCAGTGCTGCCTTGGCTAGCAGGGCAAAGATCTTGAGACATATATGTAAAACCGAAAACGCTCTTTCTGCTTCGAGATAGGTGCACAATCGGCTCGCCGTTGAGACCGCGTACGTCTCCTTCGTGCTACAAACCGCAAGTATTTGGTGGAAGAAATGCGCGGGATATCCGAGGCGGTCAAGGCCGGCGGAATGGCGGAGCCGGGTGGGAGCATACAGTAGATGGAGAGGCCAGGCTAAGCCCAGCACCCAAAGATGACAATGGATGGAGGAGAGAAAGAGAGAGAAAAAAAAAAAAAGCACCCCGAAAGCTGATACTCCTCATTCCACGGTAGTGCAAGCTCGACCCTAACCCAGGCGCAGGAACCGAAGTATGGCACCCGGACCAGGATCGAGCCCCGTCTGTGCGCGCTACATGCCCGGGGATGCCTGCCAGCTGTCGATCTAGTAGTAGCTGCGAGATTTGCTTCTAGAACCCAATCATCTTCCGCGATTTCGCAGGCGCCCACGCTTATTACTTCACTTCACTTCACTTCACTTTTGTAGAAGTCTTATAACAACAACTACAATAAACCTGGAAATATTAATCGCATAGACGATCCTTCGTTAAGCGTCTCTGTATAACTATTTCACAAACCGCTACGACGTTAGGTTGAATATCCCTTAAACCACCCGGGTTAGCTTAAAATATTAACACTCATATACCTAGCCGCGTCTTAAGTAGACCATTGATAAGGATACTTTATTCGTAATGTTTTAACTTACGAGTAGCTTACACTAGGCTACTGGCGATTTTTACAATATTCTAAGCGTTTTACCACGAATACGCGTTAATAGTATCACGTAGTCAAACGCTATAGAACAGCTTTAAACCATTTAGATTAAGATAAATGTTAGGAAGCGTTACTCGTTACTAACTCAGCCAACTAATATCAACTTCCATCCGCTATTTATTTTCTTTAGATTCCATAACTCGGCGCCATCATTACATTATTCCTTCAACCTCCAACCAAGGTCGTACCCGACTCACTCCGCGCCCTTATTCTTCTTATTCTTCTTCGGAAACAAATCCCTCCAAAGCTGCCTGAACCCATACACTTGCCTCATATCATCCCAGATATTGACCTTCTGCTCCGTCCCGAAATGGTCCATGATGCCGGCCCCGCGCCCGGCGGCGCCGCCGCCCAACGACTTGCCCTTGGGCTCGAGCGCGCGGTCCCTGATCTCTCCCGGCAGCTGGGGCGCGACGTCGGCGAAGGCGGCGGCCAGCTCGCGGTCGAGCGAGAAGTACGGCTTCTTGGCCAGCTCGGGCGCCATCAGGTTGTACGAGCGCGTGAGGGCGTTGAGCGACTTGATGGACAGTTCGAGGAAGGAGCGCTCGGAATTCACCCAGGCCGGGTCGCGGAAGGGGTAGGGAGCGGGAATGACGCGGGGGGCCGAAGATGAGCCTTCAGTGGTCGTCGTCGGGGGCGACGGCCCGGGGTTCTCAACCATGAACTCATCAATCAATTCCTCCGCATCTTGGCGAGGAGATGCTGCTTTGCCGTCGGTCGAGCCCACGGTGGTGGCCTTGACGGTAATCTTTTCCGGTGGCTGGCTGCTACTATGACTCTCCGGTGCAGCCGGAACCTTCAATTCTCCAGCCAGCGTGATTTGGCTGAGATGCCCCTCCGTGTCAACGGCGGTGATCTTCTCTTCCTTTCTCTTCCTCGGATTAGCCAGCTTCTCCGCCTCCGCGTACGATTGCGCCCTCCTGATCTGCATCTCCAGACTGCCACCTTCACTCGAGAGCATCCGCGCGGCATGCCTCTTCCAATCCGTCCGCAGCCGGTTCCTGAACCGCGCGGCCGCCGTGACCAGCTCCTGCTGCTTCTCGATCCACGGCGGCACGATCTCCTGCTTCTGGATGATCTTGTTCATAAAGTACTCGGTCGTGTCCAAGAACGGGTTGCTCGCGTTGTAGTCGCGCTCCAGCTTCCGGCCCCTGGGGATGTTCTTGAACTGGCCCCTCGCGATCGCGTCCTCGATCCGCTGGTTCGCCATGCCCTCCAACGCCCTCACGCTCATCGGCCCGCCCCGGGCCCCCGGCTGGAACCGCTCGCGCATCTCCCTCCTCAGCTTCTCCCTCTCGTCCTCGCTCATCCCCTCCCCGTCCTTCTGCAGGTGATACAACCCCGTCCGCTCCTTCGCCTCCGCCAACCTGACGCCCCTGTTCTCCCCCCTCCCGCTCGCCGCGCTCATCCCCGTGTCGACCCTGCTCGGCGGCCGCACCGCCGGGTTCCTCGGCACCGCCTTCTTCATCGGCCTGACCGCGTCGTCCAGCATCCGCAAGCTCGCGTCCTCGACGCTCTCGGCCCCCGTCCACGGGCGCGCCCCGGCCAGGTCGCGCGTCCCTTTGCCCGCGCCCGGCGGCAGGCCCGCCTGCGCGAGCGGCTGCGCGTACCGGCTGGCGAAGTTGGCGCCCGCGATGCGCTCCTCCAGCCGTTGCCGCAGCTCCTCCGAGAAGCCCGCGTCCTCGACCATCGCCGCCGCGCGCCGCGCGCCGCCGCGCCCGCCCGCCTCCAGCCCTTCTTCCGTCAGCGCCTCGAGCCGGCGCGACATGGCGCCCGGTTCTTTCGCTGCTGCTGTTGCTGCTGCTGCTGCTCCCGCTTCGACGTCCTCGCCCTCTTTCTTTGTCGTACTAGTGGTGGCGGTGGTCGGAGCGGTGGAAGGAGGGCCGTTTCCGGCTTCGGTTTGATGCTTGATCGTTGCGGGCGCATCGCGTTCGTGGCCGCGTTCCTGTGCGGAGGTGGAGGACGATCGGAGAAGCTGTGGCGAGGCGGAGAGGCAGCGTCTCGAGCGCGCTGGCGGAGATGTGATGGTCGACGTGCGTGTGAGAGCATGCTGCGAAGCTCGCAGGCAGCGGAGGCAGAGGTAAGACGATGTGATTGTCGCTCCAGGCATTTCGCATCGAGGCGAAGAAGATGGTGGAGGGAAAAGGTGAGCACGGGCGGAGATGTGCAGATGGAAGCTCGGGGCCCAGAGCTCCGATGACGTCTCAACCGGCCCCGCCGCGCGCGTCGCTTAGCGCCAACTGACAGGCCTCCACCAAAGCACTTTTACCCCGGATTTCACTCAGAGCGGGACAGCAAATATTATTTCTGCGCCTCCAAGCCGACCAACACCTAAAATGCAACTCATCCAATTCGGGAGCTCCTGATCCCCGCATGTGTCTACGCTCCCAGGGGGGGGCCTCCCCGTCAATACAAGGAAATCCAAACTCGTCCGTGATGCTGATGTACAGAGAAAATGCACTAGCCCTCCACCCTCATCTACAACCGTGTTCTCCTCCAATAAAAATCCCTCCTCTACCCAAGACCTAAGAGAACTTTTTTACTCGCCCTTGAGCTTATCTTGCGTGACCGAAAACGCAACCTCAAGGAGATCCTTCTCCTCCTTCTTGTGCGCCGCCTTCAGACCAGTCGCCACACTGGCACTGGGGTTGCGGCCAGCGTACAACACGTGCCTGCGGTTGTGGTGCTCCGTCTCGTTGAGAAGAGTCTCAATGCGAGGCTGAGTGAACGACCAAGCGCCCGCGTTGAGAGGCTCCTCCTGGCACCAGACGATGTTCTTGGCGTTGGGGTACGAGTCGAGGTTGTCCCTGAGCTGCGCCCACGGGAAGGGGTGGAGCTGCTCAATGCGCGTGATGGCAGTGTTCTTGAGCCCATGCTCCTCACGGTGAGCCACAAGAGCAGCCCACACCTGACCAGTGCAGAGAATGACGCGCTCGATCTCCTCCTTGGGCGCGAGGTCGCCAGTCTCGTGGGCCGGGTCGGGCACCAGCCACTCAAAGTGCGAATCGCCCGTGAATTCCTCAATGTTCGAGCGAGCCATCGGGTGGCGCAGGAGAGATTTCGAGAAGAAGAGGACAAGCGGCTTGCGGAACTGGCGGTTCATCTGGCGACGAAGGATGTGGAACATGTTGGAAGGCTTGGTCAGGTAAGCAATCTGCATGTTGCAGTCCTGGTGCTGACGCTCAAGCTTGTCAGGGCTAGGGAAGATGCGAGGATCCTCGTTGCAAAGCTGAAGGTAGCGCTCCATGCGGCCCGAAGAGTGCTCCGGACCCTGACCGTCGTAACCGTGGGGGAGGGACATGACCAGGCCGCTACGCTGCAGCCACTTTGTCTCGCCAGAAGCAATGAACTGGTCAACAATACATTGAGCATTGTTGGCGAAGTCACCAAACTGCGCCTCCCACATGACTAGCGCGTTGGGCGACGATAGAGAATACCCGTACTCGAAACCGAGACTGGACCACGTTAGCTGAATCGAGATATAAAAACTGGTGGTTACTCACACTCCGAACTCGCTCAGCGATGAGTTGGAGATGACGAAAGAGCCCTGGTCCTCACTGAGACTGGCCAGAGGGGTGTACGTGCCCTCGTTCTCCTGGTCGTGAAGGACAGCGTGACGCTGGGAGAAGGTACCACGCTCGACATCCTGGCCCGAAACACGGACATGGTGGCCTTCCATGCAGAGAGTTCCGAACGCGAGCGCCTCGGCGGTGGCCATGTCGATGTTCTTGCCCTCAGTGACGGTCTTGGTGCGGTTCTGCAGAATACGCTTCAGGTTACGGTGAACGGTGAAGCCCTCGGGGGCGTTGCCAATCTTCTCGCCAACTTGGTCCAGGACGTTCTTCTCAACAGCGGTGGGCAGGTGGGGCAGGACCTCGGTGGCCAGCTCCTTGGGCGACTTGAATCCGTTCCATGCAGAGGTCAACCACTCCTTGGCGGTGGGCTGGTAGTCCTTGCTGCGAGCGAAGCTCTCCTCCAGCATGCCCCAAACCCAAGCCTTGTGCTCATTGACGTCCTCCTTGGTGAAAGTGCCCTCCTCGAGAAGCTGGGCGACGTACTTGTCGATGGCCGGCTTCTGCTGCGAGATACGCTTGTACATGAGAGGCTGGGTAAAGAAGGGCTGGTCCGTCTCGTTGTGTCCCTGCTTGCGGTAGCAGACCATGTCGATAACGACATCCTTCTTGAAGGTGGCACGGTAATCGGCGGCGAGCTGGCAGACAAAGTTAAAGGCCTCGGCATCGTCGCCGTTGACGTGGAAGACGGGGGCATCAATGGCCTTGGCAATATCAGAGCAGTAAGGAGTAGAGCGGGCGAAGCGAGGATCAGTGGTGAAACCAATCTGGTTGTTGACAATGATGTGGATAGTACCACCCGTGTGGTACTTGGGCAGGGCGTGGAAGCCCATGGTCTCGTACACAACACCCTGGCCAGCAAAAGCAGCATCACCGTGGAGCAGAACACCCATGGCCGTCTTGGCCTCCTGCTCATCGTTGTTGTAGTGCAGGATGGCGCGAGTCTTACCGAGGACGACCGGGTCCTCGGCCTCCAAGTGGGAGGGGTTGGCGACAAGAGACAGCTGCACACGCTTGCCGGACGGAGTGGGACGCTCGAAGTTCATACCCAAGTGGTACTTCACGTCACCTGAACCCTCATCGGAGGGGTCGGCGGTGCCGGCGAACTCGGAGAAGATGGACTCGTTGGGCTTGCGCACGACGTTGCTGAGCACATTCAGACGACCACGGTGAGGCATACCAATCACGATGTCCTTGACGCCATAGTCGACACTGCGGTCGATCAAAGCCTTCATACCAGGAATCAAACTCTCGCCGCCCTCCAGACCGAAGCGCTTGTCGTTGGGGTACTTTGTGGCCAGGAAAGACTCGAAGCTAGTGCCCCAGATCAGACGGTCCAGGATCCTGCGCTTCTCGTCGACGGAGTACTTGTAGGGCTGGGGAACCTCGATGCGCTGGCGCAGCCAGTCGCACTGCTCCCTGTCGGGGATGTGGATGTACTCGACACCGTAAGAGCCGCAGTAGAGCCTCTCGCAGGTGGCAATGATCTCACGCAGCGTCATCTTCTCGCGGCCCTCGGTCTTGAAGCGGGGCAAGATACCGGGGCCCAGGTTAAACTCCTGGTCCAGGTCCTTCTCGCTGAAGTTGTAGTGCTCCAATTCCAACTCCTTGGGCTTGCTGTATCCAAACTGGACGGCCTCGCCGCGGATGCCCAGCGGGTCGATCTTGGCCTTGTGGTGGCCACGAGCCTGGTAGGCGCGCACGAGCAGCTGGACCTTCAAGTGGTTCATGACGTCGGAGCCCTCGCCCATGGACATTCCAAGGCCGGGGGTGGTGAAGGCAGGCACGCCGCCGACAGGAGCGGGGACGATGGTGGGCGGGGGGGTGAAGGCCTGGGAGACAGGCATCTCACCGCTCTCCATGTTCTTGAAGTAGACCTGCCACGAGACGTGGACGCTCTCGGGATCGCGCTTCCACTGCACGTACATCTCGTCGACATAGTTGGCGGTGTTGCCCTGGAGGAAGGAGTCGCTCGGGTCCTGGGGGAGCTCTGGTCAGCATCACTTGGTCGATTTGGGGGGCGGGGGACTCACGACGCCCTTGCTGGTGTCCTCGGCGGAGACGGCATAGTGCCTCTTCTGCAGACGGTGGGCGGAGACGGCGAGGGCGCGGCGTTTGGAGGCAAGCGCGGTGCTCTGGGTCGAAAAGCTCGTCCGCGCAGCGAAGCAGCCCGCGGGCAGGCGCGAGCTGCATTGGCGGAGGGTGGTGCGCAGCATGGTGGAGGTGCCGACGCGGGGATTAACAATTCATCCAAACGGGGCGGCGTGAAGCCAGGTGTAGGGAGAGGCGAGGGAGCGGAGTTGGTGAGAGCTGGCGCAGATTCAAGGCCAAGCATTACGTCCACAGGCTCGGCGGAAGGCACACGGGATGCGGCGGCCCGATCGGGGGTTAGCGCGGGCTCGAAAAAGTCAGCAGCCGCCACCATTGGCCGTCTAAATGCCGCAGCAGACAGCCCGCCAGGCCCGCTGACCGCGCGCCCATCCGCGCCCAAACGCGCAGCGCTGCATCCTCTGACCTGGCACGCCGCCAAGTTGCAGTCTCTGAGCCATGCGCCCCCTTCACGCTCCCCGTGCGCCGTCCGCGACCGCATGCGCGCAAAAGGAGGCGGCGCTTTGTCCGAGGCAAGTCCGCCAGGTGCAGGTCCGGAGGGCCAGGCGTGGGGCTACCAGGCCTCGGCTATGCGCCTGTGTTCCCCAGACTCGACCAGCTACATCATCGCCTAGCTCCATTGTTCCGCCTGTCGCCCTGCTGTCGCCCTGCTGTCGCTCTGCTGTCGCCCTGCCGTCACCCTGCTGTCGCCCCCCACTGTGCCACCGGTCAGGCTCCATCTGCCCTCCCTGTGACCAGCTCCCGCATGCACCGCCACCGGTCAAGCCATTCCACCGCCCGGCCCTCTATGCTGGCTGTTGCCACGCCGACGCGGGTGCCGGCCTCTGCCTCTGCCTCTGCCTTTGCGAGCAACAGCAGGCGGGTCTGCCGGACCGAAATAATGTCTGAGCAAGCACTCTTCGCAGTGGCGGTACCCCGCAAACGTGCATATGTAAATTTCGAAAGGATGACGTCGCTCGTACAGACATGGAAACCCCCAAATCTTCAAAATGCGTGCGATCGGACTTCGATACACTTCCAAGTGCTGAGACACCTGGCACCTGAAGGGATGGCTGAGACAGTTGTACGGCCTAGTGACAGCACGCCGAGTTGCCTTCGTTTCGGCATGCAAACATAACGCCGTCCTTCCGAAGTGCAATACCTATTGATACACGTTCAAGCCCATGGGGCAGTGATCGCATGGATTCCCATGGCATGTAAACATTCACCTTGATTCTCGGGGCAGTTCTAGATGCAGAACTGCAACCTCAACCTCACAACAACAGCTTACCTGACCCTCTGCGACGTCCTGCTCGTCCAAATCGGCCTCTGAAGTCGCCCAATGCGGTTCGCAGTCGTCCCGACGTTAGCCGCCATTTGCATCCTTCGGCAAAATCCCCGTCGGCACCGCGAACAAAACGCCGAAAAGCTGCTCCTAAACAAACACCCGCTGCTCAGCAATCACCCAGACGAGACCTGCTCTCCATCCTGCGTGACTCGCCGACTCTGGCTTGCACCATGATTTCCAGAGCTTTCCGCATCTTCCGGCTGGGTTGTGGTTGGGATGGATGCGTCCGGAGAGGAGACGTCCATTCTATGAAAACAGCCTTCGTTGGTCCCTCGATAGAGACCCAACAATGAATCCCAACCTCAAACGTCAAAACCTGCTCGCTGTCGACCCGAGCCGTCGACGACCTCTGTAGTCATGTCTTATGAGGGCACCCTTGTCACAACCACGCGCGGACCCATCGAGAGCAGCCGGTCGTATGTATGTGAGATGGTCGAATTCAATCAAGTCTTCCGTCAAACAGCAACGCCGTGGCCTGGTATTGCCTGCCTCGTCAAAGAGTGCTGATGAGTGGTTCAGGGCGGTTACTAAGGAATCTCGTCATTCATTGGGACACGTCTTCATACCTCGTTCAGCGCAGGAGCTTGGCTGGTGCTGGGCCATGAGAGAACTAGGTCTTCACAGTGCGACAAGTATGTCGGGCTTGCCTCCGGAAATCCAGATACAATCGCCGCTCCAATTCTATTCCCAGCCAGCCTCTGTTCCAATCTATCCTCAGCTTTGAGCTGCTCTCAGCCTTCGATCTCAGCTCAGCCCCCCATATCCCAGGACAACGGTCGCCTCCGATGGCAAAAGACGATCGACACCACCGACCCGCATCCGCGAAAATCCGGAGGAATACAGTGTTACACAGATCGGCGCAACTGGTTCCCCATGTCTGGAAGATGGGAGAAATTTTACCCGCACCATTCGCGCTACCTGTCTCTACTCTCATTCCTTTTTCTCCGCAGCCAGCGAGATCATCGATCCGTCTAACCGTTTTCCGCCCCAATAGAGGCGATAATCATCTTCATTGCCCAAACAGAAAGCCCTTCACGATAACAGTATTCCTTTTGCCCTCGGCCCCCCAGCCGTCTTGCATCGGAAGAAGCGAGAGGCGAGAGCAACATGCATATTCAATCACAAATAATGCTAACGCAGCAAGGAAGCCAAGGAAATATGCGAATGTCGAGGAAAGGAAAAAAAAACAGCTGATGTATCTCACCTCCAGGATTTGACCCCAGTCTTTTTTGCTTTTCCAGTCTTTCCTTTGCTTTCTTTTTCTTCTCCACTGAGCCGGAACGGCGGAAAACAAGCCCCCTACCTACTCAGCCCTAGCTTTCCTCAAAAGAGGCAATGCGAAGTGCCATCTTACATGGGCATCACTCAGCAGCGGCAGCGGTCCGAGAAACCCAAATAGAGAAGATGCTCTGTTGCAACATAGGACACGGCTGCATGGAGCCAGACAGTTGCGCCAAGGCCCGGCAAGGCCACATCCCCTACCGTTTAAGACCCACACAGGGAATAACAAGCGATTCACGCTGTGACGAGGCGCAACGGTCATGGCTGAGCCCTCAGCATGAAACGACAAGTCAACAGATGAAGACGGACGAATGGAAATAGCTGTCTGTACTTCAAACTGAAGGACGTTTGCTGATGGCCATTTCGGCAACGGGGCAAAGAGAAGAAAGAAGAAAAAAGAAGTAACTGGAATGTCTTCCGACAGGAGGGAAGAACGTGCATGATGCGTCGCGCTAATCGACTATTCAGTATGCCTACATCCGCACAAAGCGATCGAGAGGAAATAGAGAGATGTCAAAAGGTGAACGGGAGGCAAGCTCACCTCCAGCGCTAGCCATGCAGTCAGGAAAAACGAAACGCTTTGCATTTGCCAACGATCCGTAGACCGCCGCCTGCTTCCTTTCTTGCCGCATTTGACCACCGATGTGCGCTAGGTTGGAGTAAGTACCACACAACGACCGCGGATCTGCGCGTCGGGCCGGTTGATCTCCCGCCTCACTGCTCAGGTTGAACCAACTCATTGACACAACACGAACTGACGTTCTTTTTCCCTATCGGCCTCCGCCTGTCACAATCCCGCAAAGGGCAAACCGAGTGCATCATTTTCCTGGCCACCGTGACAAATAGACGATCCACCTATTGCTCTGCAACAACTCTGGAATGTGACGACGCACTCTCAAGCGTGCCCATTTCAAATGAGTCCCAGGACTTCATTCTGCCGCGTGAATGAGTATTGAGCCGCGGTGCCGGAACTGAATCATATTGATCCGTGGCGAGAATTGGCGTTGACAAATCCTATCAGAGTGTCATATCGATATTGACAATAGACCCCAGGCACCGGCTCCCTTGCCGATCCTTTTCTCCTATACCTACTCATCTCGGATTTATACGCATATGTGTATGCGCACACAGCGCGGATCCTCGCTTACACGGCTAGCCCTGATTAAGGATGCAACTCAAGACGTGGGGGCCGTCGACTCCGGCATTACCCAATGAGGAAAGTATGCGAATGCTTTCATTTGCTTCAGCTCTGGGAAAGCAACAGGGGCATATGGATGGAGATTGCGCAGGTAGGTAATGTGGGGCGCGGCACAACGGCACAGAGAAGGGAATTATTTCGCGCAACGGAGGCGGAGCATGCTCCGAACCACGGAAATACTCTCATGGGGATCAGAAGGAAAGAAGCGAATTGGGCGCCCAATGTTTGGAGCACTCTCCTTATGCAACGCCACCACGATACTTAGTCTGTTTCCTAGGGCAGAAAAGAAGACGACGGGCAATAGACGAAACTACCTACCACAAGAATAGAAAAGCCGGGGCAGATGGGCGGGAACACCCTGAACCCAGAATCCGACCCCAGCCGAGAGAACGAATGTGCACCTTGCCGGCGAGAAATGCGGTCTTGAACTCCCTGAGAACAACAGTCGGCAACCATACTCCTTCAAAGCATCCATGAGTCTTGTCTCGCCTGGCGTTGTACACAACGATGGCGACGCGCATTGTCTCTGCCGCTCTCCCAGTCCTCAACTCCACCGACAGGTTGGCAAAAGCACACTCGTAGCAGCCATCCAAGCAAATCACCGACGCCCTTCTCCTCAGGGATGCTGCTTCCACTTCCACTGCCTCGTTCTTTGCGCTTGGTTTGCATGTGCGCTCCGCGCGGCACGGACGCATGCGGTGCATCATCTGCTGCAATGACTTGGTCTAGGCTCAGTGGAGTGAGGGCAGCGGAACCGAGTGCTGACGGACTGCATGCCCGGCTTGGTCTGGGCGTCTGCGTGGCTGTGTGGAAGCTTTCGCTACTGTTGGTGTGCCCGAAGTGGCCGTCCGCACTGCTACCCCGTATTGCACGGATAGAGGCGTTGGGTGAGGCGCTAGGTGAGCCATGAGAGACCCTACGCTCATCAATGGCGGTCTCCCTCTTGACGTCCCAACGAGGGAGAGTCACGGGGCGAGGAAGGAGATGAGGGCGAACGATCCCTTCTGCAGCTGCAAGAGGCAGAAGGATCGGAAGTGCGGCAGAACGAATTACCGTGACACCCATCGAGGAAGGCGGGGAATGCCGAGCAGACTCCAAGGGGGGTTGCCTCGTGGGGGGTTGCCTCGTGGGGGGTTGAGATTCTGGCACGAGATGGGGGGATGAAGCGGACGGTGTGGAGGAGGCCAAGGAAGCAGATGACCACGGGGGAGTGCTGCACTGCATAGTAGGAGTATCGGTTTGTTGGTTCGTAGATGAAGCTATAGTAGTACTAGGGCATGTGGTAAAGGGAGTGCTCGATGCGACGGGAGCTCCGCGATGGGCGCTGCCTCGTTGATTGTCCAGGCTTTGCGGACTCACTGCAACTGGACGATAAACAGGAATGTCTTCGGCCGTGTAACGCGCGTCCACACCATCTCCACCACGGCCATTGTGGCTGTGAGATGGCGCCACTTGTGATGTAGGTTCGCCTGTACCCAACACATGGGCAAGACGGTCATACGGGGAAACGGGAACGCGCGGGTCGAGATCGCGGCGGGAATGGGGCGGGCTCGTAAACAGGGGCGCAGGTATGAGCGGATGACTGGAGTGCCTGCTGGTCTGTGTGGGCGTTGAGTAGACCGAATTGAGAGACTCGGGTCGACCGGGGTCGTCAGCGTGGAGGCGGTCCTGCCGACGCCCAGTGGGGGTGGAGGGGCGCCTGGAGGCCTGACCTTGTGCAGCTTGTGCAATGTTTGGCGGCGTGGATCCCGGCATGGATGTTTGCATCAGTCCTTGCCGATCCCCTAACTGCCACGGTCCGCGCCGTGTAAAGTCTAGAGGCCGCGACTGAGGTTCCGGCTCCCGTTCCGCGCCGCCAAGAGAGTTGCCCTCAGCCGTTGGCGCGTGCGTGTGGTGCCGGTCTGGACAGTTGCTCGTTCCGTTCCCGCTGTTGGGGGAAGCCCGAAGTGCGAGCCCGGCACGGTGGCTGGGGTGGGGCGGTTGCCGCCACTCCTGCACCTCATGCACCCCGCGCATTGCAGTATTGCCGGGGTCTCGTCCGCCAGGCGCTGATAAATGAGAGGATTAGCCCATGCTTCAAGTGTCAAACATGTATGTACACGCCACGTTGGTGCGACATCGGTCTGACATTGCGTACTTCGCCCACGCACACACGCGCCCCCCCCCCCGACATCCAGGCACACGCTATTCAGACTCACCTCCCGGAGGACGACGTAGCATATGGCGAAGGGCATACCTGAAGCCCCTGCCGCCTGAGGCCCTGCGCCGCGGAGATCGAAGCGAACCTGGCGAATCTCCCGGCCACCGGGGCAGACCGGACGGCGTTTGGGCCCGAAAGGGCGGCGAGTGCTGCGGCGAAATTGGTCGTGCGGGATATCCAACGTCATCGACATTGGTCGAGCCCGATCCTGACGAGATCTTGTGGTCCGGTGGCCTTTGGTTCTCCATGATCTCGTGCAGTTCTCTGAGCGTTGCTTCGTCGATGGTGAGAGCCGCCTGGCGCCTGCTCGGTTGCTTTTGCTCGGTCTTTTCCGCACGGAGCCTGGCGGAACGAAGGGTTGCAATCGACTTCTGCTCGATGATGGTGGTCAACGGCGTTGCGTCCGGTCTGTTGATGAAGCGGACTGCTACACCGAAGCCATCTGAAACAAGCCTTCGGTCAGCGCTGTCCGTCCCCTCGAGAGCCTAGACAACGTTTGACTCACTTGGGATGGCAGAAGGAGCCCATTCCTCCTCAGGCAGCGAGCGATAATGCGGCCTCTTCTTGCTTCTGGGTCTGTTCTGTGGGGGCTCATCCGCCTCACTCTCCGAGCTGACCTGTTTGGCATCGTAGATGGAGCCACTTTCGCTGGGGGTGGCCTCGGAAGAGTCTAGCTGCGGGAACAACTGCCGCTTGGACGGTGCCTGACGCCATGTGGGAGGACTGCGATGGCTGGAGACAAAGGAGTCTAGGGGAGTGTTGCTGCGATCGAATAGCGGAAGGGTGCTCGAGATGGTAGATACTGCCATGATGATGCGTGATTTGGAATCCTCTGAATCAGGCTTGCCGGGCGCGGAGAGCAAAGAAGAAAAAGAAGCGGTGAATTAAGTTGCTGGCTGGCTTGGGCAGGGCTCTGGCGTCGAAGAGGTCCAGCTGCTGCTGCCGGCGGTAGGGCTGCCTGGCTTGATGCAGCGGCTGCGTCGCTGCTGCCACAACATGATTGTTCCGCTGCGAGACACCGCCGGGATGACGGCGTCAGCCAGGGGCGGCAGGCGCCAGCGGTCAGGAGCAGCAGCGGCCGCCGCTGCTGCCCAGGCGATTGCAAGGCCCGCTCCGGGTCACGGTGCAAACGCACAGCGTTGATTTCAGCTCAAGACGGCGCGAATGCGACTGAGCGAAAAAGCACTGGCAGAGGCCATCCAGGAGCGCCACGTACTCGCCTAACGGCGGGCAGGCTCGACGCGGAGCTGTGGCCGGGTTGCGTCACTCCAGGACGGCAGACGCAGCGCGTGACAGAAAGCGGTTCCTGCCTTATCACACGTGGAGCGGGCGCAGCCATGGTGTCGGCGGTCGTAAGAGCATGGGACGACCGGGCTGAGAGGCTTCCGGGTCGAGCAACAACGGCCGTGGTTGAGAGCGTCGTGAGCTGAAGTGGGTGGGCCAGGTGGGCCAGCTAGGGACTACTCGAGCGGCCCGTACCCGCGGCGGCCATGGCCTGAGGCCGGGGCGGCGCATCGCTTGCCGTCTGCCGCGATCTTAGATCTCCCCCATGCGTGGCGGTCCGAGCGGTGAGCCTTGCAGCTGCGCCCATTGCTTCTGTGCGAATCATGGTCCGGCCTGGGTAGCCGAAGATGTGATCGCCCACAAGCGACCAGTCCGCACTTCCGGACGCCCAGAAGCTTGGACGGATTGGCCTTCGCATGAGCCAGCCTCTACGCAAGGGTGCCTTGCGACCGCCTCCAGTGACGGACGGGAGCGAGCGATCAGGCCACTACCGCTGGGGCGCGCCACCAAGACGTGTGCCTGCAGCTATCCCGGCTCGCCCACGAGCTCTCCACGAGGGCAAGGACTCCATCAGCCCATTGCGGGCCCCCGCCGCCCAGTAGCAGCACTCCGGCCGCTTTTGAAGAAGCGGCTTGCTGAAACCTGTGGAGGCGACGTCGTCGTCACACGGCATGCGCTGCGAGCTTCTGGCGCTGGGCGCCTGGAGCAGTGCCGTTCTCCGAAGCGATCTGGAGCACGTCGGGGCAATGCACCCTGGCGGCGCCGTCTTGGATTTCGTGTCCACCACGTGCGCTGGCGCCGCTCCCGAAGTTCTGACGGCGGAGTGGCGCGGCTATCTGGAGGCTGTGGCACAGAAGTCTGGTTCCGAGTTGCATTGAGGAAACCGCACAGCCGACGGCGCATCTCTTGATCGCTGGCCGCGGCGAACCCGGGCGGAGTACGACCGCCGATCCTTACTCGCAACTGAACGGGGCACATGGATCAGAGCGATGACTTGCGCATAACGGCCCACCGTCAGCGCTGGCGAGAAGACCGGCTCACGCTCAGCCGCGGGAAGCAGGAGACGGCCGCAAGAACAACCGCGGCAACCTCGCGAGGCAGTCGCCTGCTGCGGAGCATCTGCGTAGTCCATCGGAAGCGGATGCCTCCAGCACCACTTGCGTGATGTAGACGTCATCGAGGCCATGCAGACATGCGGAGACGTGCGGCCGCAATCTCCACGTGGAAGCCACACCGTACCGCTGCAGACGAAGCCGCTGTGGATGCGACTATATGTTGGGAGCATCCTTTTGGACGGGTCCGGGGCTGTGGATTCGGGCCCAGATCTCCATCGACCACCCCGGGCGTAGCGAGATGAGATGCGGCTGGGGGCAGCCGTCAGCTTTATGCACAAGAGCTGAAACACAGTGCGTTGGCCGTTGACGAGTGAAAAAGCACCGGTCCACGCTCTTGGCCGCGCTTGTATCAGTTCCCTTTCAGGCAGGCTTACTGGCACGCAATTTGGCGCCCAAATGCGCGGATGATCCCGAGATTGTCAGGTGCGTTTGTGAGCTGCGTCTGTTTCCGTGCTCGTCGACTGTGGCGCGACAAGCCACTTTCCATGCAGGGTTCCAGAAGAGCTGTGGTCCAGCATGGCGCCGTGGCGCCAGTGATTCGTCGCTAGTTGCTGGTGTCTCTCCCTGGCCGTCGGCTTGCCCGCCTAGAGCCGAGATGCCATGAGCCGGCCGTGGGAGCCTCGTCATCGACGATTCTGACATAAAAAACGGGCACAGCTTGCTCCAATCCCCGCAGCTCCATGTGAAGAAAGCGGCCGGGGCCAAGCAGGCCTGCATTGCGGATTACAGCGCACACCGCGCTATCGGGGAAACGAAGACGATCGGCGAATTTTGCCCCCCCATTTCCCAGATTGGTTTCTAGGCTGATCCAGCCCCTGGAAAGGTGAGCACACTTTGTTTTGTATGCGCAGTTAACATATTTGACACCTCCCAATAGTCTCGTGTGCGTGGCAACACAGCCGTTCGGCGTGTCTCCACCTGGCCTGTGCCCGGAAGCCATGCTGAGGACGAAGGCACGTTCGGTGTAAGAAGTAGAATCGAGGGGAACGCCGACCCTGGAGCAGCCACCCGTTCCCGGGTCGATCAGATCTGCAGCCTTCGGCAGGAGGGCATCCCACCAGCGCCGCGGCGTTGATGAGCTGGCCCAGCGCGGCTGTAGTAGCATGGCCGCCTGTAATTCGCTCCCGGGCGAGCCGTGAAGATCCTGAAAGCATGATAACCAGGGCTGCTGCGGCCAAGGGGCAGGGCTGTACGTGGACACGCAGGCCGGCCGCCAGTGAAAGCCACAGGGTCCCGGGGAGCTGGTAGCTTGTTTCCCGGGTGGGGTTCTGAATCTCGCGTGCCGGTGCTGCCGCCCAGCAATGGAGACGCAACCCAGGGGCGATGTATCTTGGGCAAGCCACCAATGCTTCGTCTAGTGAGCGTCACACCTGGAGCACTCTTGGTTATGGAACCCTATCAGGCCACCTTGAGGCAGGCACGGACCGCGCGGTTGGTAACCTTCTCAATGTGTAGCTTGGGCGCCGATGCATCCATGTCTCTGGATCAGCTGGATAACATCCTACTGCCCATGATGGTCGTCACCCGTCGGGAGTGGTAGATGCTGCATGGTCACGATCTGCGGATCTGCATATGCGTGCTTGACCAATATGGCTGCGGCTGCCCCGTTGCTGCCGAGCGGATCTTTTTAAGCGCAGGGCGGGACGCCCGAGATGAGCAGTGAGACGAGCGAGAGCCTTCGCAACTACACGCTTCGGCTGTTCGCCAGGAGGTGCGGCAGACCACCATTCATCCCCCGGGGACCACGCACTGAGCTTCAGACAGCACACCGGAGCCTGACAGCAAGAGCGCCCCATCCGGCAGACGGCACAGCAACATGGCCTTGGCTAGACTCGCACCAAGCAGGACGAAAGCAGACTTCTTCCAGAGGTTGGGCCTTTCGGAGGACAACCCGGCCCACAAGGAGCTCTACGAGCTGATGAAGGTGCGCAGTGCACGGACGGGTTCCTGGCGAGGCGGGACCCTTACTCATCAGACGTGCAGGAAGAGGCGGCCGAGGGACGAAGGCGTACGAGCCAGGATCCATCGAATCTGGTGCCGCAATGCCGCTCCGACCCCACAGTGCAGCCGCCATACTCGTCGAACCAGATAACGGAGACGGCGATGCACCGCGAGGTGCTCAACGTGTACCACGCAGCGAGCGCGCGGACACGGCCGTATTACCAGCAAGGCCACTACATGGACGGCCGCAACGAGGACAACTGGATCATCCGCTGGCTGCTGTGGCACGTCTTCCGATACCGTGACAACAGGAATCGGCACCGAGGTAGTGGCGCATCGTCCAGCGTGACTGCCAGCGAGACTGACGGCCCAGGTGCTGCAGTGCCATCCCAGGGCGGATCTCCGGACGGCAACAACGGCGGGGGTGGCTCGACGGGTGGGTACATGATCGCGCCGGCGAGGCGTTTCACATGGCGCCAGGAACAAGCAAAGCAGCTAACGCACGCGACAGAGATGTATGACCCCGTCCGAGATCTGTGAGGCCTGCGGGCTGGGGTGCGATGTGCCTGCGGCTCACCGGGCGCTGAGCGGCGGCAGGGAAGCTTCCGGGCGGACTTGGCGGATGGAAGTGCAGCGCACGCGTTCCAGGACGGTCCTTTTCTTGTCTCTATTTCTCTCTTGTCTCCTTGCGGTCGTTCTCTCGACTCCCACCCGGCACAGTCTCTATGGAAAGGCGGATTTCAATGGCGCGTAGGAGCTCTTACCAATTCATGGCTTGCCTTCTTCCGTCTCGCTCGGAATTCCTTGCTCCTGCATGCGTCCTGGGCCACGGCCAATGTGCGGGACGCGGCTGTCGCCCGTCTCTGGCAGGGGGAATAGTAGCGCAACCGTCGGTGGAGGGCTCGGGTGGTGGTGCGGCAGGAGGCGGGGGCGGTCTAATATGGGAGCAAAACAGCGGCCGTGTCGGAAGCCTGGGAGCGCAGCAGAGCAGAGCAGCAGATGGCGAGAGATGGGTCGTTCGGAGGCGGGTTCGGGCCGGGGGGGGCTCAGGCGGACGCGGCTGGCGACGATCCACCCTGGTTGGGTCTCAGAGTAGGGCACCGTTGCTGCTGAGGGCCCGGCGCCGAGCTTAAATCAACTTCGGCGCGCCAGGGCCGGCGGCGCCTCGTCGACGCAAGGGCGCCGCAGTGGTGTGCTCCGTTGCGGGCGCTGGGCCTGGTGCGTTGGCGGCAGCCGGTCGAAGGGCCGGCTGGGCGGGACGGGCGTGGCAGAGGAAGGCGGTCGAGAGGTTGGCTGGCCGCCTGGGCTGTGCCACGGACGCTCAACCCTCAGCCTGGAGGCGATGGCGGGCTTCTGACGTCGGTGCCCGGTGGCTTGTGAGAGGTGAGGCCGGGATAGTCGTCAGTGACGGGCGACAGCCCACGCGTGCCGGCGCGAGGCAGGCACGCGTGCCCGAACGCTGCACCCGCCGGGCAGCCCGCAGCTCCTGCCTGCCTCTCCCGCCGGCAGCAGCCTCCCATGGCGTGCACGCGGCCAGCAGCCCGCGCTCCAGCACCCGCCAAAGCCTCCGCGCCGGCTCACTTGGGCCTGCGGCCGCCAGACCCGCCCCGGCCACGCCCTCGACCACACCACCGCCCCATGCGCTCCCGCAAACGCCCTCGCCGCTCCCTCGCCGTCCTGCAGCGTCATCAACAGCGCGGCCGCCGGCGTCACCACACATGCCAAGCTCAGCACCCCAGCCAGGCGTCGTACAGAGGCAATGCGGGTCAGAACGCGGCAGGGGTGCCACGCGCAGCCCGGCATTTGCTCGCCCACGGCCACCGCACAGCGCCCTCGCCCCAGCCGTTGCGCCTGCCTGCACCTGCCTGCATCCTCCCCCCGGCCCGCGGCGGCGGCGCTACCATGTCTCTTATATCCGCCTTAGGGCCGCTCTCCACTGGCTCTGTCTGACCCGACGACAAGGGCGCCACGCGGCCGGCCCTGTGCTGTGCTGTGCGTTCTCCAGCGCGTGGACGTGGACCTGATCAAGCCGGGAGCGGACCGCTGCCCCGCGCCGTGCCAGTCGCCTGATATGCGACCCGAAACAGGCACCTTCGAGCCCAGATGCCAGCACCCGGGGCCAATCCGCGTGCCTACTCGGGTTGGCAGGGGCCATTGCATGTTCAGCGCACGACGGATGACCTCAGACGTGCAGCCCGTTGCTGGGCGAGGCGTCCAGCCGACCCGGCTCGTCGTCAAGAGGGCACGTCATGGCTGCGGTGGCTGAGGTGCGCCGCTTTGTTGATGTCAGTACCGAGATATGGGGGCCGCGGCCTGTCATGACGACCGCACCCACCGTGTCTGGCAGCGTGCTGATGCCGGCTACGCACGCAGGCGGTGTGGGGTACCTGCTTGATATTTCTTTTTCTACTCGACGTCGCCGAAGTTGCCGAAGCCGTTGTCGACGGCTATCGCCTGGACCCTTATAGCGCCCGCGGCTGGGCCGTCCTCACTTCTCATCCTGGCCGGCCCCAGGGCGCCCGGCGGCATCGCGCGAGGCAGATGCTCACATGCTGGCACCAAGGCAGCAAGTCTTGCGACGGCCCGACGTGGCGGCACATCGCCGATTGCTGACTTGACAACAACAAAACAACGACACGGCGGATGGGTAAGTAAGCGAGACGCAGCCGGAGAATGCACCATGTGCGCGTCTCCCTACGATCAATGACGCAGCATGGCCCTCCGCGTGCATCCGCGCCTCCGTGATTGCCAGAAAGGGCGTTGTATCGAGCCACTAGTGCATAACGAGCCCACTTATCGGCCCTCTCTTGCCATATACAGCGCACATATCGTCTGCTTTCTGGCCGCCTGCGCACGTTAATCGACTCGGCCGGGAACACTCGCTGCCTCGGTGCCGTCGTCGTAGGACCAAGGTCAACCATGGCTCATGTTTTCCAAAAGCGGAACGTGTCGAAGTACGATTAGAAACAGTTAGATCGCACTACCTTGTGAGAGCTGTGGTTGGCAGCACCGTCTGGCGCTGCATGCTGTACGACATGACGGACAGGGACCCCGTTGCACCGTGCATCTAGCGATTCAGTACCTCGCAGGCCCGGTGGGGTCATTCTCGTTTGCTGTACGTGGTACCTCCTCTCTGGGGCACGCATAAAGCATTTTCCGCCATTGAGGTGTGAGGATAAAGAGACGATGCCGTGTCACCTGGCCCAAGGATCTATCTTACCGCCTTCTGCGCTGCTCTTGCCAGCCGCTGTTTTGCTCGCCTCCGAACCACACCCCTCAGTTCGCACGACGCTCCTGCCGAGCTTTCAGGCATTCGACTGACCCCTTCCAGACTCTCGGCATGCCGATGGCAATGTAAATCGCCTCTCTGTGAAGAAGACAGCAGTCGACGCTTTAGCGAATGACGCCAGCTCTTCTAAGCGAAACAGCACAGGACACACGCCAGCCCACTGCGCCGCACCGTTGTGTCCATCGAAAAACGTACGACTGGTCAGCACGTTTGGGAAAAGGCTTTCAACTCGCCGCCAGCCGAGTGTGCCTGTACTTTCATTGCAAGACGCAGGTAATCAGCCTTCGTACCTCCGCGATGGTGACTTCTCCATCAGGCGTCCAAAAGGAAGAAATTGAAGCTTACACGGTAGGACCACGCAGGGGCGGCGAGCTATGAGTCGGGCACTATCGTCTAAAGCTCTTGTTCCTACATGACGACCTCTTGGACAATAATCCCCTCACCTACTTTTCGGTTGCATACCTTCTGCTGTTATCGCCATGATCCAACAAGTTTGGCCGCGTGACGCATCTGTTCTGTATGTAAGGTTCCACCTTGCTCTGACTTGATTGCATTTTGTGGGTCTCTAGGATCTTTCCTGTCGGTAAAGATCTTCCCTCCTGGCTCAACGCCAGTACTCTTTCATCGATTGGCCTCGTCACAAGGGTCGTTGCAGGGGCTCAAGCATCAGCTGGCGCGCGATCCATCGGAGATCCCTGACCAACCCCGATTCATATGTCGTCACCTAACCTCTTCTCCCGAACCTTGTGTGTACTCATAGCTCCTTGCCACGGCTCTCAAATGCATTGTGATAATGCTTTCACCAGGATAAACTGTGATACCGAGCTAATTGTCTCACAAAGTGAAGGACATTATTTCCGCAAATTCTTTGGATGATTCTTGCCGGCGTTACTCAACTGCCCTCCGAACTGCGGTCCGATGCCGGTGCTTACGCAAGAGTACCAGAATCACCTGATTGCATGTCGAGGTGATGTCTTTCTTGATAGTTCTATTGGCTGAGCAACCTGCAAGCGGCCCATCAGAACTTTTTTTTTAAGAAAAAAAAAAGGCAAAGTAAAATAATGACGCAGCCGCCTGTTGCAAGTCTCTTGGTACCGCTAGTCAAAGACCTAGATCAAATGTGTTATCCGTAGTCTGACGTGAATCGGCTCCCTTATTTTGTAGCATTTCTATGTGGTTCACGGATGAAGGACCTATCGACTTTCGTAGCAATATTCTAGAGGCACTGCCTGGAGACACGTTTTCCTTCTCTTTATCCTTCTCTCTCCGACTTTTAAGCCTGCTTCCCAGTCCGACATATCTGCTCGATTATCCCGTTTGGACTCGCAAAATCAAATGAACGGTGCTCTTCCCCACACGACGGTGTATATGATTGTCCAGAAAAACAAAAACGCACGAGGACGGGAAGCGGCCGACAAGCGAAGACGATCAAAGCCTCCCGCTTGTAAAACGAAGCAAACCGTCCAAGCTAACAGACGTTTCAACAGGAAGTCTGGTTCAGACCCTGCGAATCACCTTCACTATCTTTTCATGATGAGATAAACCGTGTATACGTGCTAGTACCGTCAGCTGCTGATGTAGCATCTTCCATATAAGCGTACCACCATCCATCATCCTGCTCTCTCCCCCATTTCCGTTCTGGCTCCACTTTAGGCTGTAATATCTCCCGCAGCTTGCAGTAACTACTTTCGAAAGCTTGAGCATCGCGAAAACTTGCCATTACGAATGCGTTTATGCTATGCCCCTTACCGCTTCGGTAACCATTGGCTGCCAATGTAGGTAGTTAGATACAACAAAGAATAATGTTACAGCTCTCTGGTTGAATTGACGTTGAAGGTAGATAACGACCGATATCTCCCGTTCTAGACCTAACAACTTTCAAGATGCGGTAAATGACTTCTTTCGTTCTTCTCAAGGCACAAGGCCGAATACAAACAATCGATTATGGAAAGTGCCATGGAATATTGGAGGACAAAATGTCCACATGAAAGCAATCTCGTATTCCGATGTAAACTACCAGTTTTCATTGGATGTCATTAAATGCCTGCGCATACCTCTACTCTCATACACTTTGAAGAACAAGTAAAAGGGGGGAAATGCGACCCATATATTTCCCCCCAAGTCGAAAACTCGGTATTCGACGTATTTTCCTAAAGGTGGAAGAAAAATTTGGGGAACCATACGCCTACGCTATGCAAGATGAGGGGAACAGAGAGATCCCCTGTGCGGTTGAACCGCGCCGAGTAAAAGAAGTAGCCTGAGTAGAGAATCCGAGCCGAGTAAAGGAAACGACTTGAGGAGAGGACTTGGGTCGGGGACAGACAGCAGTAGACGGCCCAGCGCGCAAAGAGGATGCTGCACCAGAAGCTTAAGCCGCCAGCGTTTCCATGAAACCTCGTCCACCTATCGCCACGTTTTACGCCCTTCATCTTTTGAGTTCGCAAACTTTTCATCCCCTGCCACTGAGATGCTCGCAAAGCTCCAATAATCCCCAACGCCTCTACGCCACCGCCGTACCGCCCGTAGCGGCTGCCTGAGCCTGCTGCGCGAGAGCCATCTGCTTCTTGAACTCCCCTCTGTACGTGTTGACGGCCTTCTTGACGGCTTCGACTGTAGGACGCATGACGCTCTCGACGGCCGCCCTGCCGCCCTTGAACGCGCGCTCGTCGAACCGTGACCGGCGGCCGGTGCGCGCTGCCTGCTGATCGGCCTTTTTCTTCGCCTCCGCCATTGTGAGCTGGCGCTCCTTCTCGGCTTCCTCCGCCACCGCCTTGACACGTTCGATCGACCGCTCCAGTGTCTCCACCAGCGTGCCAAGCTCGCCCGCCCGGTCCGCATCCCCGCTGCCGTACACTGCCCAGAAGTAGTGCAGGAACTCGACCGTCGTGTTGTGCGTCAGCGTCAGCGCGTTGATTGACCCCTCGCTAAGCCCGTACCCCGTCTTGCCGAACTCGATCACCGCGAATGTGCCCAGCGGCGTGGAGAAGTCGTTGTTCTGCGCGCGGCGCTGCTTGATGGCGGTGAGGATCTGCGTCGTCGCCGCACTGCGCGCTGCTTTGGTTCCAACCCGTTCCGGAGCCGGCTTCTTGGCGTCTTCGTCGCTGTCACTGTTGTCATCGACGTTGATGACACCTTGGAGGTTGATGCCGTTGCCGCCGACTAGAAGGCTTCCGCTATCGAGTTCGCGGCGAAGCGTCTTTAGAACATCCGACGGCATTTGTTTTGCGTAGAGCTGCGCCTCCGCAGATGACTTGTTGTCACGGGCGAAAAACTGCCTTTGATCCTTGATCTTGAGCATGACACGATTGTCGTCGTCACTCCGTTGCAAGTCCCTCAGCTGCAGCTGTTCCCAAGTTGCCTCATCCATGCCTGCTGGCGCATGGGGGTCCACATCTGCCGGCGAGACGTCTGCCATCATGTGCCCACTGACTCGGTTCAAACTCCTCAGAATGGGCACCTTGTCATGCCCGCTCGGCCGCATGGTCATGTCTGGCTGGTTGCCCTTGCGCTGACTATGATTCGACTCATTGCCCTCAATGTCCAGGAAATGGGGAAAGTTCTCCACGCTCAATAGCTTCGCCTTTTCGTTCTCCTCGGTATCGTTGAGGTACTTGTCGAATTTGGGATTTGTCGGGTCCATCTCTGTGATCTTCTCTCCCTTCAGCCTCTTGTACAGCCGGCTGGCGAAGAAGGCAGCAAAGAACTCGACCTCGCCCATAGGCGGTACCAGGTCATTGTACGCCTTACGCACCAGCGGGTGCTGGTTGAAGATGGTCTGGATCTGGCCGCGCGTCAGTGTCGTCTGCGGCGTGCCGTCGTCCCTAATCTTGAGCTTGATGGCCGACAGGGCGTTGATCGGGCCGTGCTGCTGGCTCAACTGCACTGCATGCGCTCGTAGTAGGTGCGCCCGCGTCGACCAGAACTGTTTCGAGAACTGCGAGTGCGAGATGGACTCGGGCTTGCCTTTAAGCGCCTCATAGAAGCGCTTCTGCGTGCTGAGGTCCTTGCTCAGCAGCGACCGCTGCAGTTCCACGTCGCCCAAAAGCTGCTCATCCGTGTACATGCCGTCACCGCCTCCCTTCTCTGTGACACTACCGGCGCTCCCCTGGCCCGAGACGGTCTTCGCAATCGCCGTAGCCGACGGCGGGCCGGCGTTGTCAGGCGCCGGGACGGGGGTTGGAGCATTTGAGGCTGCAGCGCTGCGGGCCTTGGCGGCTTCGATGGCGGTGCGGAGAGTGTTCGTAATGGCGACTTGGTCATCACGCGCAGTCGGGGAGGTGAAGGCGAATACATAGGATTCCGTGGCGACGATTTTGATGGAGACTTTGGCGCTCGTGGCAGGCGTTTGCTGCAGGTCTGCGGGCAGAAGCTCTACGTCAGTATGCAACAGCAGCGTCTCGTCCGCCGCCGCGGCCGGCAGCACTATCGTCAGGGGCGAGACGCACTGGTGATGTCGGACACGGCGATGGTCAGCGACGGCGGGGCGGCCGGGGGTGCGGCGGGAGTCCAGAGGACAGTCCTGTTGTCCTTGGACACTGCGAGAAGGCCATCCTGCTTCTTGTACGAGGCGGACACGCGGGACATGCTGTTTGGCGGGTGAGGTGCAAGTCCGCGCGGCGGGCCTGCGGTTGCTTTGTTTCCGATGCTGCGAGCTCGACTCGGGCGACGCGTTGCGGATGATCTGCGGTCTAAGGCTGATGCTGCACTATTGCTCGCGTCATAAGTGGCTGGTGCACCGGCAAAGGTCGTGGCCGCTTCGACCCTGACTATCGCACCATCACTTTGCTGCTTCCACGAATCGAGCCGAGAAAAACAATGCTCCTTGGCCGCTACATAATAAGCAAAAGTCCAATCGTTTAGCCGCTTCGCCATCAGGAAACCATCCTCACCCAAGTCCGCCACATATATCCCGTGCCCGCGAAACTGTCCAGCGTTGTTCCGTGAACACTCTCATGGGATCCACCATGAAGAGACCCTTTTGGAAAGGAAAGGCAGCGTGTCTTGACCATTATCCGCTCGATTAGAGTAATGCCTCACTGTTCATCTTGCATTTCAGTACCGCACTCATGCCCAGACAATCCAGGACATCGCAGTACGAATGATCCACTCCAGGTCGCGAAGGTCACTCTTGACGTTGCCGCAAGCCTGTGCAACCTTTGTCCTGTGGCGTCTAGCCAAAACTGTGGCAGTCGGCCATGACTTTCTTGCTGAGTGGAATGTTGGAAGCATGTGAAGGCAAAACAAAACAGAAACCATGACCGCTCCGCATCCGGTGAGGCCAAACGCTACGGGTGTACCGCTGAGGCATACCGCCACAAGTTTCGGAGGCGGAAGGTCGGAGACGCCCGCCAGGTAACCAAATCCTAGCACCGGAAGATGCTTTAGCTGTTTCCTCAGCTGCCGATCTTGTGCTAGAATAAAGGACAGTGTTTGTGGCATAAACAAGTAGAGTCCATAGGTGACCCAGCAAATGACATGGACAAAAGTCTCGAACAGAATTCCAATGAATAACTCGACGATGAAAGACACCGACCGGTCAAAGCAATATCCGAGTCGGGCAAGGGCAGATAGAGGTACATCGCCGACGTATGTGCCCAGGGTTTGCCTTATGCGATAACCCACGATATGGACAACCCCGTAGAAGACACTCCGCTTCCTCCAAGTTTTGCGGGAATAGTCCAGGATGAGTTCCGCTCCGAGAGTCTGAAGCAGCAATCGAATCAATGTTGGAAGGCACGCCTCCCGCCAGATATCGAGATTGAATAATGTTGCGAGACTCGCGGTATATGGCCAGAACCAGAAAGCGGCGATGATGGTCTTGACCACAATCAATAAGTGGATTGCATCCGGATTTGTCTCGAACCACTGCGCAGCATAGTTGAAGAGACGTCTTCCGGTCCGATGTGGCCCCATCAATATGAGAGCAGTGCACTGACACCTGGCAGATGTACAGTTCTCAGCATCGTGGCTCCTCGCGCTCAGAGCAGTACAAATTCTGCTGTAGTATTCTGTATGGTTTGAGCGTGGTGTTTTATCAGTGTGCCATCCCATTATGAATGAGTCGTCTTTCCATGCAGCGAAACATGAGAGCTCTTTTTTGCCACCACGGTGAACTTCTGCGCCAATGATCATTTGCAGCACACTATTCACATTCAGTGAAGTAACATTGTCCGAGAGAAGCACTCTGAAGTCAAGTGGCATGTGGATGACCATCTTCTCCAAGCACGGGAATAGTAGGGAGAATTTGACGAGGCTGGCTAGGTCCGTACCAAGGATCATCCGATTATCCGATGCGTTGTAAATATGGTTCGGGTCGCTCAGAAAAGGCGGCAAGTACTGTATCTGGCAATCTCGAACGTGTTTGAAGAAGACAGACGGCTTGTGGATACTGAGGTCGGGGATACGCTCGGTGAAGAGGCCGCTGATATATAGCTGGACTGGAAATCTGGTACAAAGCTCATACACAAATTCTTCTTTGATGCGAGAATCCATTGTCATGACGACCTTCGGATATCGCACTTGAGTCCTTGGGGCTGGTCCGAGCCAGTATTCGATACCTGTAGCCAGACAGTTCCCGCTGTCACGTCGACCCGCTCGAAGAGTCATTTTCTGGGGACAGTCGACGACTGTCCAGGTCCTTACGTATATCATCACACGTATCTCCGCCGGCAAGCGCATGAATGGAACTGGGTCCTGGTAGGCCGGCGACTTCTTCGACAGTGATGACAGTATCTTGCCCAGTGTAGGATAAGTGGTCGCTAGGTCGTCGACGTCGATGAAGGTCGACATGTAGGAAAGCGGAGTAGACCGCTTGGAGGCTTGAGCTTCCTCTGCTAGAAGTTTTCTAGTAGAAAATGCAGAGAGAGAGTCGAGCTCAGCCAGGATTTCTCTCGACGTGCCGTTCGAAGAATCTTCGGTTCGTCTGCCGAACAACTGGAGGCGTCTGCTCTGTGCCTGGCTGTTGATTGTCGGCACCTTTCCATGGTTGCAGCGCCTGTCACGCACAAGAGCGGTAGGTTCGTCCATATCTGTAGCTGTGCTTTTGGGCGAGTCTCTCATGCTGGTATCGCAAGAAGACGTTGAAGTAGGTGGCGTGGATGCAGTGGGAGTGCCTCCGCTTGACATCAACGCGGCGGCGTAGTGGTAGAAGGTGGTGTGGATAGGGTCGAAGCGGCATTGGACGAGTTGAAGTCCCCCGCGTGACGAGCAGGTGGTGGTGGAGGTTGGGACAGCGAAGCCGCAATGTGCGGAAGCCCGCCCCTTCAGAGCGAAACTCACAAACCAGCGTCAGACGCGGGCGAAGAAGGATGGCTCGGTGGATAGGCGGGCGGAGTTGAAACCGAGTGGAGTTCGAGGTCAGAAATTGCAAGGTAGGGTTGGTTTTGACAGCGAAGTGTCCCACGGTAGTAGCTTGAGAAGTTGAGACTTTATAGCCCCATAGGGAAAGCGCGGTGGAGGGCGCCACAACGGGTTCCAGAAGGCCTGAGCTCTCTGAGCCACACCGGGGACGCCACTCTCTTCTTATGTGGGTAGTCGAAGTAGAGATCCAAACAGAAATGCCAGTTGGAACCCGTGCAACCACGTCCAGACGTAGGGGTCTACTACCCCATGAGCATGGTCAAATGTTTCCGAGACAGATTTGGTGAGATCAGTATCTCAGCAGCGTCACCGTGCATCCTCTGTTGGATTTCGACAGTTTCAACTTGGCCCGGACAGTTCCCGTGTCTTGCCATCTTCACCTTCGTCTTTCTCCAAAAGCGTGCCATGGCTCACTCCCCGCAACGGAAGAGAGTCGTGCCGACACGCGTAGGTGCGGGGTTGCGATGCGCCAGCTGAGACGAGAGCCTGGTAAGGCGCGGGCATGGTTCCGTGCGATGATCAGCAGGCATGGCGGAGGATTCTGGTACGTAGTACGTAGTTGGACGTCAACGTTTGGCGAGCTGCACAGCCGCCGCTGATTTGCAACCCGACGATCCGGAGCGGCGATCACCTCCGCAAAACTTGGCGAGACGGGAAGTACAGCTGCCACAAGCTTCCGCCCGCTCCAGCTCGCACACGTCCCAAAACACCCCCACAGCCCACCATGTCTCGACGCATTGCTACCTCCTGGGGCAGCCAGCTGCCCCAATTGCTGCGCCTCCACCCAGGAACCGCTTCACGCCTCCCGTGCGTGCCAATTGGCCCTCCCTCTTCTCCCACCACTCGCGACGATACCCTACCAGCTAACAGCCACCGGCCAGGGCTGCCTCCGCGACGTCATACCACCTCGTTGCCAATCCCTGGTTGCCGTGCTCGCCCTCCTCGCAACGCCGGCTCCTCTCCGCCTCGCCGGCGCTCCGCAAGAAGTCGGGCAAGTCGAATCTCTCCAACGCCCGCTCCGACAGCTCCCCGCCGGTCAACAATGCGCACATGGCCACCCCGACCGACGACGCGTTCGACCTGTCGACCATGGAGTCGTCGATCCTGCGCGCCATGGAGCGCCTGACGCACGACCTGTCGGAGCTGCGCGCCGGCGGCCGCTTCAACCCGGCGCACCTGGAGAAGCTCAAGGTCACGCTGAAGCCGAGCGGCAGCGCCCTCGACGCCAAGGAGAAGTACCCGCTCGGCGACATTGCCCTGGTCATCCCCAAGGGCCGCGTTGTCCACGTCGCGACCGGAGATGAGGAGGTATACCGAACGCGCCTTTGATCGTTCTGGGACACGGCTTTTGTTTTTGCTGATTCGCGGATTCTGCTTGCAGTACATCAAGCCCCTCATGACTGCCATCCAGGCCTCGCCTTACTCCCTCGCGCCCCAACCACCCACGTTGGACGCGCCCCTCACCATCACCGTGCCCATCCCGCCGCCGACGGGCGAATCGCGCAAGAAGGCGCTGGAGTCAGCCAAGACTGCCGAGACCACTGCGCTGCAGGCGATCCAGAACGCGCGGGCGACGCATCAAAAGAAGCTGCGGGCGCTCGACGTCGACAAGAAGGTGCGGCCGGACGATGTGAAGAAGGCGAAGAACCTGATGGACGAGACGGCCAAGAAGGGCCAGGACGAGGTCAAGAAAATCGTCGCCGGCGCGAGGACGGTGTTCGAGAGTCTGTAGATTGGGACTTGGCATTCTGTATATCTACTGGCAAAACATGCCGTGATCTACCAAATGTAGAAAGGGTTGAGGGCTTCGGATAAACTACGCTAGATGCTTGTATCAAGGGTATGTTAAGCAGCTCCTTTGGTTACTGCGAGAAACCCCATGAAGCAGGAGTGCAGCATGATATAAATGAAAGAACTAGTTAGGTTTTACGTAGGATCATCGCCAATCCTTGTCATCATCATGCCCACAGCATCACGCATCACCGGCAGCCTCTCCACTATGCCCATCACCCCAGCATCTCAAGCCCGTTTCTTTTGCCCAATCGTTCCGCCGCTCTGGCGCTGCTGAAGCGCGAAGAAAGCGAAGACTGCAGCGGCAATGACGCCCAATATGACAATGTTGTCTGCAGAGCAGGGAAATCAGCAAGGGTGGCCTTCATGACAGCGAGAGGGAGGAGAGAGAAATCGTAGTCATCAACTTACGCAGTAGGAACGAAACCGCATCCTGAGCCAGGCCGGCCAGCTGCTGGAAGAAGGTGAAGATGACGGCAACGACGGACTGGAAGGCCGACAAGATGCCGTTCAGCAGGTTGCCGATCAGCGCGAAGAAGGACGACACAAGGTTCTCGAGCGACTGCACGATACCCGTCATGGTTGATTCGGAGGTTTGTTTGGCTTTCGTTTAGGACTTCGCAGGAGGTGGGTAACTTGGTTGTAGGGCGTAAGGGTTGCTTTTGCGTGAGACAGATGGAAGCGTGAAGAAGAGAGAGCGGAGTGAGGTGTCAAAGAAAATATTTGTAGCACACCTGAGTTGTCGCGCCTGCCAGCTTGAAAGAGCGCGCGCATTTCTACGGCAGAATTATGTCATTATGTCTCGACCCTCGATGGCAGCCGCGACTCTGACGCGTTTGTTGGCTGGAACGAATGAGCGCGATGTCACGCGCAACGTGTAGGGGAAGGAGCGACGCGCGCGTACAATACCTGTTTTTGAGAGAGGTACGCCGTTTGTTGTCGCAAAATGGTTGGTGTGGTCAAAGGGCGGGTGTGACGTAAACAGGGCTGAAGATGAAGGCTCCCGAGTGGATGGAAGGATGAGCAGGGATAACGGGCGGAATGCGGGAGGTCTACGCTAATGCAGTTGGCGTGCTCAGGAACAAAGAGCCTGGTCGATCACTCAATGGCATGGTCCATTACAAAGAATGCACTGTAACCTTATTTATTAGTGTGTATTTGACCCGGATGCTCACTTCTATTCAACGGCTGCCGCGAATTTGGCTAGCACGGGAACCCCAGCAGATGTGACAGGAAACCCATTTTGATTCAGTAATGGCATCCACGAGTGGAAAAACCCTCGACGGGTGCTGTTCCCACACATGTGATGGATGGTCCAAGATAACAGATAGAGGTCAACATCAAACCAGAAACTCCTTGATGTTCCTCACCACCTCCTCCGGCACCTCTTCCGGAATGTAATGCCCGCTCTCCACCGTCCCGCCCGTCACCTCTCCTTCACACACCTTCCTCCACTCCTCCAGCGTCTTGAAAAACCTCTCGACAACGCCCTTCTTCCCCCACAAGACCCTCAAATCGCACTTGATCTTTCTCCCTGCCTCCCTGTCCTTCCTCTGCTCCTCGCAATCCACCGTCGCCGCCGCGCGATAGTCCTCGCAATAAGCCGCGACGCTGCCCTCCGTCTCGGCGGCGCGCACGTACTCCTCGAAAGCCTCGGGCTTGAAAAACGCCGTTCCATTCCCCTCGGGGTTTTTCGCGCCCACGGTGAACATGGCCAGCCACTCGCGCGCTCTCGCCGCACTCATGAACGTCTCGGGCGCCGGATGCTGCTGGATGAGGAAGAACCAGTGCCAGTAGGCCGTCGCGAACCCGGCATTGGTCTGCTCGTACATTGCGAGCGTGGGGCAAATGTCCAGCAGGATCATCTTGTTGACGGCGTCCGGGTGATTCACTGCGAGCTGGTGCGCGACGCGCGCGCCGCGGTCGTGACCGCAGACGAAGAAGCGCGAAAACCTGAAGTGATTCATCACTGCAATGCAGTCGCGCGCCATGTGCGTCTTGCTGTAGAGTGCGTGGTCGGCCGTTGGTGGCGGCTTCGACGATGCTCCATAGCCCCGGATGTCGATGGCGACGACAGTGTACGAAGACGTCAGCTGCGGCGCCACGATGTGCCAGATAGCATGTGTTTGCGGGAATCCGTGGATGAGGAGTAGAGGCGGGCCCTCGCCGGCTTTGATGCCGTGAATGGTGATGTTGTTGGATGCATCTGTTGTTACGTCGAAGGGCGTGAAGCCTGGAAATAGCGTGCCGATCGTCATGGTAGGGAGGGGTGTTTCTCGAGTTAATGGGAAGGTTGATATGCGGCCTCGTCTGCGATGGTCCGGATCGCTCCATCAGCGCAGTGGATTGGAATTATATAGATTGCTGAGAGGAGTCCGGCTCTAGTATGACGTGCGCTATCGCCACTGCCATTGGATAGTGGGGTGAAGCATCCCCCCGCTTCATCATTGAGCCGAAGATACTCCACCGGTGCTGACAAGCATTTGTAATACTCTCTGCAGTGCCTCTTCTTAGCGGAAAGGCTGATAGAACGTTGCCAGAACCATGGAGACCCTGGCGTCAAGCGTCAACTTTGAGCCGATGATGTGTTTAAGTATCTGTCCTACGGGCACATGTGTCAATTTCCTGGTCCCTTCCTAACAGGCACCCCCGTCGTCCATTATATTGGTCTCTTCAGCTTGTACTGGCGGATTTTCCGGAGTATTTTGTCGCCAACCAAAAGGCTTCTCCCCTCGCAAGGTTCGAGTATTTGCAGACACGAGTCACAATCTCTGGCCCTTTGAAGTGATTCATGCAGTGAATCCGTTGTATGAGAAGTCACCTACAAAAAAAAAATGTCAGTACTCTTTGTTCTGCTATGCGCAAAAGGTGCAGTTGTGCACTAGGTCCAGGATGCGCGCAGATAGGGAAGTATGGATCGTGGCCACGTGTGGTCATTCCTGGCTTACCGTTTAGTGTTCCCCAGGCGACCGAGCCGAATAGATCCATTTCATTGACAGCAGGATCATCGAGAAGAGGGTCCGCAACTTGAGCATCCGAGAATCCAGTGTATTCTGGATCGCCGAAGATGCTGTCGGTCGAAAAGTTTTGTGGTTCAACGCCAGGAGGTGTGAAGATGAAGTGGCTAGCGGAGAAGGGCTGGGCAAACCGCTGCTGAGGGGTCGATCCTTGAGAATTTGAACGCTGGGATCCATCTGATGAGTGATGAGAGTGGCTCAGGTGCATTTTTGCAGCAATATCTGGCATACTGCTGGGGTTTCGGTTGCTTGGAATGCCATGAGGTGGCTGGGGACGTGGTTGACCGTGAGGTTGCGTGTGTCGAGCGCGCTTGATGTGATCCAAGTCGTCCGATCCCGACCGCTTTCCCGGATTTGGATGGATTTTGGCATCGTGACTGTGCTTGAGCTCGGAAAAGAGTCTTGTCAACGTCTGGCAGTATGTCATAGCACTCTTCCAGTGATCTTTCATCAGACGAAGGAGTCGGAGGCATTGAGCAATCTCCCTACAAATGAGGTCAGCGCCGAATATACGCTGACGAGGTATTGCCATGGGGCCGTGAAGGAGAAGGACGCGGGTCATCGAGCTTACTTGAAGCCTTTTTCTACGGGGTAGAATTGAAGTTGGCAGGCAAATACCAAAATAAGGCCTGCCATCCAACCCGCTGAGAGCAATTCAGGGAGGAAGAAAGGCTGTCGCAATTGCAACTGCATTTCCAACGCGCCGATGACTGTCCTACTTGCTCCGATGCACGCCTGCATACTTGCAAGGAACTCGGGTGATCTCGGTGGTAGGGATAGACAAGGCCTATTGACAAGGAGCAGCAGCTGCTGGTAAAGCACTGTAAACAAGGGGACAAAGCTGGGCACGGACTCGTCCGAAGGCTCTCCACGAGGAAAGACGACGGATTCTGCGGAAGTGAGCTTCATAGGCAGCGAGTTATACCAGCTGTGAATGTCGGCAGTGATGTAGAGGATTTTGGAATGATCGACTGAACGAACGTGAATGGATTTGTGGAACAGCTCGATGGCACGACCGGTGAGTTGACTATAGCCGACTAAGCCTACGAGAACAACATCTTTGTGGACGGGATCGTGGGGATTGCCTGGCGTGTCACTTCGCGTTGCTGGGCTGGCGTAGCTAGCGCGATCACTCCTACAGCCCTCATGCTTGGAAGGCGGCCGTTCATGAGGAGAGTTCGAAGACATGCCCGACGAAGTAGACTGCTCGCGCGAGAGGCCATCTGAGGCGTTGGATGAGTAAGACCTCAGTGAAGGAGGCTTGTGGTTCTCCTTTCCCGGCAAGCAAACATCGATGTCTGAATCCTGGAAGCCGAGAGGGATGCCAAGGCCTTGACTCAGGTAGCGATCCAGGATGTATGCGCTCCAAAAGATGCGTTTTCGCATGTCTCTGTCAGCTTCTGAGAGCTGGGAGTAGCGATTCGGACATCTGTGGAGACCGGCGTGGAACAGGGATTTGTTGAGCATTCCACCGACGGCAGAAGCGGACCTGAAGGATCCAGCGCAGACAAAGTACAGCTGTGCAGCGAACAGGGCTTGCAGGCTGTGCAGGTCCTGTTTGGTGGCCAGGGAACTCAGAGAGAAGATCAAGCTTTGGGAAGATTCGATGCGCGAGTGGCGTGGGAGGTAGTCTTTGACCATTCCAGCCTGAGCGACATTGAAGATGCACTGGGCAATGATGGCCTGACAGCACCTGTGGCGATCGGGCTCGCTGGGAGGCGGAGGAGGAGCGGGCTTGGAGGGGTCGTAGAGGCATTCGATGTCTCTGACGAACGAAGGCCCGTGGACAAAGGGAAACAGCGGGTGCCAGAGCTTGAAGTACAGGACTAGCAGCTTCCTAGAGGTCTGCGGGTCGGGAGCGCGGCCAATGCCAGGAGGAGCGGCATCGTACGAAGGACCGCGGGGGATACAGGTGGTGGAGGCATGGTAGGGAGGCAGGTGCGAGGGCGAGGCGGGGCGGTCGTCGGCATCGTCGTCCTCATCGAGCAGGAAGTCCTCGAGCGGATTGGGCCCCTCCTGGTCGGGGTCGGAGCCGTGGGCGCCGGGGTCCTTGGAGGCATTGAAGGCGTGGCGGACGGTGTTGACGAAGTAGACGCCGGTGGAGCTGCCCAGGAAGGCGCTCTCGTCGTTGTCCCGGGTGCGCAGGGTGCCCACCTCGACGATCTGCATGGGCGACCCCATGGCTCGGGCAGGGCGTGCGGAGGCAGCGAGGAAGAGCGGCAGCGAAGATGCGGCGGCGAGGAGCGGCGGACATGCAGGGTTCGCGACGACAGGCAGACGCTCCAGCGGCGACGTTTAACCTGGGGTGGGCGCGGGCCAGAGCGCAGGAGCGGCGCGCGGTTCGGCGCCAGGCGTTGCTAAAGGCGGGCTGCTGCAGCGCCTAGGTACATGCGCCTTCTCCGCGGGCCGGGCGTTGTGGACTCTGGACAGGCGGGCTGTACTGGCGGGCTGGACACAGGCGGCAGCACGCAGGATGCAGAACCTAGGGATGCGGCAACACAGCCGCTTCAACTTTGAGCCGCCGACCAGGGTGCCAGGGTGCCAGGGTGCAGGCCGCATGCCTGCGGTGTGGAGAGCACCGGCCCCGCGAGCAACACGGGTGCAAGCTGCGAGTCTCTCTGGTGGCCCGCACTCGGCTCCTAGGTACCTAGCCGCCCGCGCCTGGTCCGGTCGAACCTAGGTACCAATAATGGTCCCCGCCATCGGCCAATGTGTCACCCCTCTCTTATTATTATTATTACAGCTGCCACGCTGCCATGCCGCTACGCGCACGCGATGCTGCCGCCCCGCACACTGCTGCCGCCGCCGCCTGCGCGGTAGGCCCAATGTCGCTAGCGGCGCGCAGGCAGCGAGGTCCAGCCTTTCGCAGCGCGCCAGCCTGAGCCAGCCTGAGCCAGCCTGAGCCAGCCTGGACCTGGGCACACGGGTGGTGGGGCTTAGGGTTGCCCGTGGCTGAGTAATGCCCTTTCTGCCTGAGGCATCGATGAGGCTCACGGCGTAGGTCGCCTTCACATGCGCCGAGTGACGTCTTCGACACGGTCCCCTGCATCGCGGCGGCCCTGCGGCCGGCAACCCTGCGGCCGATAAGGCACATGGGCGAGCCGAGGCTCACGATAACCCACCGCCTGCTCGGGATCCAGTGCCCGAGCCAGTCAACAGGCCACTTCTTCTACCTTCTGCGCCCGTACTTCCCTGGCTCTGCCATTCCTGTCCAACTGCGTCTTCGTTTCTCCTTTGCTTGCCCTTCTCGTGTCTCTTTCTCCCCCATAGATTTCTGTGTTTTGGGCCGTCGTCCGCCCTCGTCCGCCCTCGTCCGCCCTCGTCCAATAGAAAGCCGAGAGATTAGATTAGACATCGCCCACCCATCGCCGGCCACCATGTCCACCAAGTCTGGCGACTACGCCGCCGTGCGCGACGACATCAAGAAGCTCCTGAAGCAGCCCGAGTACGACGATGGCTCCGCCGGCCCGGTCCTCGTGCGTCTTGCATGGTACGCCCTCTCCCCCTCCGCCCCTCCCCTCCGCAGTCCAGTTTCCCCGTGGCCGTTGCGGCTCTCTCGACCCGAGTAGCTGGTTTGCTTGCAGGCCCAGGGGCGGCAGGTTTCCCGAGCGTCTTCACCCCAGCAGCACGGCTGACCCAACCAACACAGGCACTCGGCCGGAACATACGACCTCGAGACCGACACGGGCGGCAGCAATGGCGCAGGCATGCGCTACGAAGCCGAAGGCGGCGACCCGGCCAACGCGGGCCTGCAGCACGCGCGCGTCTTCCTCGAGCCCGTCAAGGAGGCGCACCCGTGGATAACGTACGCGGACCTGTGGACGCTGGCGGGCGCGGTGGCCGTCGAGGCCATGGGCGGCCCCGCCATCCCCTGGCAGCCCGGCCGGACGGACTTTGTCGACGACAGCAAGCTGCCCCCGCGCGGCCGCCTGCCCGACGGCGCGCTGGGCGCCGACCACGTGCGCCACATCTTCTACCGCATGGGCTTCGACGACCGCGAGATCGTCGCCCTCTGCGGCGCCCACAACCTGGGCCGCTGCCACGCCGACCGCTCCGGCTTCGACGGCGCCTGGGTCAACAACCCCACCCGCTTCTCCAACCAGTACTTCAAGCTGCTCACCTCGGTCGAGTGGAAGGAGAAGACGCTGCCCAGCGGCATCAAGCAGTTCGCCTACTACGACGAGGACTCGGAGGAGGAGCTGATGATGCTGCCCACCGACATCGCCCTGCTGCACGACCCCGGCTTCCGCCCCTGGGTCGACAAGTACGCCAAGGACCGCGACGCCTTCTTCGCCGACTTCGCCCAAGTCTTCCACAAGCTGCTCGAGCTCGGCATCGTCCGCGACGACGCCGGCGCCGTGCTCAACACCGACAACGTCAAGGGCGGCTATGTCTCCGCCCCGCGCAAGAGCCACCTGCCCGGCGCCCCGGCCAAGTCCAACGAGGAGGCGGAGCCGCTGCGGAAGGAGAACGAACGGTATAGAGCCAGGCTCTAGAAATAGAGGGGAAAAAAATTGGAGAAGACGTGCCTGTCGCTTGCGTTGGATTTTTCACTTTCTCTGCCCGGAAGAATATTAGATGACGCGCCCTAGAGTTTGAGTAGACGGCGAGATACCACCTAGACCCAAGAGCATAGAAGTACAGCAAGGAGATCACGACAATGATGACGTAGAGATAGACCGTTGCAATAGACAAATCTATGCGATCCTTTCACGACGTTGGAATCTGAATTACAATAAAGAGTGTCCTGTTCAACAAAACAATATCTCATGCAACAACCGACTATTCCTACGGTATCCTCCATTATGCCATCTCCAGGATTTAGCAGTTCTTTGGATGAATTCCTACCCCCGTTGCCTGCAGGGTGCGGCTTTAGCCATCAAGTACGCGGCTTCTCAGGTAGCTGCTCAGGATCCTACGAACAGCGGTCAGCACATGCCAGGCAAACGGGATCCGAGTGAACAAGGGTGAGAAGTGAGAGGCTTACGGCAGCGCGATCGCTACTGTCAGGATTGTGACGCATGCCGCGGCCCACTGGCGATGTCCGGTCAAAGCACACAAAGCCAGCCGGCAGGGCTCACGGATTTCCGAAATCCTGGCGATTGTTGCTCTCAGTAGCAATATAGCATTCAGCGCGACACGAATCGGAGCAACCACAGCCCTGGTGTGTGTGATTGTTTGCTTGACCAACATGAGTGCCAGTGAACCCATTCCAGTAAGAGCCCAATTGATAGATTTGATGCCCTCCAAAGGGCCGGGTAACGACACATCAAAGGATGAGCGATCCCAGGAATATTCGTCGAACATTAGGGCCTGATCTCTCTGGTGGACTGTGGTGGGGTACCTGATGACGGGGTGGCCGGTGCTGGGAATAATCTGCCGTAGTCCGACCTCAGCCTTCAACTCGCTCCAGATGTCCACACTCGTTCTGTCCTTCCACAACTGTTCGCAGTGAGGGCAATCGGGAGAGTGGAAATTTCCAATGCGAGGCTTGAGGTGAATGATGGGTACAGAGCCTCCAGCCTGTCCCCTCAATTGTCCACCCCTCACGTCGATGATGACGTTCCAAGGAGCCACCAGCAATGTCAGCCTTTTGAGTTTCTGGCGTGCTGGGAGCGAGAACATGGATGCTGCATCGTGAAATGCGCTCATAATGATATTCTCAGTCTCGAAGCGGCAAAAATGGAGAATGAAAGTGACTTCTTGGAGCAATGGAGACGTCTCCAAGACTTTGATAAGCTTGCGAAGTCCAGTTCTGAGGAGAATGAGGTCGGCCTCGTTGTGGAAATGGAAGCGAAGGCCTCGAGCCCTCGTGAATACAACAGGCCTGCACAAAGTCCATTCAACGTTGCAGCGGCGGACGTGTTCTAGGAACAGAGTCGACGGAGACTTGAGAGGTCCGGCAAAAACGTGAGGTCCATGTTTGACATCGAAAGTGATGTTGAGAGAGAATTGTCGACACAGTTCACCGAGGAATTCTCTCCTGATGAAAGGATCCATGTGAAGGACTACTTTAGGAAAGCATATCCACGTGTTGAAATTGGGGCCAATCCAGGCGAGGTCATCGGAAAGTAGCCTTCGTTCGTAAGGACAGTAGGAGTAGTGCCAGACATGTTTGTAAACCAGTCGCCGTAGCTCGGGCGGCAGCTTCAGGAAGAGAGCAAGACTTTGAGCATGCCTGATGTGCGGGGGAGGTGAGTATTCCGTGCGGCGAGCGATCTTCGACCCAGCAGGCCCACTCTTTCCAGTGATCAGACGCTCCGCGGACCGGATGCGGCTTGTGTTCAGCTTGGTGCGCTTGGGTCCGCGTCTCTTCGACTTTGAGCTTGGGGATGCGTGCGACCTCATTGCAATGTAGGTCCAAGGGCGGGCTGGATCCGAACTGCAAACGGCGAGTGCAAAGGCGTTTGTAGAACGGGAAGGAAGTACACGCACGGCACGTGCACACGCATTTGGTAAATAAGGCAGCCGCATCAACGTACTCCCAAACAGATATCTCCATCATACTGGATCGACTAAAGGAATATAGTGCGTTGCCAAGGTACTGTACTGTACGCCGTTTCCTAAACCCCGTCTCCATACCCCAGGGCCATGATTTGTATCTTACGCTATTTGTAACCAGCCGTAGTCCTCATGCAGCAGCCACTGGGACGTTTGTAGAACTAGGTACACACGTACCACACACCCCACCAGCACTGACCATACCGCCGCACGTGCCCTTACAACACCCTCCGGCTATGCCAGACCCGATCTCCGCGTAACCCGGATCGCCGCCGACATAGCCGGCGCCGCCGAGCGAGTCTGTGCCGTGGCCGTAGCCGACGAACGGGGCGCACGCGAAGGCGTCCTTGGCATCATGGGCAGCGTAGAACCCCTCGCGCACAGGCGGCTCGCGGCCCTCTTTTTTGGCGCGGCGGGCAGCCGCGGCGTAGGCCCTCTCGAGGTGCGAACGGCGGTGGGCGGCGGACCAGGAGTAGCTGTCGTTTGTGCGAACCGAGTTGTGAGAGGAGATGTGAGGGCCGGAATGTGCGTCGCTGGGGTACTCGGCATCTGCCTCGTGCACCGAAGCCGAAACCGAATGGTTGGTGGTGCGGAAGAGGCGGGAGAGCGGCGTCGTGTGGGACTCGCGGATGGCTTCGCAGTACCAGCAGGTGCACTCGGAGTAGGGCTCACCAAACAGGCGTTGGTACTTCCTGCTGGTCCATTCGAAGGACTTGTCGAGCTTGGCTTCCTCGACTTTGTCATCGTGGTCGATGAAGACACCATCGCAAACAGTCTGGCAGAAGTTGTAGTACTTGGACGGAAAGTTTTGGTGCGTGTGCCACGCGAGGTCGACGTCAAGGGTCGGCACGACCCTGCAGTTCCTGGGATCCAATGCTATGATTGTGAAGAAATTCTTGTACTTTCGGAGCAGACGGTCAGCGATCGAGTAGACCGTCGGCGAGAATAGCCAGCCGATGTTATGCATCTTCTCGATGAAAGTTCCCTGCCGAATCACTGCGCCGACCAGGTTGATGCCAAAGACAGAATGGTTCTTCCAGTAGCGAGACATCATTCGACGAACAGATATGCGCTCAGGCATGATAGCACTTTCACTTCGGGGCTGATAGCTTGTTAGTATACTTTTTTCCCCAAATATGCTAGGTGATGGTTGCGACAAACCCTGCCCAGTTTGAGCCCGATGAATCGGAAACTCATTGTATGCATCAAATCTTGAAGAACGCCTCTCACTGTATTGAGACTTGCATCGGGGTCCTTTCTCAAATCCGTGGCCTCGAGCAGCTTGGTATGACATGCAGGTTCCTTGATCCAGTCACTAGCGAAGAGGGAGAGTGGGCGATACCACTTCAGGTGAGCGGGTGGCCGGCCTAGCTTGTTATATAACACCGTACCACCCAACGGCACATCTTCTTTCAGCAGGAGTGCGATGTCTTGACGGAACTGCCACACCTCAAGAGTGTCATGCGTGATGGTAGACTGACATTTAGGGCAAGTCTGGGCGAAGTCGGCGTCGGCATAGCCATTTCCGGGAGCAAACTCTGCGTCAGAGCCGGAGGGATAGCCCGCGCCGCTTGACCAGGGCATGGACAAAAGGGTCGCTTGTGTGCAGAAAGGGCAACGAATCTCCTTATCAGATGGATCGTCCAGATTTTCCCAGGAGAGGAGCGTGTTGTGCGTCCATCCGGCCTTGACGGGCTCACCAACATCGTAATCAAAAGTGGTGTTGTCAATACAGGTATTGATGTCGGCCCACGGTAGACCAGTGGCCCAGAAATCCAAACAACCATGGCGCAGGCAGTCCTCGAAAAACATGCGGGGGTTGAGCGTATGCGCATGCCACACCATGAGGACGTCAAGCGGTGGCAGGTTCTCCGGGAAGAAGTTCTGAAGTCGCTCACCCAAGAAGCCGGCAGTGTCGTGTAGGGTGGCGTCTTCAGCTAGTTGCGTGACGGTGATGGGGCCTTTCATCTCGCCGCCGGTGAGCTTGGGGATACGCTTGAGGAACCACTGCTCATAACGCTCAACGGCACGCGAGACGTAGACTGCCCATCTCTTTTCGCGGACCCGCTTGACCTTGCTCTTCAACTCCCCATCGACTGCGCCATCTTGCGGCTCAGCCTCCTGGCTGAGCGCCTCGTCCCCGTACCGTGGGGCGTCGGTGGGGGGCGTCGGGCTGGCGATACCGAAAACACCCTCGGAGGTTTCGATGTCCTGGCGGAGATTGTAGAAGGCTTCCAGTAACTTCAGATGAACTATGCACTCGTCGGCGGTGGGAACGTCTTGGCTACGAAGCGGATCGATGCTCAGGGCCTGCAGACGGGAGGTGAAGTCTGGTGGCAAGGCAGGGGCCTCGACCGACGGCCCATCGGTCTGCTGCTCGCCATACGCAGGTGGCGGCGCGGCGGCAGCGGAGCTGGAGCTGGAGCTGGAGCGGGAATGGCGCGAGACGAAGGAGTTGGCGAGTGCCATGTTAGGAATTATAGGTATAGGCGTTTCTAACGGCAGGTAGAGGTAGGTGACTGATGTTTCTGTTGAGGGGCATGCCCACGGGCGGCATTAAATGCAGCGAGGGCCATTCGGGCAGGAATGGCGGCGGCAGTTGCGACGCCCATGACCCAAATCCTGAAGGAGCGAGGACGTGGTGGAGAGAGTGACGTTGGGTTGGCGGATGGGGTAGGTGAGGGCTGACCCGGCGCTGTCGAAACGAGTAGTTGCTGCAAGGCTTAGCAGCAGGCCCGGACAGGCGCTCCCCGCCGATCGCACGCACTGAGCCTTGAGTCCTGCCAATTTTAGCTTCCCCCCGGTCGGCCTTACCCACACCGATCCCCCTATGGTAGGCCCCCGCTTGATGCTCCTTCGCGGTGAAATGCAGCAAGTCTTGAGCCCTCTTACATCACCTGCAGAGCGAGGGGCTGATCTTCAACAGGCCGTGTCTGAATTACTGTCTCGTCGCCTGAGCTCTATCAATCTATAAGTCGGGAATGCCCAAAAACACACAAATAACCCGTGACAAGATCCCCCAACGCCGCGCTGTTCTTCGGCTTTGCCCCACATGGCGGAGCTTGATGCATAAAAAGATGGAATCTTTCAATTAGAAAACAAGAAAAGAAAACCAGCCCGTCCCCTCGTCCATCTATTCCTGCTTCTTCTTGTTGCTCTTCTTGGGCACACGAGCGAGCCAGTAGATGAAGACTGCGGCGACAACGTTGAAAACACAGTAAACCCACATGATGCCAAAGTTCCTCCAGGCATCCTTGAAGTAGATGTCGATTTGCGCAAGGAACTGGTTGGTCGAGCTCATGGCGCAGTACTGGCAATCAGACGTCGCGTTGGGGTTAAGCATGTAGCCACCACCAGTAGCCATGCTGTACGGCTGGATGTACTCGCTGCAAGTCTGGTCGCCCGCGGGGTCGAAGCGAAGATACTCGTTCGACGCGCACGTGACCTCGGAGTCGGCGACTGCCGTGGACAGCATGCCTGAGATGAGATATGTGAAAGGCGACATGTAGTACATGAAGATCCAGAACCCGGGAAGCTGTTCCTTGGTGGCGAGGACACTGTGGCCTTGTTAGCTTGAATCCGTCATGAAAATGCGCATGCCAACTTACCCGCAGAAGATGAGCGTCAGCATGAAGAGCAAGTTGGCCAGGTTGCCACCTGTCTCAGCTGCCTCGATACCAGCAATGACCATGTCGGTAAAGGTGCTCGTGAACATGAGAAAAGCCCAGATCAACAAGAACATCAGCGCGCCCCGCTCGGTAACAGCGCCCTCCGCGTTCCTATAAAGCCCGATAGGGTAGTACCACGTGAAGAAGAGAATAACAGCAGCCAGCGTGTTCCAGGGAAGCTCGACGATGATCTGGGAGAGCATGAAAGCCTTCCACGAGTACGTCTTGCTGGGGCGCTCACGGACCTCATACAGCGAACGCTGAGTGACAAAGTGAGGCATGATTTGCTGAACGAGGTTACCGAAGATGGTCATGAGCATGAAGATGGCGAACATCTGGTTCTGAAGGCCTTGCTGCGAGTTCCTGGCCTTGAAGAAGGAGAAACCGACGAAGAGACCGGAAACACCGACCAGGACAAGCTTGGAGTAGATGTACGAGGGCGTGCGCCAATACTGCTCGAAGACACGCTTGGTGACCTCCCAAAGCTGGAAACCAAACGGCGCGGCGAACTCACGGAAGCTAGCATTCTCATCGCCCGACGAAGGCTGCGTCTTCAGCGGAAGCTCCGCCTTCATCTGCCTGAGCTCGTCCTTGACAGCCTGGTACTCGGCGCTGTTGCGCCAAGCCTGGTGCCAGTCGACTTCGGTGTGCGAGCCAGGAGCAGCGCCAATGACCTCGAGCATCCACTCGGCTGGGTTGGCCTCGGGCGGGCAGTGAGGAGCGCCGTTACGCTCGAAGTACGCGGTCAGGACCTTCGAGTTGTGTCCAATCTCGCCGAAGTAGACAGTCCTGCCACCCTTGGCCAGGAAGAGCAGACGGTCAAAGCGCTGGAAAAGCATTGCAGAAGGCTGGTGGATCGTGCAAAGAATGGCCTGGCCATTCTTGGTGAGCTTCTCCATCAGGTCGCAAATAGCCCAAGAAGTTTGAGAGTCGAGGCCGGACGTGGGTTCGTCAAGGAAGAGAAGGAGCTGGGGCTTAGCCGCGAGCTCAACACCAATAGTAAGACGCTTGCGCTGCTCGACGTTGAGACCTTCACCGGGGACGCCGACAACCGCATCGGCATACTCTTCCATGTCAAGAAGCTTGATGACCTCTTCGACATACGCGAGCTTCTCTTCGCGAGAAACCTGAGCAGGCTGGCGGAGCAGGGCGCTAAAGGTCAAGGCCTCGCGGACAGTGGAAGTCTGAAGGTGCAAATCTTGTTGCTGGACGTAACCGGTTTTGCGCTGGAAGGAGGCATCACGCTGGCGACCATCGACGAACGCATCGCCGGTAATGACACCCATGGTGACACGGGTTGCGAGCACATCCAAAAGCGTCGTCTTACCGGCACCAGAGACTCCCATAAGAGCAGTGAGCGTACCTGGCTTTACCCAGCCGTCGACGTGGTCAAGAATGCGTCGGTCTTCACCCTTGATCTTGATGTCGTAGCACATGTCCTCCCAGTGGAAGATGGCAGTTTGCCTCTGGATAATGGCGTCGGCGTTGTCGGTCTTCTCGGAAACGGGAACACGGCCCGCGGGCGCGCCTTCAACATCATCCGTCGTCTTAGCGGTGGCGGGAATGTGGCCGCGGCGGAAAACCAAGACCTCACCCTTCGACTTCTTGGCCGAGATGAACTCAGTAGCAGCGAGGTAGCAACCGCACAGGAAGATCATGAAAGCGAACTCGATGCCCACATTTCGCCACTTGTGAGCGTGGTAGTACTCATACGAAGTGTTGATGAACGCATCGCCGTCGATGTAATCCTGACCCGGCTGAGATCCAGTGGTACCGCAAACCATGTTCATGGGACCAATGTTCTCGTAGCCCGGAATCTGCGGGCTTGGGACGAAGGTCTTGCAGGTGAAGTTACGGTTGTGGAACTCGTTGATCATCAGAGACTCGAATCCATACGAGATGGGATCCAAGTAGTTGATCCAGCGAGACCAGCCCAGCATGTAGCGTGTCGGAATAACGAAGCCAGTGTAGATGACGAGCGCAAGGATGAGGACAGCCGCCGGTGCCATAGCCTGGGACAGCGTACGAGAGACAGAAGCAATCGTACGGAACATCATCGACATGACCAACGTAAGGATAAATGAGATGAAGAGGAAGAAGAAGAAGGCGCCAGGCTCGCGACGGAGGTTGGCCATAAAGTACAAGATCAGGTTGAAGCATATCGCGTTTGCAATCTTGTAAGGCAAGTCCGTAATCATCGATGCATAGGCCTCGGCCGAAGGATGGTATAGGGCGTATCTGGAGTGCTTCTCCACAATCGGGCGTTGAGCATAGAGAGTCAGAATTTCGAGAGCGGAACCGAAGGCGTTGGACAAAACGGCGAAGAACAGAAGGGCACCGCGGGAGTAGAAACTCGAGGCGTCGTCTGCGAGATTGTAAAAGACGGATCCAAGAATAAGCGCCATGATCGTGTTGCCGAAGATTTGGGTGATGGTCAGACTGGGATCGCCCTTGAGACGCTGGAAACCACGCCACAGGCACAGCTTGATTTGGCCGTTGTAGGAGAGCGTGTACGGCGACTTGATGCGCTGGCGCTTGGACTGCTGCGCCTGGCGAGACTGCTTGAACTTCTCAAGATACTCCCCGCCGATGGCATACTTCTTGTCGTAATCATCGATATCCTTGAGCAGCTGAGCGCGGACCCGGCTCTCCTTCCAGCGAGCCGCGAACTCCTCCGGGGTGCGGGGCACCCTGTTCTCGAAACCGGGGCGGACAACACGCTCCTGGGCAGATGTCATCGAGGTCAAGAAATCGGCAGTAGTCTGGCGATCGGGGCAATCGAAGCCCATGTCGACGAAGTACTGCTTGGCCTCGCCACAGCGGCCAAAGAAGATCTGATGGCCCTCGTAGAGCACGGCGACCTTATCGAAGGTGTCATAAGCAGACTGAGGAGCCTGGTAAATGGCAACGCAAGCGGTGCATCCCATAAGGTCAGTCTGCATGCGCAGAGTCTTGCAGAACTCGATGGCGTTGGCTGAGTCGAGACCACGAGTAGAGTTATCCCAGCACTGGAGAGGGGCCTGGCTGAGAGTGGCCTCGGCGATAGAGACACGCTTGCGCTCACCACCGGAGACACCGCGGATGAAGTCATTACCGACACGGGTGTTGACAGTGTGCGATATGCCGTACATGGCCATGACAACATCACGCATGTGCGTGGCGTAAGTCCAGGGGTCGACATCGCCAAGGGTGTTGCGGGGAGCTCTTGCGCGAGCGGCAAAGGCGAGGGTGTCACCAACGGTCATGTTGGGGAAGTGGACATCGACCTCGGCGGTGTAGATGGCCTCACCGCGGAAGTAGTTGTGCATCTCGTGGGCGGAGATGCCCTGGTAGTTGATGTACGAGTTCTTGTCGATGTTGAACCCGTGCGTCTCTCCTGCAATAGTCTTCAGCAAGGTGGAGCACCCCGAACCAGGAGGACCCAGGACGACAAGCATTTCGCCGGCCTCCACAAGGCCCTCAAAGTCGCGGAGGATGTCGATCCTGCGCTGGCCCTTGCCAAGAGCTTGGTTCACGAGGCCGGGGATGTCCAGCAAGACGTTGCCGACGCTTTTCTGGTGGTCGGTTGCATTTCCATGGCCGAAGACATTCAGGTTCTTGTAAGCAATGCCAGCCGTTCTCTCGGGATACTTTTCGGCGTCGCGCGACCGGAGATGGAGCAGGGCCTTGGCCCATGCGCGAGCGTTGAAGTTCTCCCCATTGGGATCCAGGGACGAGTTGGGCTCGGCCTCGGTGAAGGGGTTCTTGCCAATGGCGGAGTAGTGCGAAGCATTGGTGTATTGGCGGGCGAGAGAAGTGACCTGGCGGACGCGCTCGTGCTCGGATTCGCTGTCAGACTCGGAGCCGTTCTTCTCGTCCTCGACGGCTTCCGTGGGCTTGGTCGAGGTGGCGGTGCGGCCGCGGGACTGGGATCGGGATCTGGAGGTGGCTAATGTGGCGGCCTCGCTTCTCTCGTGGACAATGTCCTGCTCGATGTGCGGTTGCGAAGAAGATGTCTGCAGCGGGACACCGGCGCGCTGCTCGGTGCCGTCATTGCTACCAAACGCACCCATGAACGACGACATGGCGGCGGTGGAGCGGTGGAAGCTGGACCGGCTCCCGTTATTAGACAATTAGTAGTGTATGTATGGACAAGGTGAAGGCTGAAACTGAAACCCAACAACGGTGCGGGAGGGCTGGGTGCCGAAGCTGGCGGATCTGGGGTAGCGAAAGGCGAGAGAGGCCGAATGTATTTATTAGGATGACATGGATGCACACGCGCCCCATCGGCGGGGCCAAGGAGCCCGCCCACAGGGCGCGGTCTCGGGAGGTGCGAGCGATGGTCTCCGGGCGTGGTTGGCGTGCGAGGAGTGAGGACGCGCCGCAGTCTGGCAGCCGAACGGATGGCGGAATCAGGCCTCTCCGGGGCGCCACTAGCCCGCGAGCAGCAGCCGCTAGCCCACGCAGGGCCGCCGCGCCGCGCTCGAGCGCTCGAGCACCGCGCCAGAAGCTTCCGCTGCTCGCATCCCGGCCGCCCATCGTCGGGTGCCCTGTGCGCGGCCGGTTGCTCGACATCCGGTCCGCGGTGAGCGCTGCCAGCTGCTCTCTCATTTCACCTGCACGGCAGACCTTGCGAGCACCCGCAAAAACACCTCACCGACGACGCCCCCGGACCGTCTGCTGCGCCCTCGCTATCAGCGCGTGTTGTCCGCCCCACGCGCCCTCCTCCGGGTCAGCACCACCCGGTCCCGCCGCGCTGAAGAGGCATCTTGGCTGCTGCATGCAACCTCCATCTCACCGGCTGCCGTCAGTCTTGTCCTCCGCAACACAAGGCCCTCAGCGTCCTATTCTTATCTCTCTGTTCCCATCCGAGCCCTCTTCTTCGCCGGTCAGCGTCCTGTCTTCGCGCCCTGTCTCCCGATGCCGACTAGCACCGCACTCCGTCGTCGCCATGGTCGAAAGGCGATTGAGTACCGCAGCTGTTCTACCTTTTAAGCTTGTCTGCACCTCATCACCAGTCACTCCACTCTTGGCACATGGCTCGCTTTCGCGTCTGCGATCCTTTCAGACCCTCTCGCGTTTGGTCCCACATGGACGCAATCGGCGCCAAAGGGGGGCCCGCCCCACCCAGCCCTGAAGGCAGCAGGTCAACTGCAGCCGCGCTGCTCTGGGTCCAGATCTGACCCATGAGTCAGTGCGCTAATGCCCGAGCTCGTACTCTCACGCATCTCGTTCGCCAGCGGTGCGACTGCCGGCCGCGCTGGGGCGTTTCGGCACGACCTTTTTTTTTGGGGGGCGTTTCATGCAGCATTCTTCTCGTGGCTTTTTGCTGCGAAATTGGCGAATCTTTTTGTGGGCAGTCAGCGCCGTCGAAGCGACAATCGCGCGCAGGCTGCGGTCCCGCCACAAGGCTGACCGTCGTGCCTTGTCATGCATGTGCAACGTTCCATGCGCCGGGGCGGCTCTTCAGGATGATGTCAGCCCGCCGGTTTATGTAAGCCTCAGGCGCACGGATTCCGGCCCTATCTGGGACAACGGTCTCGAGATCCCGCCCCGAGCAAGTACTACCTACATAAGCCTTGGCCCCTCCGCAGTAACCGGAACAAAGAACTTTGTTCGAGAACAAGCGCCCAAGAGACAGCGCCGGCGATCCGGGTTTTACGGCGTTAGGCTCCGGGTAGATCCTGCGCGACACGCTGCCAAATGACGTGTGGCTCTGTGGCGTCCGGCAGCCGGACCGTCGTGTGCCGAACGGTGACCCCAGCGGCCTTCGTATGGCATCTTCCGACCATGACTTGTCGCTTCCATCGTCCTGGAATCCCGGGGGCCTGCTCATCTGCCTCGAGATCTCTGCCTCGACGCTGGTGGCTTGTGCGACTGTTGTTGCGGTGACGAAAGGGGTATTGCTGTCCATCCCACCATCTCCACACGCATGCCACTCGTGGCTTGGACATTCTTCACCAAATGTCTAGACATGCCGTCGATCGTGGGCCTGCATGGTCTTCGCGCAGGTCGGATCTACCACGAGTGTGCTTGTCCTTGTCCGGACTGGAGTGTCTCCGTCCCCGCTTTCAACCGGTCCAGTACATTTACTCCGGACGAACATCTTCGGACATTTGAGCTTACTCATGAAGGCGGGAGTGGGACTTCACCGATGCAAGCATTCGTGTCCTACCTAGTCAGGGGGCCATCGACTCCACCAAGGCTTGGAAAGTTCCACGAGCCATCACTTCGGCACCGACTACTCCCTGATGCCTTAGTGGGCCCAATTACTCGCATATGTTTGCTCCAACCAGACTGAGAGGGATATATTACTACGTCGTAGAAGTGGGCACTAAACAAGATGGGCTGAGGCAGCCCCATGCATGCCACTACTGCTTTTTGGTCAAGTTGAGACAGGAAGAGAAACGGTGACAGACGCTACCTGCCCAATAAACCGGAAGCATGACTCCGTACTCCGTCCCGAGAACCCCTTATCCAAGCAAAGGTACCCTAGATCTTCAAAATCACAACATAAACAGGAGATCGTACCAAATTGAAATCATGTAAGAGCCCTTCCGTTCCCTCGACTTTTCCTTCTAACCACAACTTCTCATGAGGACAAGACTTTGACCCCGGCGGCAACCCCTCGACCACGTACCACGTTAGAAACCTTCGCCGAAGAACCTGCTCGCAGCTATAACTTCTTGATCGCCGTTGGCGAAGTCCCAGCCAACAATGGTCGGGTCCTGGCTGCAGCAGATGATGCGTCTAGAATCGAACTGCAACTTGAACACACGAGAATTGCTGCCTGTCGGATTCACTGTGCCGCCTACAAGGGGGACGTGTTGGTGGTGATGGTGGTGGTGGCCATGCTGCTGGTTACCATTGTGTCCGGGCTGCGCTGGTGGTTGAGCATTGTTACCAGGCTGAGCTGCCTGTCCCTGTGGTGCCTGCAGGGCCTGTGCTTGCTGCACAAGTTGCTGAGCCTGTTGTAGCTGCGCAACTTGCTGTTGTATCTGCTGGATGTTTGCCGGTTGGTTTGGTGCGGCGCCGTTCTGCTGCTGCTGAACTTGATTCTGTGCTGCTTGTGATGCCGCAGTCAGAGCGGCCATTTGCTGCTGCAATTGATGGTTCAGGCGTGCGGGAGCAGGGCCGCGTCGTCTACCTCCACCAGCATTGGCAACTGCCTCGCTCTGTAACAGGCGTTTGTGAGCAACCCATTTCCCGTCTGGAGCTTTCTTCCAGATGATTATGCTCTCGTCATACGAGCCTGAAACAATGCGTCCCCAGCGGCTACCTCCCCCACCCGGTGGAAGTTTTGCGCCATATGCGAATATTTCTCTGGGGTCACGCGATCCAGCGTTCCTCCTACGGCGCTCCTCCCGCGTAAGTTCTGTCAGCGCGCCTCTTGCTCTAGCTTCGAAGTACTGCTGGTCAACAGCACGAGCCTCGGCTTCGAGCTCTTCCTCATTGCCCGGCATATCTCCAAACTCCGCCTGCACTGTACGGACGAGATTGGCGTGCCCTCGAAGGCAAGCTACCTCTGCCCCAGTGACCCTGTCAAAGATACGTACTGTCTCGTCAGAACTGCCAGTGACAATGCGACGACCATCGAATTGGACGCATGCGATGCCTTTAGTGTGGCCGGGGATGGTCTTCAGGCAGGCGCCTGTATGAATGTCCCAAACCTTCACTGTGCGGTCACCAGAAGCAGACACTATTTGGTCGTCCCAGCACTGTATGGCGTTGACTGCAGCGCTGTGGCCATCGAGAGTCATTAGCAGACTGAATTCTTTGAGCGGCTTAAAGTTCAAGTGTTGGTTTTGGAGTTCCTTGTCAATGTTGATAATGTAGCTGGGGAATCGGGCACCACCACTGCTTATTCTTGGGTAGTCCCGGTCAGTAGGGATAAGCTGCCTGCGGTTCCATACTTTGATGGTCTTGTCCTTGGAACAAGTGATGAGATAGCGATCGTCGAAACGCAAGTTGAGGACAGACTCGCTGTGCGCGCGCTCCATCTTCTTGATCATTTGTCCGGTCGAGAAGCGCCAGACGATGACATGGCAGTCGCTACCGCCGGAAACCACGATGTCGTGCTCTGGCCTGTCGTCGAACTGTAGACACAGTACAGAAGCATCGTGACCTAATAACGGAGCCACAACCAATCTCTGCGTTTCCAAGTCCCAAATGCGGATGGTCTTGTCCCGACTGCCACTCACGACGTGTTTGGCTGAGTGCTGTATGGTGTAGACGCATTCTCTGTGTGATTCGTAGGGGTGTGACGGGTGAGGCAGTTGGAAGTTGGTGTACCTGCCCGCACCCCAATTTTCTTCCAGCCTCCGTTTCTGCTTGTAAAGATACTGCCAATTCACCATGGGATCTCCGAACGAGGACAAAATCAGAGAAGGCCTGATTGGCGGGTAGAGAATATCCGCAGGCGGTGGTGAGGCAACATCTTCGATGGCGAATTGTGGACGGGACTCTAGCTGCCGAGCGAGGTCGAGGACTCTCTCCTCCGAGGGAGACTCTCCCGGCTGCTGGCCGTCATAAGCAATGTCTTGCATGCCGTCTTCACTGCGTGCGGAGCTATCGTCGGCCTCGATGGCGCCGTTCTGTTCTGCCCAACCTCTTACATCGCCATCGGCCACTGTAGCGACGGGCCCGCTCTGCGAGCCGTCACCGAACAGGTGTTGCTCTCTGATCCGCTTTTTGGTGTGCATCTGCTCGAGATCGGCATCGCCGCCACGGACTCGCGACTTGCGTTCCTTCATTATTGACCTGTTTTCTTTTTCATGCTCCTCAAAAGTCCTGATTTGGCGAAGGTTTGCTGTCCAACCTTCGGCACCAAACATGCACTTCCACAACTGACTGTCCAGGGCACGGCCCCGCCATGCTTTCGACAGCGTCGAAGTCTTTAAAAGAGTTTCCGGTTCCAGATAGGAGAATACTTGAAAGGTGATCTCAGGCGGAAGGTACAGCACCGGGTCGAGGTGGAGCCGCGAATTCAGTCGCTCGACAATGGCGGCTATGGACGCAGTGCGCAGCGACCGCAGAATCTCGAGAGCGAATTCTGGAGGTTGTCAGCGCCAGGCAGGTTTGCGCGAGCACGGGCACGTCGTATACCTGATCTGTCATTTTCCGGCAGACTCAATATCCAGCCGGGGAGTGTGACGCGGGAGGCACTCTCCTCCGCGGCTTCGGATAGCTGAGGCTCGCTGCGCATGGCGGTGTCGACCTCGCTCTGGCTCCGCGTGTCCTCGGAGAAGCCCTCGTCGAGCTTGAAGGGGGTGCCCATCTTGGCGTTGGTGTAGTCGTGGAGGTACGGGGCCTGAGAGATGAACGGGCCGTGGTTCGGTGTTGCTGGCTGGTCAGCCATTGTTTGGGGGGTAGAGCGGACGGCGCGGTTGCGTTCAGAGGCCGCCGAGTGCCCTGGGCTTCGGCTCATGCACGCGGGTATAGACGACGCGGGCAGCGGGCAGCGGGCAGCGTGGGCGAGCAGCGGTGCGCGACGTCACCGGGGCGGCGCAGGGCTGGTGGAGCGGGAGCGGGCGGGCTGGCGCGGCGATGGTAGGGCGCGGAGGTTGAGTGCTGACTCCGCGACTCCGCGACTCGGCGACTCCGTGCGTGGACGAGGCCTGAGGCAGCAGGCAGCCCGGGGCCTAGTCGGGGCCAGTGGCAATGTCAGCGGCACCGCGGCACCGGGCGAGTGTGCAGTGGCGCGACTGCAGAGCGCGGTGAGCGACAAGTCACGGCGCGTGAGAAACAGCCGTGGCCAGCGGGCGCACGCGGCAATGGGCAGCAGTGGGCAGCGGGCGCACGATCGCCAAGTCGGACGAGGGCACGAGTTGCGTCGGGCAGAGAGCCGCTGGCTTACTACGCCCGGCGGCTGGGCTCTGCTCGGGGCGATGGGCGGCGAGCACGCGACGGGGCGTGTTGGGCGCGCGCACACCTGGCAACCAGCGGTCTGCAGCAGCGTCTCGCGCCCGCCCACGATCTTTCGCCCTCGTCGGCTCGTCGCGCGCGTTCTGCGTCGTCTGCCGCTGTCTGCGCTGCCCGCGGCCACTGCCATCCCACTCGTCTTGGCGCTAGGGCCCCATCGCGCAGCTTTGATCCCTCGGCGGCTTGCACTCCCAAGGGGCACGCTGAAACCGCGGCGCTCACCCGTCCAGGCCAGCACCAGCAGCACCTCATCCCCTACCCTACTGCTGCGCTCGTCCATCACCACCTCGCCGCCTGCCCGCCCGCTCGCACCCACGCGCCCTGCAGCAGCCCCCAGCTCGACCGCGCGCCTGCGACCCCCAGCGACCTCACCGCATCGCCGACTCCAAACTGGCGTGAAGGCGCTGCCCCGGCGCCCTTCCGCTGCGAGGTCTCACCTCACCACCGCACCTCAAACCTCATTCCTCTCACCCCAGGCACGGTGATGATGGAGGTTGGAGTTCATGGGCCTTTGTCTCGAACCCACACCACACCCATTTCGACTGCGCATTCCCGCCTCCACAGCGCCGGCGGGCCCACACCCCTCATGCCGAACTCAAACCATGCGAGCTTCTCGACCTATTCCTCGCGGACGTCCGACTCGTCCCAGGGCACCTCCACCTCGACCCTGTTCCCCCCGCCACCCCTGCCGACCTCGGCTCCTCCTGCCAACGGCGGGCCCATCGAAGCCGCCAACAATGTCCTCAACAAACGCGGCGACAAAGAGGCCTCGCTGTTCATGATTTGCTTGACATTGTCGCGTCGACTGCGCACCGTGCCCGGCTTCGCGGACATCATGCGCGAAGAGGAGGAAGCCGCCGACGAGGACACTGACCCAGTCACATTGCTGTGGAGGACATTCCGCAAGGGCTATCCCTTGATGACCATCTACAATGCCCTCGATCCCGACGTGCGCCTCGAGGTTGACAAGAACAAGGTGTCGGAAAAGAAGCGCGAACAGGCGGCAACCTACAAATTCCTGTCGGCATGCATCAATTCGCTCAAGTTCCCCTCGGATGAGTGTTTCGTCATCAGCGACCTGTACGGCGACGACACGACCGGCTTTGTCAAGGTATGTCGCTTCACAGAACTGCGCATTGCGTGGCGTCATCTAACATGCACCAGGTGGTCAGGGTCGTCAACCGCGTCCTCGACATTCTCACCAAGGAAGGCATTATCTGCGGCGACATGGGTAACGGAGACGGTGCCGATTCCGACACAACCACTACGACGAAGCGGACCCAGCGCCAACACATCATCGATGAGCTCGTCAAGACCGAACGAACCTACGTGCAGCATCTCGAGCTCCTGCAAGAGTTCAAAAAGCTAGTGGAAGAGAGGGGAATAGTCACCGGCGATGCTGTCCACTCCATCTTCCTCAATCTAAACGCCTTGCTCGACTTCCAACGCCGCTTTTTGATCCGCGTCGAGCAGACGAATGCGCAGCCAGAGTCGGAGCAGAACTGGGGCAGGCTTTTTGTGCTATACAAGGAAGCGTTCAAGGTGTACGAGCCGTACATTGCGAACCAGAAAAAATGCGAAGAGACGGCAATGGCAGAGTTTGAAAAGTTGAAGGAAACCGGCGGCACTGCAGAGCTTCGACAAATGGTCGAATCGCCGACTCATTTAACATCATTCTTGCTCAAGCCTTTCCAGCGTCTTGCCAAGTATCCTTTGCTTTTAAAGGTATGTACTAATCCTCTCTGGCGTTGGGCAACACACTCATTGTTTCACAGGAGCTTAGGGACAAGGGTGATCTCGATGAGGAAAGGCGTGACGACATCTCTACCGGTATCGAAGCCGCTTCTGCTGTGCTAAAGAGAACGAACGAAGCTGTCGACTTGGAAGACCGCAAAGAAGCACTTGAGGAATTGAAGAGCCGCGTTGAAGACTGGAAGGGTCATCGCATCGAAGGGTTCGGAGATTTACTGCTCTACGGCACCTTTACCGTTCTTAAGGGCGATGGAGGAGGCGGCAAGGACCAAGAGCGAGAGGTGGGTCAACCTGACTGTGAAACGTTGGGACGTTGCAACCGGAGTCTATCGCGAATTTCTTTTTTCTTTTGCGATACTTCTGCAAGTGTCCCAAAGTTTGATTGGTCACTGCTGACAGTGGTAATATCCAGTACAAAATCTTCCTGTTCGAAATGATTCTGCTCTGTTGCAAGGAACTCAATCCCAACAAGCAGAAGAACAAGCTCATGAGCAACAAGCAACTATATGACAAGAGGGGAAAGCCCAAGTTGCAGCTCAAAGGGCGCATCTTCATGCAGAACGTTACCGACGCGATCTCAACAGCGAAGCCAGGTAAGGCTTCCAGGTTCGAAAAGCCGTGTGTCAGTCAGCTTACATCTGATTTTTTATTTTTTCTTAGGATCCTACACCTGCCAGATCTTTTGGAAAGGCGATCCCGGTATCGAGAACTTCGTAATCCGATTCACGACCGAGGAGACACTGAAGAAATGGGTTCACCAAGTCGATCAACAGAGGAGGCAGTTCAAGGACACTCAAAGATCGAGCAGTACCACCAAACATTCGACGACATCAGCAACAGAATTCACCTACATCAGAGATCAAGGTCCCATCGAAAACCCGTATGCCGAAAACGACGAAGACGATGAAATAGACGTTGCCGAAGTCACGAGCGGCTATCCTGGGCAGACGGATTATTCTCTTGCACAGAGCGAGTCGACTATCACCGGCCGAGCCCGATCGGCTACCGGCGAGAGTGGTGTCAACCCTCTAGATACATCTCGGCCTTCCGAGCCCACAGGTGCGAATAACCGCGCTCCGCCACCTCGATTCCCCATGGGCGCTCTGCAGAATCCGCCACTCACTCTTCGCACTCAAGCTCTTCAAGCTGGTCATATATCACCCGGTAGCGGTGGACCCATGGACTCCTACTTCTCCCCCGGTCTCGAGTCACCCATGTCGACACGCACGAGTTCCTCTTCCGGCATGTTTCCATTCCCACGCCAGCAGCTTCCCAACGGATGGCATGGAGACGACAACAATCGTTTCACCGCTCCCGCCATGGCTCGACACGCCTCTCGCGACGCTTCAAGTGGGTCTCACATCAACGGTCGGAGTGCAGTAGGACGACCATCTCTGGTACCAAATGCAGCTTCCCAAAGTGCTATGAACTCACAAATCCGCCTTCGTTCAGCTAGTAGTCCCGACATTCACAACCACCTTGTCGGCGCACAGCGGCGTACTCCAGGCGGCTCCGTACCAGACGTTCCCCCTTTTCCTACCCACTACGCTTACAACCCTGGTCTGGTGAACCGGAGCCAGAGTAATTCCCCGAACATCCCCACCTCCATGCCCCGCCAGCAGTCTCCGAGCATCCAAAGAGAAAAGCAAGCGCTTCGCACGCCCGGTTCCGAGATCAACCTCCACTTCGATTACCCCGAAGCCAACGCGCGGCAGGATTCGCGCGTCACGCCAGGCTCTTCGAGAACTGCGACGCCAGCATCTTCGTTTGAACAGGCAAGGACACAGACGCCAGCGGCCGACCGACCGGCTTCGCCGACGCTACCGTCAGCCCAGCCGTCGGACCTTCCGATTCCCTCGCAATTGAAGGTCAAGGTGCACTGTCCGTCGGCAGGTTCAACCATGACGCTGGTCGTCAGCACCAACATCAGCTTCCAGAGCCTCAAGGATCGCATCGACGCGAAATTGCAGCGCAGTACCAACGTGAGTCTCAGTTCTGGACAAGTAAAGCTTAAGTATCTCGACGACGAGGATTACGTCAGCATTCAATCGGACGAGGACGTCCAGATGGCGTTTGAGACGTGGAAGGAGCAGCAGCGAGACCAGCTCCTTTCCGGTCAGCTCGGCGAGATTGAGCTCTTCTGCCAGAAGTGAGCTGCTCGGGTACAATAGGCACTCGACGTTTCGATCGATACTCCTGCGCGCGTTGCTTTCCGATCGGCGATACGCTACTCATTTTCCGGCGTCTGGCTTCGGGTGGCTGCCATTGCGCATTGCATCATTTTCTGGCGCTCAACGGGCGCCTTGCGGTTGCTGTTTTTTTTTTCTGCGGTGTGTCCTTTGCTTTCTTTTTTTTCTTCTTCGCCAGCTCGACAATCTGACTTTTTCCCGGGCGGACGTTGTCACTTCGCCACTGGTCGATCTATGCCGGAAGATTATGGGCTCATCGCATGAAGAAAGGGGTTGTGTTCCAGGGAACCCGGATTATCGACGCAAAAAGAGATACCACTTATCCGGACATGAAGTATGCACGGCACGGGGATATGAGAGCCTTCATCAGCATCTTCCACTTCATTTTATTTTTCGCTTCTCTACGCGACCTCCTCGGATGAGTCGAAGTTTGCTTTCCTTTTTCTCCGACACGCCGCGTGCCGGGCTGCTCCCACTTATCAGGTCGCGGCTTCCGCGTGGTCTGTCTGTCTTCGGTGCCGGCCTCGATGGCCCACGCACCGCTGGGCGTCGTCCATGACGGCCGTATGAAGAAATTCTTGGATTCCGTGGGTCGAGGGAAGCTATAGTCGAAGGCACTGCAGGTGCCTGGAGGCGAGGGGATTCGAAGTAGGAAGGGCCTCGAAAGCGGGTGCGTGGTGGGCTGAATCGAACCCTTACGGAAGGCGAATGAATCGCACAGAGACACGGCCATTAGCGGAAAGCTGTGATGAAGTGATGATGAGATGAAATTCATGGGTGTTATTTGCCAGACTCGGGCGTTGCGCGCATGTCTTTGTCGTCTTACCATTCGCTTTCCAACGTCAGACCCGTTCTTCGAGAACGCCGCGTCATCACTTCCGGGAGACTGTCTGCTCCTGAACGGCTGAGGGTTAACGGTGTTTGGTGATTTGGGTGCTTGGCCCGTTGATTCTTCCATTTTATTTACTTGGATCTTTGGCTTCTTTTGACCTAAAGGTGAGAAAGATTTCAAAAACACAATGTATCTGTTCACTTGGAACCAGGTAGAAGCTTAATAGTCTTGTTGAACATGGCTTTCTCAGTGGTGCCTTGACCGCCCATGTGTGTGAACGACATGGTCCATGGAGGGGCTTTGGCGCCGCAGGGCGGCTCGGATGAGAGCAACAGCCGGCCATGCCGGCGCCGTTCGAGCGGTAGCCATGGCTGAGGCGTAGGCATCTACCGCTCCACATTCCCGCAAGGGCCCTAGCGAGGCTAATCGGACCACAGTCTGTACCCAACTAGCAGGCGTGCTCTCCACTCCACGGCTCTGCCGGCAAGCGGATCTGCGGATGCACGCGCTGCCGTCGGCGTTTCCGGCGTTAAGGCGCCTATGGCGTGGCCTATGTTCCCCTAACGCACATGTCCTGTGTCATCTCTGGCACAGATATCGCACAGGCGACAAACCCGATTATCAATCCGACTCGAGCGGACAGGGATTGAGCTCTAGTGAGCAATGGGAAAGCACAGGAGTGAACAGCTCGGGGCTGGCCAAAGGGCTCTAGGAGGGGGCACACGCACTTGCTTCCGTCCCCTTTTTTTTTTTCCACCAGGAACAAGCGGTGCAGTATGTACGTCTACGCCAACGGGAACGAACGCGTGGTTCGAGGCGAGGAAAGTGTCACGCGGTGAGCTCGGCCTATCACATTACTTGTATGAGCACAGTCATCCCGTCCCCTGAGGCCCTAGGATTCTATGCGCGGGCCGTCACCTGCGGAAACATTCCCTGTAATAGTCATTCGTAGTATCCCTCCTCTGGGAGTACCCTTTCCAAGGTTAACCATAGAATGGCCACTCCATCATCCCGGGGTGGTTAGCTGTCTCGTGTTTTCCCCCTCATTGCAGACTGTGTACCACGATGAGGTAGAGGTCTAGATTGAATACGTGAAGAGCCTCGCTCTTATCGTCTCATAATGTCTCAAGTTTTTTTTTTATCTCTGGACAAAGCAGCGGTAGAGAAAGCGGAGCTTGAGCAATGTCTCTCGAGCGTCCGTTCTCTGGTAATTTCCAAGGCTGAAAATTTAGCGGCAGCCTCGACAGACCATACTTAGTAGAATGGCAATTGACGGCGCAAAGTTGGATGAGCAGAGAAACCGAGATGTCTCGCGCAGCAAAATTCAAGGTGGGACCGTTGCTATCACTTTATGAGGTCTGTCATTGGGACGACACTTCACAAGGTGGAGCATATATGCTGAGAGGAGTGAAGCTTTCCAATTGAGCGACTCTACACTGGAGTGTTGTTCGTGCAGATGGCCGCAGGCGAAAGAAGCAGTTTACGTTAGCAACATCCAGCCCCCTACATTGGAAGAAAGCACATCCCCCCCCCCTCACTCCCTCGACCTCTTCACCTTCCCGGCCGGCAACGCCCACCAACACCCCACCATGCCCGCAAAGGCGGCCACGCAGATGGGATGCAGGACCCAGGTCCCGCTCCCGCTCAGCTGGGCGAGGGCACCCGTGGCGAAGGGCACGGCGGCGCCGCCGCTGCTGCCGGCGCCGGCGATGAAGCCGACGCTGGCCGTCACGATGTCGCGGCGGTCGACGAGCAGGCGGGCGAAGACGGTCTGGGCGCAGGGGTAGACGGGGCCGAGCAGCAGGCCGCAGAGGGCGACGAAGATGGTGTCGGAGAGCAGGTCGGGGACGAGCCAGACGAGCAGGTCGAGGGCGAGGGCGCCGAGGGTGAGGCCGACGACTGCGAGGCGCTCGCCCCCGATGCGCCGGTGGTGGCAGAAAGGGGCGAGGGCGAAGCGGCCGAGGGTTATGCCGCCCTGGGAGGGGGTAGGTTAGCTGCGGATCTTTGGAGAGAGAGAGGAGAGAGAGAGAGAGAGAGAGAGAGAGAGAGAGAGAGAGAGAGAGAGAGAGAGAAAAGCGGTGGAAAACTTACGAAGAAGCCGGCCGTCACGTACCCGACCTGTGCCGGGCTACCGCCGCGGTAATCGATCAGGAAGGAAATGACCCAACCTGCGATGGCGACCTCGGCGCCCTGGTACATGAAGATGAACAGTGCGCCCACGATTGTGACGCGGTTTCGTAAAGCCTGCTTCAGCAACGCCCGCTTCGTCGTCGTCGTCGTCGTCGTCGTCGTCGTCGTCGTCGTCTGGTGTTGCTGCTGCCGTCCGCTCCGCGTATCCTCTTGCTCTCCGTCCACAACAGCGACCCCAGTCCCAGTCCCAGTCCCAGTCCCAGCCCCAGCAGCTACAGCAGTACACGCGCTCGCCGTCCGGCCCAGCTCCATCAGCAAGATAGACTCCGCAGCGCCATCCTCGCCATTCTCCTTCTCGTAATTCCAGAACGCCCAAGCATTGAAGGCGACGCAGGCGACGCGCACGCCGACGGACAGGAAGTAGAACCTGCTCCACAGCACGCCCGAGGCGGCCAGGGCGGTGGCGACGACGGGGCCGACGGTGCCGCCGAGGCCGTAGCTGCCGTGGGCGAGGCCGAGGATGAAGGTGGAGCGGGCGAGGCGGGAGCAGAAGACGTTGTTGAGGGCCAGGTTGATGGCGCAGCCGAAGCCGAGCAGGAAGAAGGCGGCGACGACGCCGGGGAAGCGGCGCGGCGTGCTCACGACGACGGCGTAGCCCGCCAGCATGACCAGCTCCGACACGACGAGCGTGCGCGCCCGGCCCAGGCGCGCGAGCAGCAGCCCGTCGGTGCAGAAGGCCGCCGCCACGAACCCGGCCGCGTTGGCCACGAAGACGAGCGACACGACGCCGTAGCCGACCCGGTAGAAGTCCTCCATGTACGGGATCAGCGCCCCCGGGGCCGAGTCGGACAGGCCGTTGCCGAAGTACACGAGGCAGGCGCAGAGGACGCGCCATTTGTTCATGGGCGGGTCCCAAAAGGTTTGGATGGCGGGCTCCAGCTCGTTCGGCGCCATGGACGTCTGCGTACGGCTGTAGCTGCTGGGCGGGATGCTGGAGACGGCATCTCCGGTGCCGCTCTTGGGAACGGATGGCTCCTCTTGCGAGCCTGCGAGGGGTTCGCTCCAGATGAGGTCATCGAGCTCTTGGTTGGCAGGGGGATTGCGTACGGAGGGTGGCTTTTTGCGCGAGACGGGAGGTGTGGTGATACGCCTGGGGTCTTCAATGTCAAAGAGGGTACCAAATGCGTAGGACATGTTGGACGAGATGTAGAGTAAGCCAGTTCACGAAGTCACTGCGTTAGAGAGGCGTAGTGAAGATGAAAGACAAAGGAGAAGGCATGCTGTGGGTCGCAGCGAGAGATTTAATCCGGGGCTGCGGACAGGAGCCATGGTGCTTAGCTATCAAGGCATACGTCAAGAGCAAGCCATAGCATGCTTAGTAGCAAGTAGGGAGGCACAGGAGGTTTGGAACCAATGATGGTCTCTGCAGCTGGAGTGTGCCACGGCAGGCCTCTCAGCTAGGACCTATAAGCTACGTGCTGTGAAGCGTAGAAGTGCGAATTGACGTGGCGATGTGCAGATGACCGGGAGGTTCTGCCAAATGCAGTCGGTTGTAGATAGCGCTGACCGTGGCACAGTAGTGTTGGAGTTGACAGTATTGCCAAAAGAAGCCTAGCCAGGCGGGAACATGGCCCGTGCCGTCGATCCCTCTGAAGGCGCCGCCGCCCGCATGTGAGAACGCACAGGAAAAAAAAAAGTGTCACATTCCAAGAAAGCACGGAAAACACTCTCCCCCACCATGGGCCGCCCGAAGCGCAACCTCCACGCCGTAGAGGCCGAAACCCTCACGCCGCCCGACGCCCTGACGCCGGCGCAGACCGTTGCCAAGGTCTCCAAGGCCGAGGGCAACAACCTCTACTCGGTCGAGCTCCCGGGCGACGGCGACACGAAGCGCACAACGCTGGTCGAGCTGAACGCCCGCTTCCGCAGCACCATCTGGGTCAAGCGCGGCACCTACGTCGTCGTCGACGCCGGCACCCTGGCCGAGCGCGACAACAAGCTGGGCGGCGAGATCATCAACGTCGTGCGCGACGAGAAGGCCTGGCGGAAGATGAGCTACTGGTGAGAGGAACGAAGGAGCCGCGAGACCGAGCAGAGCGCTGACTCGCATCCTTAGGCCGCCGCAGTTCAAGAAGCAGTCCGCCTACCCCGAGGACAGCGACGACGAAGAATCGACCGTCGGCAAGATGCCGCCCTCGGACTCCGAAGACGGCGAGTGAGGAGAGACAACAGAGCACACGTGGCGGGCATGCAGGGCCGGGGAGCAAAAGGTTTTTCATTCATCGCGCTCGGAAGGGGGAGGAGAAAAAAAAAAAGAGGGCGCTTGTAAGCGGGATGCGCAAAAAACTACTCGGCATGCAGATGCTGGTGCCCATGCCCATGCCCATGCCCATGCCCATGCCCATGCTGCTGCTCGCCCTCGAACTCGCCGCGCGTCCCCCACCACACGCCGGCAACCTGGGCCGCCAGCGCGCCCACGACGACGGCCGAGCTCGCCGGCGTCGACGGAAACACGTTCCACGCCCACTCCTGCGCCGCCCACAGCGCGTACTGCGCGACGGGGTGCAGGCCCGCGCGCCACGCGAGGAACGGCGTCGCCCACGCGATCCACGCGTAGAACTGGTAGTGCAGCGAGCGCGCGCACAGCATGCCCGCCGCCACGCTCGCCAGCATCGTCGTCAGCACGAAGCGCGGGTTGATGCGCCGCCCGATGTGCACCTGGTCCAGCGGCTCGCGCAACACCATGCAGATGCTGTCGGCGAGCGACGGCCGCTGCGCCGGCTTGAGCCAGCGCGTGACGGCGAAGGCGGTCAGTAGCACGGCGTGCAGCGAGAGCAGGCCCACGGAGAAGGGCTTGGAGAGGAAGGTGGCTTCGGACACGAAGCGCCAGTTGACCGTCCACTTGTACAGGAAGATGCGCGTGAGCTCGAAGGCGCGCGAGAAGTAGTTTTTGGCGTTGACTTGGATGAAGGGGAAGCCGAGGAGCAGCTGCCCAAGGGGTATCAGTACCGTGCGAGGCGAATATGAGAATCTATCAACACGACGTACCTGCAAATAGCCAATGATGGCCGCTTGAGTGAAAGCCCTGTCCTTGCCGATTGCCTGTAGCAGGATCAGGCCCACGGCCGGCAGCGCGAGCAGCGCGCTCATCTTGACGCCCACGGCTAGCGAGTACAGGACGGACCCCATGGTCCACATGCGCCGCTGGTAGGCGTAGATGGCCGTGAAGAAGAAGAAGACGGCGAAGCCATCGTTGAAGCAGCGCAGCACGAAGACGCTGTGCAGCCGCTTGGACAGGACCAGCATGGGGAAGACGTACGGAGGGACCTGTTTTTGGCGTGTCAGCTTGGTGATAGTACATATGTAAAGGTAGGGAGGGTAAGGGGGATGACAAAAATAAAATAAAAAACACACCTTTGCCAGCCTATAGCAGGCCATGACGATGGTCAGGGCGGCGAGATACAGGCCAGCGAAGGCAATCTGGGCCAGGGCGATCTCGCGACCCTCGTGGGTGAGGGCGTACAGCGCGCGATAGATGTAGACGTGAGCGGCGGGATAGACCAGCGGGCCGGTGCCGCCTTTGATGGCGGCGTAGTCGCGCTCGCCGGCCAGGTACTGAGCCACCTGCTCCATGTAGGCCTTCCAGTCAATCTCCGTGTCTGGCGGATTCCCGGCGTTAGCGGTGCAGCTGGACGGACGGGCGGCAGGGTGGGCAAGGGGGGGTGGATGATTGCTTGGACGCACAGGGGATCTTCCACATGATGAGGCCGCACAGCACAGCGTCGGCGATGAGCAGCAGCGGGCACAGCCATCGGGCGTACTTGGGATTGGTGGCGATGGAGAAGGCTTGGGCGACGAGATGCATGTTTGCTGTGTCTGCTGGACGTGAGAGGGAGCGGTTGCGTTCTCTCTCTCGGCTGATGACACGTAAGATCACGAGGTCACGTGGGTGCACGCGGTAGTGGTACGCAATCGCAGTTACAAGGCGCAAAATTGGAGGGAGCGATTGACGTTCAGGACATGGTGATGTACTGCGTGGTGTTCTGGGGGGTTCGTGTTCGCGGCTGCCGATCCTACGTCAGTCAGTAGCGCTCCAGGGGCAGACGGCCATCTGCCGCCGCTCTGCCATCGCTCTGCCATCGCCCTGCCATCGCCCTGCCATCGCCCTGCCATCGCTAGTCTGTCACAGCGCGGACGGCCCCAGACACGACAGGGCGGAAGGCAGAGCCTCTGCGTCCGGTGCGAGGGCTCCCGCTTGCTTTTCAGGCCCCGGGCCGGGCCCTGATAAGTCTTGCTTCATCAGCCAGCACCATGCTGCACGACGGAGATGATTTCAAAGCTGGGACTAAACACGACGGGATGCTCTCAGATGCGCACATAAACAGGAGTGAAGATGAACGGTCAAGGATGGCTTGGATTGGTACCGATGGAAGCGGTGCGAGCCAGCATCACCACAGGCAGCGCTGACAAGGCCCACGCCTAGCGCGACGCACCGGTTGCAGTTGCATGGCGGCAGGTCTGCCCTAGGTACATGCTACACGTCCTCCTTACAGCGACCACGGTTTCTCCACACTGCATTATTATTCCAGAGTTGTTGAGCAGATAAACTTTACCAGGCTGTCGGTTCGGCCGTGCCGCATTCCATGTCTGCCTTGCAGCTAATGCCTGCACACCTTCCTTCGACGACATGCCGTGTCGCTTCAATCTCGGCCGTGTCCCGGGCCAGCACCATTGCTTGGCTGCTCCAATCTGGCTCGTCCAAGATAACGCCCGACGAGGCCGAGGGTAGGCAGCGGACGACTTGCCTGATGAAGCTACTCCGGCACTTCGCATCGCTATGCCCAGCTGTCCTGTCTCTGGCCACGTTAGCATGTTTTGAGTTGCCCGTACTCCGTAGTGCCCATGCTACACGACTCGGTGCCATGGCTGCCAACGCTGGCAGAGCGGACGGCATGCTTCGCTGAACCGGGCGCGCGGGCGGGCGGATGCAACGGCGATTGGGGCAGGTGCATGGCGGATGGGCTTCCTCGTGGGCTCATCAGTCCACTCTTCGTCCGCCGTGCGATTGCGGAGAAGAGCCGGGTTTGCGGGGGAAGTGGCACTGGACGAATATGGGGAAAGCTCTTCGGCTTGCGCAATCTGAGCTCGAGCTCGTTCCATTCCGACGTCGTCGTCGAGGGGTCGAGAGCTTTGGCCGAGCCCGGGCCATTGAGCGTCATCGTCGTCGTCGTTGTTATCCAGTGCACACGTTCCGACGCGTTGATTTACATGATTATAAGATACAAGCGGCGGAGAGGATGTGGAAAAAAGGAATCCCTTCTATGAGCAAATACCACGAAGATGTTCGATGGCTCTAATGCGGTATTTTTTCGTACAGGTACATTTCCATCGCTCTAAACCGCCGAGGGTGTCCATTCCCACCACGATGACTGCATCCCCTGTTCTCGTCTCGAAGCAACGACGAATGACGGGCACACGAGGCCCGATACCCAAAGTGACCCCCCATCCGCCCAAGCCATCATCCCCTGGCAGACGCTTACACGAACTTGGCCATCATGGCAACCATCAGGTCGAAAAGACCAATGGCCTCGACGAAGGCGAAACCAAGAATGGCGTAGGAGAAGAGCTGGCCGCGCATGCTGGGGTTGCGGCCGACAGCAAGGATGAGAGCACCGAAGACGACACCGATACCGATACCGGCACCACCGAGACCGATGGCGGCGTTACCCATGCCAAGGTTCTGCGAGACCTGGACGAGGGCGTTGGCCATCTCGGAGCTGTACGGGCGCGCGGTCTGCTTGTTGAACTGGGCGGCCCTGAGGATGGCAGAGGGCTGCTGGCGCTTGACGGCCTGGAAGGGAGTGACACGCTTGGCAGCAGGGCTGGCAACTGTTCATGATGGAATTGACTCAGTACGGGATGCACAATTGATGGAAAACTTTTGCAACGAGGGTGAAGGTCAGTCTGTACCGGTGAAGGCGCGCTGCTGGACGGGAGCGCGGAACGCGGGGCGGGCGGCCCTGGTGAGGGTGGCCATCTTGGGGGTGATGCGAGCAGCAGCCATTGTGATGGAGTTGATGGAATTGAAGCTTGGTTGATGAATTGAAGCTTCGAATGGACGGGTCGATGGAGAGTCGGAGAGAAGGAGAGGAAGAGTTTGTGAGCCGGATTGAAAAAAGCGAGGGAGAGCTTCGGCGCTGGCTGGTCCGTGGCCGCAAGCTCTGGCACATTGGGAAGCGCACCGCCGGGCACACACAACGCCGATCTTGCAAGCAACCGCCGGCGAATTCGCTCACCGCGGCCCAATCGCGGCGCGCCAGGCCGCCGCAGGCCCACCGCTCTCGGGTAGCGCGCGGTCGGCCTGTCACCGCGAAGGTCCTGGTGAGATGACAGGCACGGCGCACAGCGGACACATAAAGAGCGAGCCCACCCTCCGCGAGCATCTCTTTCGAACCTTTTGGCCGCCCGTCGCCCGAGGGCGCGTCCGCTCGCAGGCCGCCAGGCCGTCAGGCATCCGCACAGCATGCCGGCCCCGGCGGACAGCTCTGCGATGTGTGGACCCGAAATTTCTGGCAGGCGGTCACGAAAAGCTGCGCCGCCTATCCCGACACGGCTAGTGCAACCAGCCAGCAGCACAGAAAGCAGCCCTATGCAGACGCCGCATGGCGCATCCCTGACGACATGCGCGGCCGTCGTGCTGTGTGCTGCTGTGTGCTGCTGGCGGCGGGTTTGCAGCGCAGCGGGCATCGCGACATGTGTCCAGCGGGTTTTGCGGCGGGCACAGCGCGCTCGGGCACCTGGACGGCGAGGCTGTGGAGCGTGGCTTAGGGCTCAGCGGGCTCAGCGGGCTCAGCGGGTCGTGGGCGAATTTACGCAACCCGGTTAGTTCCGACTCGGTGAGATAAGACGCGGTCGTCGCAGCAGTCCCGTGGACGCCGTCGTGTCTGAAGGCCGTCAGTGCGGGTCCATGCTCTAGTCAGCGGGAGCCTGTTACTCGCTAGCTCAGGGCAGATGGAAAGAGGCGGGTGGGTCGCGCTCTGGATCCGGCTTCGGCCATGAGGCTGACGCTGTGCTCACCAGCTTCCCGTCGGCCGCGGCATCGGCGAGGGCAGCAGGCCGGACCTCCGCACCGCCGCCGTGGCCCGCCGTGGCCCGCTAGCATCACGACGGCGCCCTGGGAGCGGGAAGGGCGATGGAACAGGCGCGTGCGGCGATGGGTGGGTGGTGACGTCGTCGGCGATGTCTGGGTGGCAGTTTCGCGAGGTCGAGAGGAAGTGTAGTCGGTCCGAGAGGTGCGCAGGGATGCGGGCGGCGCGCCAAACCCGTTGCGGACTGCGGCCAAAATCTCTTCGCAAACGCCAGGCACAACCCGCTTGCACAACCTCATCGAGGACGGCGCTGTGCGGGCCTCCAGACTACTCCCACTCTGACACGGACTCCACGATCTCCAGATCTTCCCGCCACTCCAGCTGCCTGCGAGCGGGGAGGCGCGACCCGGCTTGGGACACCGTCCAGACTTGTCGCCCGCCCGGAGGCGTCGTCGAAGCCTGGCTGGAGGCACTCCTGTCGGCTGTCTCAGCCCGAGAAAATTTTTAGACGCGCAGCCCGTGGTTCGCCCAACCAGCAACCTGTGTTGGCTGCTGCATGGGACAGGAGCGCGGCAACCACCCGTCCTGTCCTCTACCGCTTCCGCTCCGGTGTCGCTTCCGCCACCTCATTATTCGGCCTTGAGCAAGCTTGGGCCTACGCACGGGAAGTCGCCCCCCACGTGTCAGACCCCACGCCTTCCGACACGCCAATGTCGCTTGCCGCCTGTGGCTGAGAAACCTCTTTCCATTCTCTGTCCGCTTGTTCTATGCTCTCGGCTTTCAGCTGCTGGATGCATGGATCCTCAGTCCGGCTTACTGCCTCTCGCCCAGCAGCGTGCCCTATCACCTCTTATCTTGTCCAGCCGTATCAATGCCACTTCATTGTTCCGGGATGCTGCATATCTCACCCAAGTCGATCCTTAGTCAGGGCTCCGTATCTCTCATCGAAGGCCAGCCGCAGCTGAGCAGAACAAACGCTTCATTGGGTCCGTGCTGAGGCTCCTTGAGCTGCCGCCAGCATTACACAACCGTGCCTCAATGCATGGATTGCGTTCACTCATTTGCTGACCGATCAAGGGACTGACGACATCTACTGTGCACAAGAGGGCTGGGGAATCATCCATTACATGCCCGGTCCCCAAAGCGATGATCACCCATTGCCCCATACGCTAGTCTGAAGGGCAGTGTGAAGCTGCGCCCATGCCCCCTGTTCGACGCTCTCAAGCGCCGATCCGAAGCCCCATTCCCATAAGAGTGGGAAGATGCCAGAGAAACGCCTCGTTTGCTCTTCTTTTTCCGCCCCGACAGTGAGCATCTTCTACTTCCCAAACATCTTGACGTTCGTGTCGTGATATCCTTCCGCCGCGGCGCTCTAGTATGCATTCAAGCCACATGCTCCGAGTGGACAGCCATCATCAAATCATCCCCTATGTCCTGGTCCATCGTCTCACGGGAGGAAAAAAGAAATGAAAAGGAACTCGTGCAGCATTGCTGCACTTGACAGCTCACATTTAGGTCGTTGCAAGGCGCCCAGAGTTTAATCTCCAACTCCATCCAATGGTACAAGGTCACTAGATTCCTCGCACAACCAGAGGCGCGGGTCAATCCAACGAGGCGCTCCAATGGTCCCCCTTGTCAAAACGTCAAAGTTGACGTGAAGCGTACGCGGGACGACTGCCCGCCTCACCGACAGACCGCCCGCCATGGGTCATGCTCCAGGCAGCAAACGGCGTAGCGGATGCCATGTCGCTCAAGCCCTGCGTACTGGAACTTGCCTCAGGTCTCGACTCGACCCTCCTCTCTCTTGGCACGCCTCATTTCCCCCGCCACGTTGTTCAACACCAAGTGTTACCTCGATGTATACTGACAACAATAATGGACCTGACAGCGCGCATGGCATCACGCCTATAGCATCTCATCGCCCGACGGTGTTTGGTGGGAAAGTAAAAGTCAAGGAATGAGATTTATTGCTGCTACGACGCTATATCAAACAATCAATCCCTGCGACCGAAGCGACTTTTACTGAGGGAACTTTTTCTAAATTCCACCATGCTCGCTCTGTCCAGAAGAAGAGAAAAAAACAAGGAAGTGTCGCCAAAGGACTGCCCAGTGCGTCACACAGGATATTGTGGACCACCAGTAAAGTGTAGTTCTAACGCTCCCCCTTCTCCTTCGCAATCCCCCAATACCCCTCCATTATTGTCCGCAAAAACACAAGACTAAACAAAGAAAAAAAAGCTTTAGAGGAAAATCTATGGTCAAGCCCGATGCTCTCATCATTGTACAAGGGCGGACCCAGCCAGTAATCTCCTTTTTCTTTTCTGCACATTTTCTTACCCTCCCTCATCGTTTCTCTTTTGCTATTATTCCGATTCGCGTCACTATATCAATCCGAAGAAAAGAAAGGAAGAAAAAAAAAACCCCCTCCCCCCAATCACCCCACAACACCCCACGCGACCGCACCACCGACGACGGCAACGATCCACCTCGAGCCCCACGGCCTCGCGGCCGCCGCGCCGGCCCCGCTCAGCGGCATGGACTCCTTCGGCCTCGACGAAGTCTTCGACGCCGGCTTCGTCGCAGAAGGCGTCTCCGTCCCCGTCCCCGTCTCCTCCGCCGGCGCGCCCCCGCCTCCGACCTCGCCCTCCGTCGGCGTGGCGGCCGCGGCCGGGGAGCTGTACCCGGGCGTGCCTGGAGGAGGGTAGGCGGGGGAGTTTGCGGCCGGTGATCCGGCCGGAGCCGCGGGCTGGGATCCGACGGGTTGCGGAGGCTGGGGCTGAGGCTTGACGGTTTGGGATTCGGCAGGTTGGGACTCGACGGGCTGGGACTCGACGGGCTGGGACTCGACGGGCTGGGACTCGACGGGCTGGGACTCGACAGGCTGGGACTCGGCAGGCTGGGATTCAGCAGGTTGTGTCTCAGCTGGATGAGATTCAGCTGGATGAGTTTTAGCAGGCTGGAATTCAGTAGGTTGCGTCTCCGCTGGATGAGTTTCAGCAGGTTGCGTCTCAGCTGGATGAGTTTCAGCAGGCTGGGATTCAGCAGGTTGCGTCTCCACTGGTTGATATTCAGCAGGCTGGGATTCAGCAGGCTGGGATTCGGCAGGTTGCGTCTCCACTGGTTGGGATTCAGCAGGCTGCGTCTCCCCTAGATGAGCCTCGACAGGCTGTGATTCGGCAGGGTGGGATTCAGCAGGTTGAGTCTCTACTGGTTGATATTCGGCAGGGTGGGATTCAGCAGGTTGTGTCTCCACTGGATGAGATTCAGCAGGCTGGGATTCGGCAGGGTATGACTCGGCAGGCTGGGATTCAGCAGGTTGAGTCTCCACTGGTTGATATTCGGCAGGGTGGGATTCAGCAGGTTGTGTCTCCACTGGATGAGATTCAGCAGGCTGGGATTCAGCAGGTTGCGTCTCCACTGGCTGAGACTCGGCCGGCTGAGATTCAGCAGGTTGAGATTCGGCGGGCTGAGACTCGGCAGGCTGGTGCTCTGTAGGCTTCACAGGGCCGGGCTGCGTCGGCACGGACTGCGACTCGGCGGGCTGGGTTGGAACTGGCTGAGGCTGCTCTCCGGAACCGGACGGTTGTAGACCGGTCTGGGTGAGCACTTGAGTGCTGCCCTGTTTTGGTCCCTCCTCTGTCAGCGTTGCGGTCTGCTGAGGAGAGCAAGTAGAACACTCGGCTGGAGGCTGCTCTGCCGGGGGTTGCTCTGCCGGAGACTGTTCCGCAGGAGGTTGTTGGGCTGGGGGATGCCCTGCAGGAGGTTGTTCTACCGGGGGTTGCTCTGCCGGAGGCTGTTCTGCCGGGGGTTGCTCTGCAGGAGTTTGCTCTGCCGGAGGCTGCTCTGCAGGGGTTTGCTCTGCCGGAGGCTGTTCTGCAGGATGCTGTTCTGCAGGAGGTTGCTCTGCCGGAGGTTGCTCTGCAGGAGGTTGCTCTGCCGGGGGTTGCTCTGCAGGAGTTTGCTCTGCCGGGGGTTGCTCTGCAGGAGTTTGCTCTGCCGGAGGCTGCTCTGCAGGGGTTTGCTCTGCCGGAGGCTGTTCTGCAGGATGCTGTTCTGCAGGGGTTTGCTCTGCCGGGGGCTGTTCTGCCGGGGGTTGCTCTGCAGGAGTTTGCTCTGCCGGAGGCTGCTCTGCCGGGGGCTGCTCCGCCGGGGGCTGTTGAGCAGGAGGCTGCTGCGGTGGAGGTTGCTGAGGCAGAGGTTGAGCCGTAGGTGGCGGCGGCGGAATTGGCACGACAACGGTTGTTGAGCCTCCAGAACAAGTGCTGCAGCTCCGCGTTTGTGTAATAACAACAGGCGCAGGAGTGCTCGTCGGGGCTGTTACGACAACAGTCGTTGAGCCTCCAGAACAAGTGCTGCAGCTCTGCGTTTGTGTAATAACAACAGGCGCAGGAGTGCTCGCCGGGGCTGTTACGACAACAGTCGTTGAGCCTCCAGAACAAGTGCTGCAGCTGTGTGTCTGCGTGATAACAACAGGCGCAGGAGTGCTCGCTGGGGCTGTTACGAGAACAGTTGTTGTGCCTCCAGGACATGTGCTGCAGCTCTGTGTATGTGTGATCACTTCCTTCGTGGGGCTATTCGAAGGTGCTGGTACAATAACCGTCGTTGAGCCACCAGGGCAATCGCTACAGCTCTGTGTCTGCGTGATGACTTCGGTAGTGGGTCTGTTCGAGGGGGCTGGTACAGTGACCGTTGTAGAGCCACCAGGGCAATCGCTGCAGCTCTGTGTTTGTGTGATGACTTCGGGAGAGGGAGCCGGTACAACAACAGTCGTCGAGCCTCCAGGGCAATCGCTACAGCTTTGTGTTTGTGTGATGACCTCTGTTGTGGGAGAGGGAGCCGGTACAACAACAGTCGTCGAACCGCCGGGGCAGTCGCTGCAGCTTTGTGTTTGCGTGATGACCTCTGTTGTGGGAGAGGGAGCTGGGACAACGACAGTCGTCGAACCGCCGGGGCAGTCGCTGCAGCTTTGTGTTTGTGTGATGACCTCTGTTGTGGGAGAGGGAGCTGGGACAACGACAGTCGTCGAGCCTCCAGGACAATCGCTGCAGCTTTGTGTTTGCGTGATGAATTCTGTCGTGGGAGAGGGGACTGGCACAATAACAGTCGTCGAGCCGCCGGGGCAGTCGCTGCAGCTTTGTGTCTGCGTAATCACCTCCCTCGTGGGGCTATTCAAAGGGACTGGCACAATGACAGTTGTCGATCCGCCAGGGCAGTCGCTGCAGCTTTGGGTCTGCGTAATCACTTCGGTTGTGAAGGAAGGAGCCGGAACAACAACAGTTGTCGAGCCGCCAGGGCAGTCGCTGCAACTCTGCGTCTGTGTGACAACAGTAGGCGAGGGGGTGATGGGCGTCAGTACAGTCGTACTGTAGCCACCAGAGCAGGTCGGGCACTCCTCGGTGACGGTGACCTTTTCGGTTGGGGGGACGGTTTGGTTACCCTGGCTGATGACGGCCGTGGTGTAGCCTCCAGGGCAGCTCTGGCATTGCGCCGTGACGGTGACCAGGCCGGTATAAGTAACAGACACGGTCTCGGTCCCCTTGTGCTTTACGGTCCTGGTGTAGCCCACGCTGGTCGTGTAGCCTCCAGGACAGCTGATACATGGCAGCGTTGTGGTATAAGGCACAGCTTGCGTCTCAGTCTCCTTGATCTTGACGGAGGTGGTGTAGCCACCGGGGCAAGACTCGCATTTCTCCGTCACAGTGACGTAGTTGTTGTACGGAACAGTCTTTATTTCCGTCTCCTTAAATGTCGTTGGCACGGGGACCGTGTTGTTCACGTACTGTGTCGTCACCTGCGTAGGGAGGAAAGTCACCATGGTCGTAGATCCTCCAGGGCAAGTGGGGCATGCAATAGTCTGCGTGAATGGCAGAGTCGTCGGGACGAGCCGAGGCGTCGTGACTGGGTGAGACTCCGGGATGTATCCTGGCGTGGGCACTACTTCAGGAGTGGTAGGATAGTGGATCGGTGTCTGCGAACAAGTCCAGCAGGGTGCAGTACCCGGAGTTGGTGACTGTGGCGGTGATTGCGGCTGCGGCTGCGGCTGCGACTGCGAGCATGGGCAAGGCTCGGGGCAAGGTGTCGGGCAGGACGGCGTCGCATACACAGAAGGCTCGGGCGAGTACACAGGTGTTTGTGAATACACGGGCGGTTGTGAATACATGGAAGGCTCGTGTGAATACACAGGAGGCCCGGGAGAGTACACGGACGGTTGTGTATACAAGGGAGACTCAGGTGAGAAGACGGAAGGCTCAGGTGAGAAGACGGAAGGTTCAGGTGAGAAGACAGAAGGCTCAGGTGAGAAGACAGAGGGTTCAGGTGAGAAAGAATAGACAGGTGGTGGCGAATCCACAGGTGATTGCGAATACACAGGCGGCGGTGAATCCACAGGTGATTGAGAATACACAGGCGGTGGCGAATACACAGGAGACGATGCATGCGGCGCTATAGTTCGTTTGGGCACCCAGAAATGGTGTTCCTGCTTCTTCTCGCAGCTTATGCAGGTCGAAGGGGAGAAATCGATCAAGGCACAGACGCCGTCATGGTGCGTGGACTTGTATATGGCAGATCCAGCGCGCGCCTGCATTACTGGAGGCTCGCAAGTGTTGCATTCGGGGTGGCCTTTGTACGTGCCAGTGCTGGCAACCACGCGGGTAATTTCGCAGCTCCTGCAGAGCTTGGCGTAGTAGTAATCAGAGCCACCGGCCTGCCAGTAGTTTATTTCTTCCTTCTCGAATCGCAGCTGGATCGAGTGCGGAATCGGAGCCGAAAGAGACCTGGCAGCACGGACCTTGCGGGGGGCAGCGACATTCCGCCGTCCAATGCCCTGGTTCAAGTTGTTGACCGGTCCGTTGATCCGGGTTGCGCAGGGACCAGTGATCTGGCCTGTGAGTTGCCAAGTACACGAGGGCACGTCGGACGTTGAAACGGTCACTTGCGAACAAGCGGTGCTTATACGCGGTCGGGCCGTCTTCGTGGACGTCTTCGGCCCATCCTCAGGTTGGTCGGTGACCGACGTTTCAGAGCTGGGTGTTGGTTCCGGCTGTTCCACGTCGGGGTTGGCTTCCTCGCTCGAGGTAGGGAGAAGAAAGCTGGGCGACCTTGTCCGAGTCTGAGTACGAGTCAGGGTCCTAGTGTCTATTCTGGTAGCCGTCCTGGTGAATGTCCTGGTAGACACCAAAGGCCTCCCGTGCTCGGGATCCGAAGGCTGAGTCGTGGTGACAGTGGCACTTCCAGAATCTGTGGTACGGTCATCGACGACAGGCGATTCGGACGCACTTGAGCGCGTCTCGGTGAGCAGCCTCTCAGATTCACTCGAGCGCGTCTGGTTGATGGGTCTTTCAGATCCAGTCTCACTCGTCTGTTGAGTCGGCTGCGAAGTGGGTTGCTCAGACTCGGTCACAAGCGTCTCTGTGGTAGATGGCTGAGACTCGGCCTGACCGGACGTCGTGGACCCTTCGGACGCGGTGACCTGAGGCTGCGAAGTAGATTGCTCGGAGCTGGTCGCGTTAAGCTGCGTGGTAGCGGCCGCGGCTTCAGACGAAGACGACTCCGGTGCCACCGAGGGCTCATCGCGTTTGCGCTTGGTGACGGGAGTGTCGGCGTCGTCGTTGCGGCTGGCAGTGGTGGTGACGGTGGTGGTGACGGTGGTGGTGGTGGTTCGCTCGCCATCTTTACCGGTAGACGCCGACTGGGTTGCCGGTGGGTCAACGTCAGTGGTGGTGGTAGCTGGCCCGCCATCTTTACCGGTAGACGCCGACTGGGTTGCCGGTGGGTCAACGTCAGTGGTGGTGGTAACTGGCCCGCTATCCGCGCCGGTAGACGTCGACTGGGATGCCGGTGGGTCAGCGACAGTGGTGGTGTTAGACGCCGACCGGGTTGCCGGCGGGTCAACGACAGTGGTGGTGGTAGCTGGCCCGCCATCCGCGCCGGTAGACGCCGACTGGGTTGCCGGCGGGTCAGCGACGGTGGTGGTGGTGTTTGTGGCGGCCGAGTCGTCAGGGGAGGAGACGTCTTGGCGCCTCGCGCCCCAGAACTTCTCGTTCGCCACGGCCAGGTTGCTGTGGTCCTTGAGGTAGCAAGGCTTGACAGTTCCCTGGTAGGTGTGGTCGTAGGAGACGGCACCGCAGTCCGAGTCGGAATCGCATGCGGCGAGGCAGTCCTCGAAGCGGCCGACCCAAGCCGGCCCGCGGCCCGCTATGTCGCCGTAGATGAAGTCGAAGCCGCACTCGATCGTGTAGGGCTTCCCTCCCGGCGAGTTGCGCGTCTGCTGGTGGTCTGCGTTGCAGGCAATGGCGTCGGGCGTCGGGGACGGATCGGGCGTCGAGGAGAAGTTGGCGCCGCCGGCGTCGTCGAGCGTGGCACTCCAGACGTCAGGGTTATTTACCCTTTTGCCGACCTTGTTCTTCAGGTTGCAGGTCTTGTTGTGCACAGGGTATGCAATGGATTTGCAGTGCGAGTTCTGGGAACACGCCTCCAGACACGACTGGTATGAGTCGGCGTGGAAGGACCGGTAGGTCCAGCCAATGTGATCGGTTGCGCATTGGATCTTCATCTCGGCCCCGTTGGTCGCCTTGTAAGTGGTGAGGTTGTGTTCCGGGCACCCAATACCGGACTGCACATTTCGTGCGAGGGGGACCGGCTGGCCTGGCGTTTGGTGACGCGAGCACGCTTAGTCCAATCCTATATAATACGGCCTCGAGAAGCACATACCTATTGGTGGCGCAGCCGACGCCCTGGCGGATAGGAGTGACAGGCCAAAGAGCCCGGCTCTGACCATCGCCGCGTCGTGCATGGCTACAAATGCGGCAAGTGGTAGTCGTGTATCTGATAGGAATCAAACGAGCGCAAAATGACGAGTCCGGGTGGAAGAGAAGAGGCGGCCTTTTGTGCTACCATGCAACATCTGCTGGCTTGGTACACTAGACAAATCATGCACAATCAATCAAACACTTGACGTCGTTTCTCCTGTGTATACTACTCCGAGAGAGGACATTGGACATGTCATTCTGAGTCTTTTTCAGGTTTGACTATGTGGACATGTAGCAAGGAGGTGGGCTTACACTGGTTGGACTTGTGACGAAGGGCGCCGGTTTCCATGATACTTTTGCTTTCCCACGAACATGTCCGAGACCCGGAGTGACCAAGTGCCTGCCCATTGCTACTGATGATCCAAGTTCGAGTCGTAGCTGCGGTTTAAGGGGCGGCCCGCCTTGGTCGAGAGCAACCATCCCAGTCCGGTACCACAGTTCGACGCAGACGAGTCCATTTCCTTTGACCATCGTCCTTGATCAAGGAGCGCTCACCGGCGTCCTCACAAAGCAAGGAGAGCTGGAGTTTGCATGGAGCGTGAGCCACGGTCAAGGGCTTGTTGAGCCTGGACAGGGACGCGAACATGGTGTCCATTATTGACGCACGTACGAGTAGCTCGCAGTCCGGGCTTGTGAATAGTCGTTGGCACCGTGGATCCTGGCAATGCCCCACTTTCCCCACTCCACCTCCGCCAAAGTCAGCATGTCAAAAGTCGCTGCCACTGTCAGTCGTTCAAAGCGCTTGGCATGGCAATACCTAGTCTGCGGGGACATCAGCAGAAGCCGCGATTCTCGCGCCAGGCAAATCGAGGTGCATCTGTGGAATCCGCCTCACGTGTGGCATGTCACTCACTACCCGTGTCCAAACGCCTCACTTGAGCAAGCCTCCAATTGCCGACCAAGGGTAATGTCTAAAAACCATGAATGCATTACCGGGAGTCCGTGTGTACTCTAACATGATTGATCTGTTCGACCAAACGAACCGGATGGACACGGCCGCCATGGCTCCACGCCAACATTGCAGCCACGATGCCAGGCGGCCCGACGGAAGATTTTTCTCCTCCATCGACTTTCCTCCCAACGTCACCGTGCCCTTTCATCGACCATGGATGGTGTGCATTTACAACTCGCCGAGGTGCTGCCTGATGGCAGTCTCGAGGGCCTTGGGGTTGGCGCCGACAACCTCGCCGACCTTCTCACCGCCCTTGAAGAGCAGGAAGGTGGGCATGGCACGGATGCCGAGCTCCTGGGCGACATCGGGAACCTCGTCGACGTCAAGCTTGTAGAACTTGGCGTTGGGGAAGGCCTCGGAGAACCTGAAGAGTCATGTCTCAGTACAGAAAAGTCGAGTGATAAAGGGCGGATGCGTGGCCTTACTTGACGAGCTGGGGAGCAATGACCTTGCAAGGACCGCACCACGTCGCGAAGCAGTCGAGGACGACGAGCTCGGGCTCTTGCAGGGCCGAGTCCCACTCGGTCTTGCTGTAACACGAAATCCGTCAGCATCTGCTTGTCGTGGAAGGTGGAGGTCGAGCGGGCAGCACCTACTTGGCGAGGTTGTGCACACCCATTCTGGAGGCTGAGGACTGGAAGAGTCTGGTGGAGCGGATCGAGGGTTGGACGCGGGTGACGCTGAAGGGAGATGGGCGGGCGGCGGTGGACACTGGAGCGCGCAGACGCGGCGCGGCTGTAAGCAAAGACCTTTTCAAAGTTGCGGCGCTGAAAGACATGTGGCAGACGAGGGCGAAGGCGAGGTTAAATAGCGGTGACGTGTGTACACAAAGAAAGCAGATGATAAATTCGTGCCGGGGAAGGTGCTGGACGGCGAGGAATGCGGATTGTTCAGCGAAGGTCGAGCAGCGGGCGAGGCGTGAAATTTCGCCGCCGCCGCTGCCGCCGCCGCCGCCGCGTTCGGGCAGTGAGGGGCAGGCGGGCAAGCGCGCAGGCGGGCAGGTGGGCAGGCCAGCCAACGCACGCCGTGGACCGGCGCAGTGTGGCAGGGCACAAAGCGAAGGGGAGGGGGCACTCACAGTCTGCTCGTGGAGGGGTGAAGTTCGGAGATGGAGAGAAGGCGGCGTGTTGACGGCGGTGGTGGGCAATGCTCGGGCGCAGGTGTATTTCAAAGCGGCCGACCAGCCAGACCGACGGCCGCCCCTCACCAATGACGTGATCCGCGAGCGCGCTGTCTTCTTCCGGTGCTGCTCGCACGCCTCGCACGCCGACACCTACCTACTCCATTGCCCCATCTACCCCAATGCGCCTGCCTCTGTGCCGCTGCCCGTGCATGTGCCCTGCCTCGGCTCTGCCGCCTGGCGTAATGTCTTGGTAGTAGCAGCACCCGACCGCTCTCACTCGCTCTCACTCGCTCTCACTCGCTCTCACTCCCGCCCGCCAGGTCGCCCTGAGGCTGATCCCCCAGGTTCTCGTCCGATTACGGCATGCCCGACCACGTGTGATGATTAGCAAGCACTCACATACCTCGCTTGCCGAAATCGGCAGGGACTACCTAGTACTTTGCTGAACAACCATCGGCGAGAAACGTCGCGAAGCATGTGCCGCCGCCACTCGAAGCTCAACGCCCCCGAGCCGCTCACGGGGGTGTGGAGAAGCTTATAACATCGGCCCCAGAAACTACTTCGGCATCCAGGGTATAGCATTGTAACAACGGCGCAACAGATGTATTGTGTCATGTCGTCATCCGTGTTCTCGACTGTCTATCTGAGGCACACGGGGGTGTTTCAACCCTCGCGGTAAAGTCATGGGCTGAAGCCAGTCAACCCCCGCTAGCGTCATCGCCCCACCGTGGCTGCCTTACCACGCGTCAGACGGGGACCCTTGTGTCCTTGCCGAGCTCCTACTATTGTACTCCGTAGATCACAACGTATTCCTTGTGCACTCGGGTAGCACAGCTTACGAAATCATCACTATATTCAAAGTAAGCCCCGTCGCTCCGGAGAGCAGATGGTGTGAGACCAACGTCATTATGCGCTGCGGCAACAGCCCGGTCGCCGAGGTACAGCTCCATGTCCAATATGTTGATTCAGCCGTAGCATTCTCGTCCAAGGTCTTCAAGACTAGACAAGAAAGGCAAATGAGGAACGCGGGATGAAGGGTACTACGACTACAACTACAAATTTTGTGCGACACTATTCGCAACAGAGGTATCCTCAAGCAAAAGCCAAAACATCAAAGACCACAATCCTTTCCCTCCCGGCTGGCCCTTCCAGCTATATGAACTCCTCCCAAAGTGTCTGAAAACGGTGTAGCCGCCCATCGGCCAACTGCAGAAAATAAAAACCAAAAAACCAAAACGCAAGAGCTCCTTTGCCGTCTAAAACCCGCTAATAGCAGAGTAACAGCATTACGATACCTCTACCCCAACCACTTCGAAAGATAAGGTCATGACAAAGGAGAAGCGCTTTCGTATCAACGATTGAAGTGTCGAACGGCCAGCCAGCAGCAGCGGGCATGCAATATGCACAGTCGCTCGCTCGCTCAGAGACCGGCTAAGAGTCATGACAGAGCCGCTCGCAAAAAATAAAAAAATATAAAGAAAGCCCCAGATCCTCCCGCTGGAACGTCAAAAAAAAAAGGACCAAAGTAATTTGAAACAAACTCGATAACTGCAAATAAAAGAAATAGCCGCCGTGGAAGGTTCCAAAAGACAAAGAAATAAGCCCTCAGCGCAGCAGTATATGATGCCCAAAGGGGATACGACCATCGCATGCCACATCCTGGCCTAGTCGAGTCGAACAGAAGTAGTGTAGGTGTCGATGGTGGATAGCTCGCCAGAAGGCGGGCGTTGGGAGGATCAGACAGGACTTTTTTTTTTTTGAACTTTTCGATGATGTGAGAGTACCGGCACTGTAAGAGACACGGTGAAAAAGGAAATGGTTAAGGAGCGTCTGGGGTCAGTCCGGGTGATAGCGGCCAAAAGTGGCCATCCTGAAATAAGGAAATGTGAAACGAGCGACATGTCTGATTTCACCAACTCTCCACCTCGAGGCAAATGATCCAACTCATAGACACTACCTACGACTGTAGGTCTTACGACTGAGGGTCAGGAGAGGCGTGCGAGTTTGCACTCACCCTCGCCGCATCGATCGAGCTGCGACTAGACCTGATGTCCAGGAGCTTTGCGCTGCTGCCGCTGAATTGCCGAACATGTCCCTTGGACAGGTTGACGCTCGAAGCACGGTGTACCGTGGCTTCGGGACTTTCGTCGAGACCCGCTGGGCTGTCCGACTTGTCATCATCGGGCGTTGTAGGAACAACCCCTTCCATTGCCTCACCGCCAGCTGAGGTATCTTCTGCTTCGTCGGGGAAGAAGCTGAGAAGACCTTCAACGGACTTGGCCCGAGCCTGGCGATGGACAACGGTGGGTTTCCTGACGATGGAGTCATGGACGACTGTCTCCTCAGGGCTAGGCTCGTCATCTTCGTCGTCATCTTCGGCTCCAGCGTCGGTGTTGTTTGCGAGAGCGACGCTGCTCGCCCTGCGTTGAACCTCATGGTTCGGTACATTCCACGATTCCTCAGGACCGGGGGTGAGTCTACGGAAGTACTCGTCATCCGGGATTCCGAGCTCCTCGTAGGACGCATTCCAATCTTCTCTTGGTTTTCTGAAAGACGAGCCGTAGCTGCTACGCATGACCCTGGAGCCACGCTTGGCGGGCTTGCCAGAGAGCCACGAACCTTCCGAATCGACTGAAGCGAGAGAGGTAGACATGGGTGCCGAAGCCCTCCCGGTAGGGTTGATAGGCGAGTCTGTCCGAAGCTTGTTTGTGCCATCTTCCAGAGACGTGGGCCCCTCAAGCTCATGGGTATCAGGAGTCTCAGAAAGACCTCTGCGCGCAGCGAGAGCTTTGGCGGAAACAACTTCGGGGGACTGCACCCTTGAATCAGGCGGCGAGAGTGGCATTCTCTCGGGCAGATCCTCGCGAAACTTTGACATGGTGCGCACGGGAGTACCAGATGCCTTGCGGACGGGTGGGTGCACGAGATGGGCAGGTAGCGCCTGGCGGCCCATAGATTCTCTAGAGGTGTTGGAGAATGAGATGTCCGACGGCGCAGTGACATTGGTAGCTTGATCGACCGACCTTCTCTTCAGCAGGGCTGAAGGACGGCGTTTGAAGGTAGACCACCAGCCGCCGCGTTTGCTGACGTCGGAACTTCTTCTACGGCTGAGCGAGGAGTTCCGGCTAATGGTGGATGGCTGAATAGCAGAGGGAGTGACCTCCTGGGTCAGCTCGGGAAGATCTGAAACGTTCGAAGGGCCTCGGGCATGTTGGTGAACAGGCGAGGTAGGTGGGGACAGAGTCTGAGAGGCTTGCGAGTAACGAACAGCCCGAGCAGTATCAACGACAGGATCATCGACGGGCGTCTTGACAGGCGACGAAGTTGCTTCGATGGGTGTTGGCGGCGGTCTCGCGGGAGTGCTGGTGTCAATTTTCGGGACGTGGCCATCCCGCACCGCTTCTCTGCCAGAGCTCCTGTCTTCAATTCCAAGTCCCATCGCTGCATCGAGCTCAGCATCGGCTCTTGCAGCGGCCGCCTGCTCTCTGCTGAACTCCTTTAGGCGCTGCTTTTCCGCTCTCTTCTCAAGCTTCCGGCGCAGGCGTTCCTCATCCGCTTTCCTTTTCCGTTCTTTTCTCCTCTGGTCCCTCTCCATCAGTTCCCTCAATGTCCCGGCATCCATGTCATCTGCCAAATCGTCTATTGTCTTGCTCTCCTTAAGAGCTTCCTTGCTGATCTTTTGGCGTTGCGAATTGGACCGGGAAACGTCATTGGCACGTTCAGCAGCATGGTGCTGCCAGTTATAGACGGGCGGGCTACTCGAATAGCGGATAGTGGGTCTAGGAGCGAAGACGTCAAGCGCGCTGACCTTGTATGAGGTTGATAGCATTTCCGAGCTACCCGTCATTGACGACTGTATTGAGTCTGCCACGGGCAAGGAGACGTCGGAGGTTGGCCGGTTGTCAAAATGTCTGCTGAAACCTCTGCGAACCTTCTTGCTGTCGCGGCGCATCATATTGCCGGACTGGGGTGCCGGTCGCTTGATGGCAATGGGGGCGCTCATGGCTCGGATCTCCTCCTCGCGGACGTGGTCGTCCTTGCGTTTCTTGGTTGACTTTCTCCTCGGCGGACCGTCTTTGGAGGCGCGCTTCTGAAGCTTCGACCGGTGGCTGCCCGAAGGCTGTAGATTTGTGTGTGAGCCAGGTTGCATGTGAGCATTTGGTTGGAAGTTGTAGGGTATGTCAGTGTCGTTGCGCAGGGCGGGTCTGAGGTGAGGGCTGGTGTGGAGCGCATGGGTGACGGGCAGCGCGGTTATGTCGTCGCGACTGCTCAAATCCATTGGGCGATGCTCAGCATTCGATTCGAGGCGCGACGGCGCAGCAGTTGCCCTCTCCTTATCCCGGGTGCGCGACGCACTGCCACTGTCAGCGGAGGCCCTCCGTTGGTTCCGTCGCCTTGGTCTTCGGCTCGGGCGTCGCGCGGGATCATGGGGGTCCGCTGTTAGTGGGCCAGGCGTATATGGGCTTGCAGGCCTCTTCCCTTCAGGCACGGGCACAGGGCCGTCAGGGTTGGGCCTGGACCGGCGCGTCTTCCGCCTGCCGAAGGGCCAGACTGGCATGGGGACGGTCGCTGCGGCGATCCCGGGGCGAGAGGAGGTCGAAGCATGCGCGAACTTCAGGCTCAGGCGGCAAGGCGAGCGAAGGTGTATGTCCAGCAGGGGAGCGCGGTGGGCGGAAATTGGCAGTTGGCGGAGTGGCGCACTCTAGGTCATGGCGCGCGGAGGTGGTTCATGTGACGGCAGCGCGGGCGCAGGCTGGGATGGCCGAGGGAGGGTAGTATGCAGCAGGCGGAGGCGAGAACGAGCGTGGAGGTTGCGTATGTGGCGACTGTGGATTTGTAGGAAGTGCGCTATGGGGGTGCGCGCATGGTTGAGACGTCGCAAAGCAAGGGCGCGGCGACGGGCGAAAAACAGTCACACTGCAAGGGCAAAAGCAAGAAGAACGGCTGCAGACGAGTCGGCGCTGGCCAGGCTGCGCGCTGCGCTCCAGAGCCCCGTCTGGTGCACAGTAGGGAGCTATGATCGCTGCCATGGCGCCCCAGCGCGCGGCCCCACGCCCACACGAACGAGCCACCGAGCCACCGAACCTGCTGCGCGCTGCAAAGCCCGGCCAGCCTCTGCTGACATCGCGCCCAGCCATTGGCGGCGCGCGCATGGGGGGGGGGGGCGGCGGCGGCCTCGCAGCCTAGCCCGCCGGACGGGGTGGAACGGTTTGGCTGCGCTGCGCTGTACCGGGCCCAAGGGGTCCAAAGGTCCAAAGCCAAGGGAAGCTCCGCGTGCGCCTGCTGCCCCGTCCACGCCCGCCGCCGTTGCGAGCGCATTGTCGCGGCGGCGATCTCGAGCCCGCCGCCACTTTGCGCCTCCGCCTGCGCCTGCCCTCGTACCCGGCTCCGCCGGTGGCGCGTCAGCCGTGTGCGGCGCTGCTGGAGGCGGGCGGTTTCTGGGCGGGCTGGCAGACACGAAAGAGCCAGACGCAACGTCTAGCGTCTCGTGCCGACGCCCTCGCGCGGGCGCGAATGGCGAGCAGGCGCCGTGCCTGAGCAGTCTCGTGCTGTGCGACCTCCATCCTTGTCGTAATACAGCCAGGAACCGCGCTCTGCATGCCTGCTGCCAATCAGAGCCAGCCCGTGGCCCGGACCGCCCAGAAAGGAGCAACAAATCTTGTCGCGGCCCCACTGCTGGACGGCAGAAACTCCAGCCCTCAGGCGTCCCTGAACGCGTGCACCGATACCCCTGGATCGCGCGGGCTTTTTGGAGGCTGGGCACGGGATCGCGCAGGCGGGCCGAGCACTCCATGCGCCGTTGCGACCAGGCGGATCGCGTGTTCCTACATAGTACGTACACAGCGGCCCAGCCGTGCAGCGCACGCGGAGAGCGCTGCTGCCACCGTGCCTGCCCGCGAAGAAAGGGTCTCGAGTGACGAAATGCGGGCGGGCGAGGGCTAAGCATCCGTGGGGCCGCAGCCTGGCCCGCGACCAGCGCGCTTGTAACGGCCGGTAGTTACTGAAGACGCGGTCGCGACCGTTTGGCAGCAGGACAGCAGGGCAGCAGGGCAGCGCCGGTGACAGCACGTCACAACGGGGCGAGGGTGCCCATACGACCTTATGCTGCAAGCGCACTCGCTTCTGGCACTGCTCCCGAGCTTTCTGGACCATGGTGCGGAGAAAAGCTGCAGCCCACTGCTCTGACTCGCCCGATCGCAATGTCGCGACGAAGATTTGCTGGCGGTGCAGCGCTGGCCGCGCAGGCGTAGCCAGTGACGCGCGCAGACAACCCGCAAGACATTCACCGCCAATGTGACACCGCTCGGCAGCTTCCCGTCTGAAGCAATATCCCGTCTGCGCAGCGCTGTGGAATCGCGGTGCCGTGCTGTGGACGAGAGGCGCTGGCTGCCATGAAGAAGCAAACCCGCAATCAAACTCTGCTCCTCTCTGCAGCCAAGGAACAGACGCCAGTGACGGTTGGGCTGCAGTCTAGCTCCAGCAAGAACCTTGAACTCGGCCGCACAAGCCTGACTCTCGACGCCGGGAAGCGCCTTTCGTCAAGCAGCGGGCAGACGAGCATCGGCTTGCCCCGACGGGAAATGATGAACCGCCGGAGGAGGGCAGAAGTGCCGGTTTCCTGGCGGTGCCCGTCCTACGTCGTGCTGGTCCGTTCCAACGCTGCAGAGGCCAGTGAGCCAGAATGTTCGCTGGCTGCGATAGATCGGCTTCCATGAGTCCCAATCGGCAGAGAGCGGCGTCGGGGTACCTAGGATGGGCCGGTTCTCGGACCTCCGAATCCCAGATCACGTGAGTCATGTAGTTGTCCGGTCGGCCCTTAAGCAACACGGCGAAGGAGGGACCTAGGTTGGTATATTCATGGGGTTGTTGTGATGAAGGCTCATGTACTCGATAACGTAATCTGCTGAGAAACGCCAACTGCAGCCGCAGAGCCAGGTGGCGATCCGGCTAAACTTCCGGGCAGCAACGGCCGTCGGTTTAGGCGAAAAGTAAACAACAGCACGGCCGACCCCCAACAACACAACTTGCCCACGCTTGCGCAGACACGTCCACCCCACCTGTTCAGATTCGCGTTGCACCTCCGAGTATGGCTTACAACCCACGCATAAGCATGGCGCGCGACTCCAACATGAACAGCAATCGCAGCCGCCAGCATAAGGAGGACCCCTTCACTTTGGTACGGCGCATGCTCACATCGCCCTCACGCTGCGCAACCAGCTGATGACGGATGCAGCCTGACCACGAAATCGCGAATTGCATCACCGATATTGGCATCAACTTCAGCATCGCCGACCTCCAGAAGCCCAACCCACAGCACATCCAGAAGCTCTTCGAATGGTTCGCCGAGCTGCTCATGAACACGACCCGGGAGGTCGTTGCGCCAGCAATGAAGGCCGCCGCGGACGACATGGCGGGCGACGATCTGGCTGACCGGATCTTCACTCCTGACACTCGCGATCTGATGGGCTTCTTCGTCATCATGAGGAAACTGCTGATGGAGGTGAGCAAGCTGAACTCTCCTCTTCGAAAGCGCTGTTCTAACTGCTCGCCAGTGCGGTATTGATGACTTCACGTTCCAAGATCTCTACAAACCCACGCGCGAACGCTTGGTCAAAATCCTGTCCTACACCATCAACTTTATCCGCTTCCGCGAGTCGCAAACCACCGTAATTGACCAGCACCTCAACAAATCGGAACGCACGAAGCTTCGCATCGATCAGCTCTACAATGAGAACCAGGACAAGGAGAACCATTTACGCGAGCTCGAAAGGAGCCGCAAAACAACCGAGATGCAGATGGCTGCCAAGGAAAAGAGGCAGAAGGAGCTCAAGCAGCGCTTATTGGACCTGAAGATGGGCCAGGAGAAAGTCGTCGAGAGGCTTGAGATGCTCAGGGACGAGCAGCGGCGGCTCAGGGACGTGTTGGAGAATAAGACTGAACAGACGATGAATGTGCGCCAGGACGCCGCGAAGCTGCGGCCATACACGACTCAGAGCCCAGCGGTGCTGGAATCATCGCTCAAAGACCTCAATGCGAACTTGGCTGCCGACAAAGCGGCGATCGACGCACTTGATCGACGCGGTCGCGCACTTCAGACCTCCACGGACACCTTCACGGCTGTCACGCAAGATGTCGATGCCTGCACGCGTCTCTTGGGAGACCTGGCGCAAGACATTAGACAAGAGCAGGAGGAGTTGGCCAAAGGCGATCGACACAGGCAGGCGCTCAGCGAGCGTTCCAACAGTGTCCGAGATGTTGAGCGTCAAGAAAAGCTTCTCACGAAGCAGTTGGCCAACGTTAGCGCGCGCACGGAGAAGTTGCGCAAGAACGCGGATGACAAGGCAGAGGCCGCTCGGGTGCGTATGGAGGAGCTGAAGTCTGTGCACAAGAAGCTGGCTGAGGAGCGGGGAGAGAAAAGCCGGGATATGGAGAGAAGGAGGGTCAGAATCGAACAGACGGAGAAGAAGGTAAGCTGACACTGCGCGTCTGGACCTCTACACGTAATGTACTAACAGCGATACCGTGCAGATGGCCGACCTCAAGGAAAACATCGAGAATGAGGTCAACAACACCCGCGAGCAGTACATGCAGCTGGAGTCGCACATCAAACTTTACATTACCGAGATGGACCAAAGCCTCGGCTCTTGACCCGCGTTCTTGCTATTTGATGGCTTTTCATGTTGGATTCTTTGTGGACTCTTTACGGAAACGAATTTAGTTAGGATAGCGAGTTGGCGTTTATTTGGCGATTGAGGGGGTAGATACCATCGGCGGGCTTGAACAATTGGAAAGTTCCTTTTTCTACCTTACTCTCATCTAAACATCCGTTCCTTCGTCATCAAAGTGACACAGATATCGTTCCATTTCCAATCGTCATTGTGCGCCGCTCCACTGAGTTACTGAAGTCCGCATCTGGGTGTTATGTGGTATCGAACCTACTCTCCAGTCCAGATATCTGCTAAAAACTAAGCTAAGCCCAATCGAGCGATGAAGCAACAAATGAGGCAAACGACTCACGACGGCCTCATGAATGAGGCAGGCCTTGGTGGCATGGCGGTCAGCTTCATTGCCTGCAGCACAAAACTGCTCTTGGAGATTGACTGCACACCATGTAACTTGTGTGGTCTCGCCATACACCGATCGAGATAAGGTTACCAAGTACCGCACTCCATGCGTTCTTCGACATTCTTCGCTAGCGCCCAATCCCATGGGCGCAGCAGAATCCTGGGCAGACGGCTCTGCGCGGAATGAGGGCCGGGAACGATGCAGCAACGACTCGATTCTGATCCGGCATGAGCCCTGCACATTCCTCGGACGGCCGGCAGATATGCTAGTCATGCTAGCGGCTACTTAGCAAGGCAAGGCACTCCTTTTCATGCTCCCGCTACTGGTACCAGTTCCTGCTTCCCGTCAAAGGTCCCTATAGCAGACATGTAGCATTTCATGTCTATGAGCGAGCAGATAGCGCCCTGCAGCGGTGGTGAAGTACATAGATACACCCGTCTAGTAAAGAACGAATGATGACAAGGGGCAAGGGGCAAGACAGCGTTGGTGGAGGAAGGCAGACGTGCGGTGCCGGCACGATTATAGGGCTCAATACGAGTAACATGCTCCGTGTGCTTTTCTTTCTCACAACGTCTTTGTGGAACTACTTCTCCGATTGATGGTCCTGTCAGCTCCATCGTGCCTGCTTGAGCGCCAGAGCTATAAAACGGGGAAAATGAAGAGGGGAAGCGGACAAGGTTAAAAGACTATAAACCAGATGATACCTGAATGACAAAAACCCTTCCTGCACCACTTGCCCGTCGGAAAAAGGTCAGAGAGATCTTGCCCCCGGGTACCGCGCACATTCCAACCCTGACACGTTTGACCAACAACGCCCCGGACCAAATACTCGAGAAAGAGGGAAAGCCGCAAATCGCAAAATTGGGTCAGCCCACTGATAAAGCATCGTCTTGTGGTATCAAGTTATCGCAACGATGGTGTTCTTGCACAGCATGGTGGTATTTCCAGCCAGGGCCTGTAACACGTCGCGGCGTATACGACAAGACTACAGCAGGCTCTGGAAGAACGGAATCATCGCACTGCAGCCGCATTAGTCATTCCATCTTTTTGAAAACGATGAGCTGAAAACAAACCCAATTGCCAAAGTTGCGCTCAATCCCATGAACGCCTTCGATCGAACCCTTTCTTTGCGCAGCTCCTCTTCTAGCACCTTAGTCTTCTTGACCGGCTGCACTTCCATGGACCTCTCGTCGGCATCCTCATCATTGGGCGAAAGGTCATCTGCCTTGCGCTTCTGCGCGCTCCTGCTGCCCTCAGCTTTGTTGGCTTCCTCAACCATCTTGCGTGCGTTTGCAACCATTTCCTCTGGGCTCTGGGGGAGCGGCAATTCCGGGTGGTCGGCAGGCACATCAACCTTGACGGCGGTCGTCGTGGTCTCAACCTCCCCCTCCTTCGTCACCGTCTCGTCTACCTCGACGCGAACTTTATCGGTTCCAACCGACGCCCCTTCGCCATTAACCGATTCTGCCGGCTCCGACGGCGCGGGAGTAGACTCGAGCTCCTTGGACAGAGCACTAGGCGTCCCCTCACGCGCTTCCCTCGCGCTCTTCCTTGTCGTGCGTGGCTTGCGGGGAGAAGCGATCTTACGCGGAGACGATTTGCTGGGCGAGGCGGAGCGCAACTCCCGGCCGCGAGTGCGCACGGTGGTGGCCGATGCCGGAGGAAAGAATTGGTTCTTGTCCGGAACGATGAACTTTGGCGGAGTGGAAATCTCGTGGGAGCCCTTGTCCTTGGTACCCTTCTCAATTGGCGCGGGGTCCACAAGCGCCACGATCCAAGCCTTCATGCCATACTCATCGGCAAGCGAGAGAGCTGTTGAATGCCATCAGCGGTTGTGCCAACAGTGCCTGGGCCAAGGCAGGACATACCGTCGTCCGGGGAGATCCAGACATTGCCCGCCACTTCCTCATCTCCAGCGGTTGGCAGCGACTTGTGGTGAGTGCGCTCGGTCTCCTCCTCTGCAAGGGACGCCCACGGGAACGCGGCTTTGAACATACCGGTCGCGCTGATGTAGCCATCATTGCTGCGGCGCTGCGCGACTCCATCAGCGTCCGTCCGGCACCCAGGCGTCCCGGGAAACCTTACCATTAGAAAATATGACTCCGGGTAAGCCTGGTTCTTCTGCAGGTTGAAGATGCCCGAGCCCTTGAGGTCTTTGGGAAGCGGGACGCGCAGATGGGCATAGTCGAACAGACCAAGGTTCTCGGCCCTGGTCGCATTGGACACGCCGACCTGCCCCGGCTTGACGTGCAGGTTGGTCTGGCCCAGACGGCGGCGCTCGATGAGGATCTCGACTAGGCGCGGTGTTAGTGCAGCTCAGACGGGAGGGCGGAGCAGGGCGGAGCAGGGCGGAGCAGGGCGCATTGGGGCGCGGGCTGCACGTACGCGGCGGAGTGTGCTCGGGCAGGACGAGCGGGTTGCGCGCTTCGGGGAGGGAGCGTGTGGAGGCCATGGGGGGCGGGCGGGCACAGTTCGATCAGAGGGTGGTTGAGCTCACTGACGGACGCGCCGCAGGTGGGAGTGGGAGGGTGTCCAGAGGCTGCAGAAGAGCGGCAACGGGGGTGGTCAGCGCGGAGGGGGGCGGGTGTGCGAAGGCGGGCGAAGAATATGCGAAGCAGGTGGTGCTGAGGGGGGGACGACGCGAACGCGAGATGACCAGAGTTGCGGTCGCGACACAGGGCGAGCTTTGATGCTCCGCAGTGCGGCCGCCCCTGCTCTCCCACACCGTGACTTGCACAAAAGGGGAACGAGCCGAGCCCGCGGCTGCACCAGAGCCGGGCAGGGCTGGCGGCGCCATTGGACCACAGCCGCGGGCTTCACGTGCAGACGGCGCTGGCAATAGTCGCAAGCAGCGGGCGCCGTCTGGCACAGCCGGGGGCCGTCGGCGTCGCGGGCGTCGCGGGCGTGCGGGCTGGGTGCGGGCTGGGTGCGCCGCGGCACGTGACGCGGCGTGCGTCGGGCTCGATTCTGGACTGCGGCGGTGAAGGCTGGCCAGGGCTTGCGGCGTGGGGCAGAACGGAGCAACTCAAAACAGAGGGGCTCTCGAGCTGGTGTCGACTCTCCCCCTCCATCAAGCACAACTCCCTTCCTCGCCCGCCACCGCACCGCACCATCTCCGCCACCATGTCCAGCGCCGAGCACCACGACGACGAGCTCGCCCCCGAGCACACCGAGGGCTTCAAGATCGGCGAGAAGAAGACGATTGACGAGTATCAGCAGCTGGGTGAGTAGACGCCCCCTCCGCCTCATCCATGTGCTTCTCCGTGCCGTGCCACCTGCCTGCCCGCTGCCTGCCCGCCGCCGGGAGCAGCACGCCCTCTCTGCCCGGCCTGCCCGGCCTGCCCGGCCTGCCCGGCCTGCCCTGCCTGCAGATCGCCCGACTTGGCCCTCGATTCGGACCCTGGATCTTCCCGTTGCGACCACGCCCGGGGGCACAGACCTGCCGCGGCCCTTCTTCACTGGCAAGCTCACCCTCTGCTGTGAGGCTCAAACTTGCCCTTTGGGTTAGCCCGCCCGCCGCGACTGCCCCTGCCGCCTTCCTCGAGCATGGCTGCAGAGCAGCCGGCAGGCCTTCGACTTTCCCTGCACCTGCACCTGCACCTGCACCCGCACCTGCTTCCGTGGCCGCCATTGGCGCGCGCTCCCGCCGTCCGACGTTGCGCCGCCTGCTGCCTTCCTGATGCTTGAAGCAACCGGCCGCCGCCGCCGGCTTCTGCAAGAGCTGGCCGGCTCTCCATCGTCTTCCTACGCTTCCGTCTCTTCACTCGGCATCGTCTCCCGCTCGGCATAGTCTTCTATCCGCTACCCGTCAAGCAACCATTGCTACCCAGCCAAGTCCGTCTCTTCCCACTTCTGGGGCCGCCCGGAACTCCCTGCACCAGCAACATCTACAGCTCTGCCGCTGCTATGGAGGGCCTCCCGCAGATGCAACGCAGCCGGCAATGCCATGTCCAGCCTTTGCCACTTTCTCCCAAGACAAACGGCACTCCTACTCAAGAGTCGTTTGAACCGCAGTTCCCAAGTGCTTCAGTCTCTCCTCGAGCGCCGCCTTTGAACACCGAGGCACTCATGACCGTGCCTTCGCACCTGCGATGCCTGCGATCCCTTCTTAACACGTCCCAACCTCGGGAGCCACTAAAAGGAGCACATCATCTTTACACGACGGTATTCTCGGCCTCAATACCAAGCCGGATTCGTCCATCCATCCATTCGAACCTTATAGCCAACGCTACCAGACCGCCCAGATTCAAGGAACATCTTGGTGATTATGAACTATACTCAACCGGCACCGTCACCGAGATCCCCAATATGAAATCGGCGTGTGGCCATCTCATTGGTCTTTCATGCAGAGAGATCTTCCCTGTTCCAAACGCCAAGCCTGCTTTGTTGTCCGACGGAGGCGAGGAGACATCCGGCAAGCACCCACCCAAGGAAACCCACTCAAGGTGCCATGATGCGGAATCCAGCGGAAAAGAGGGCAAATCTGAAGGAAATCCAGAGCTGGGACTGTCAGGAAGCGGCTCTAGCGGCTCTGGCGGCTCTGGCGACGATGGCTCTGGCAAAAAGGATGACAGTGAAAAAGGCAAGGGCAACTCATCCCCCAAGAGCAGGAAAAAGAAAGGCGAAGACGCTGAAGAGGAAGACGACACTGAAGGCGAGGGCGGTGAACATACTGGAGAAGAAGAGAGCATTGAAGCTAAGGGAGGTGCTGAACTTCCCTTGACCAATGTGCTAGGTGAACTCGGAAAGCTACAAGACGAGGAACAGAAGGTGAATTTGCCGAATGAACCGAAGACGGGCCCCACTCAACACCCGGCCTCAAACCAACCCGAAAACCAACCCGAAAACCAACCCGGAAACCAACCCGTGGGAGGGGGGACCTCACGACTTCGGCAGGTATTAGAGCGTTTGAGGCACCCGTTTCGACACCACACCGCAGGCCAACCCGGAAACCCACCTGGAAACCAACCCCTAGTGGGAGGGGGGACCTCACGACTTCGGCAGGTATTAGAGCGTTTAAGGCACCCGTTTCGACACCACACCGCAGGCCAACCCGGAAACCCACCTGGAAACCAACCCGGCAACCCACCTGGAAACCAACCCGGCAACCCACCTGGAAACCAACCCGGAAACCAACCCGAAAACCCAAACACGAGACGACCCCCAGAGGAAGAGAGGCCCCCAGAGGAAGAGAGGCCCTCAGAGGAAGAGGGGCCCTCAGAGGAAGAGAGCCCCTCAGAGGAAGAGAGCCCCTCAGAGGAAGAGAGCCCCTCAGAGGAAGAGAACCCCTCACGACTTCGGCGGCAGATAAGATTTTCAGATCCACTCATAACCCAAGATTCAGACGGACCCAGAACCAAAGCCCCAGGCGCAACATCGTCAAAAAGCTCATGAAGGAAAATGGGAATGGCCACTAGGTATGACGAAGCACAAGTGACCTTGTGGCTTTGAACGGGTTTCCTTTGGAGCTGGAAGCTCAAGACCAAGGCTTTTTTGGATTTAAATTCGCCATTTACTCGGAAGCGAATGGGCACACGCGGCCTTGCCATGGACTATATCAGCCTTGACATTGGACACAGCGACTGTTCCTCAGAGATCACATTTCTATCTGTCATGGCACCCGGAAAAGCACATGGGAAGGCACGTGTTGACCAGGCTGGTTTGCTGACGTGAGTCCCGACAGATCAAAATGACGAGTCGCTTCGCAAGTGGAAGGAGTCCTTGGGTATTGGTTCTGGCAACACTCTTTCGGACCCCAATGACCCCCGTACTGTCATCATTTTGTCCCTTGGCCTTGAGGTAGGGACTCAACTATGGACTCTCCTAACGTTCCCCCCATGCTGAGCTCTTTCAAGGTCGAGGGCCGTCCCGATATCATCATCGATCTTTCCGCACCCGGTGCTGTTGATCATCTGAAGGAGAAGCCTTTCTCAATCAAAGAGGGTGCTCAGTTCCGTATGAAAGCTATCTTCAAGGTTCAGCATCAGATCCTTTCTGGCCTGAAGTACATTCAGGTTGTCAAGAGAATGGGTGTCAGCAACAAAATGCAGGAGATGATTGTAAGTTCTAAAGGTACTGGAATCAAAGGTCTGGCTTGATGACTGACTATTCGCAGGGCAGCTATTCCCCCAACACTTCTGATAAACCCCACTACGAGAAGAAGTGTACGTGTAATGCCATACCGAAACCTGTCATTCTATACTCACGCAAGTCACAGTCGAACCTGAGGTGGCTCCTTCGGGAATGATCGCTCGCGGCCACTACACGGCCGTTTCCAAATTCATTGACGATGACAACCAGACGCATCTCAAGTTCGAGTGGGCGTTCGACATCAAGAAGGACTGGTAGATGTTTTCAAGGGCGCAAAAATGGTCGAACCTGAATGGGAAAGGAATTGGATGGAGGCAACTGCAACACTCTTTCCTGTCTCTTTTCCTCCTCACTCGCTTCCCTGCAGTCGACCAATATCTGGATTGATGGATGGGGGGTGGCCTTTTTACCACTACTAGTTAGTACTGAGCACAGCGACTTAGCATTCCTTCTGCCAGACTATCGTCAGGACAATCATCCAATGGGAGGCAGCAATCTCTTTTCTCTCACATGCTTCCGTATTGACCACCTTCACTGTGAATCATGCGGCATGGGCAGAACGAACCGGAAACCAGACAGCCCTAGCGGGTATATCCAATCCTTTACAGGGGTTCTAGAAATATCGAAACTGTCCGTTTATGTGAAGTTCTATTGAGCTGCGTGGTTTTTTTCAACATGCCGTCGACTGCATTCTATAAAACCGCCAGAATGGTGATGATACAAAGCCCCGATTCGATTTCCCCTCGTCTATACCGTACACTGGTGGGGTTTCCCCACCCTGCCTCATCCGGCAGGAACTCCGTGAAAATGCTCTGTCAAACTCCAAACGTACATACATACAATGGCACCCCTACCTACCCAAGCTTCCCGAAATTATAAAATCAAGACAAAGATCAAGAGTTCGAGATTCATAGCAACAACACAACACACCCCTCCTCCTCCTTCTCTCCTCCCCTCTCTTACGAGAAGAAGTACGTGCTGTCCTTCAACCGCCTGACGTCGAAATCGCCCTTCTTGGGCACGTCCGGGAATTGAACCGGCAGCCAGATTTTGACGAAATTGATCCTGGAACGCTGCGCCTGCCGCGGCTTCCTCGACCGTTGCTCTTCGGCGGTGTCGGCATCCTCCGCAGACGAGTGCTCCTCGCCCATGATGGCCTCGAGCAGCTCGGCGTCGTCGTCGTCGTCGTCGCGGCTGGTCTCTTCCGCCATCGCGTCCGAGTCGTCTTCGAAAATGTCTTTGGTGGTGGGGGCGGCGGCGGCGGCACCGGCGGCGGCATTCTTCTTCTTCGTGCCGCGCGATGCGGGCTTCACGGCGTCGTCGGCCGTGTCGCCCAAGCGGGTGACGTGCACCTCTTCGTCGATGCCCATCTGGACCCCGACCAGCTCGTCTCCGCCGGCGGCTTCGTAGAGCGATGCGGGCGTGGACATGGCGCGGCCCCGCGCGCGCTCCTCCTCGTCCTCGCTGTTCAACAGGCGCTGACGCTCGCGCTCGGCCAGGAGCTCGTCGATCAGTGCTAGACCCAACCGCGACTCTCTCCGCTTGGCGATGGCGGCATCCCTGCGCAGCGCGATGATGCGTTGGCCGAGGGGCGATTTTGACGGAATCGACGCGAGATACATGCAGTCCCGGTAACGAATGCTGAACTCCTCGTGTAGCCGGCCCACAATGTCTTCCGAGTGCATGCGCACGAATGCGTCGCGCAGAACACGATTCATGAGCGGGACGTCGGCGGCGTGCGTCCAGAAGGAGTCGTGGACGGAGGCAAACGAGAGGCCGATCTCGTTGCACTTGAGCGCCGAGAGAAGCATATGTGTGGCGTCGAGCGAATGAATGAAATTAGGCGGGAAGGCTTGAAGTTGCTTGCGCTTGTCCACAGTGTCACTAGTCTGGGGCTGGACGATTGTAAGGTACTGGAGAACAGTGGTGATTTCGCGCGTTGCCGTCCGGCGGTAGGGCTGCACAACAGGCATTTTGAGAGGCGTGGTCCAGATGACGGTAGCGCGGAACTGCGACATAATGTCTGCTCTCGTAAGGGTTTTCTTCTTCCTCGACTGGGACTTTCTTTGACGGTAACGCGGGTCAGGAACCGGCTCTATGCTGGCGCCAGGAGTTGACGTGGCTTCTGCGATCATGTCGATTTGTTCGGGTGTGAGGGCCGTGGCGATTCTGTTTGCACATGCTCCTAGCCACTCCTGAATGTCTTGCGCACCGTTGAACATTTGGCCCAAGGCTTGGAAGATCAACTTCGCGACATATCCACCCATTTGGAACAACCCTACCTTTTTTTCGGCATCAGAGAGGATGTCTTCGAGCTGTTTGATAACCTGCAGGCGCGCACCCGTGAAAGTAACGCCGTAGACATTCGTCATAACCGTCTGCTTGACAACTTTGCGGGTAATCTTCCCATCCAAGATCCCTGCAAACTTGTGGCCTGTTTTCGCGTCGTTGGCAACATAGTTTTTGACGAGCCCAGCCACAGCAGAGTAGATGTCTGAAGGCTTGTCACCGGGTTCCAGGTTGACCTGTGCGGCGCCGGCCTTGTCACCACCAAGGGCGGCGTAGTGCTGAAGACCGTTGCAGGTTCCATCTTGATGGACCGGTAGATGCGACACGTATTTCGAAGGATCGGGAGAATCAAGGGCGTGCTTCAGCTCGAAACAGGTGGCAAGGCACTGCCATGGGTCTTCAGCTTGAAGCCACCATCTTCGGCCAGTCAATGGCTTCTCACAACAATCATATATGTCCTGGATGTGCTCCATGGCGAATGCCTCTCGATCTTTCAAGCTGGCCTTGTCGTATCCAAAAACGTTCGCAAGATGGATCTTGAGCCACGAGAGCCCGACAGCGCCCAATTCCTTGCCTTTTCCAAAAGTAAGCAAGCCACGTGCAAGGTCGGCACCCAGATGGTTGAGCAGCGGGGGGATGGGATAGGCGCGGCCACGGAAGTCCATGTTGTGCGGGAAGTAGAAGATTTCGTCCTTGAACGCGCGAGCGACTTCGAGCTGGAAGTTCTGGAAACAACGCTGCGAATGGTAGCCGCTCTTCGCATTATCAACTGTTTTCTTCTCGGCAAGCCATTGGGCAATCTGTTTTCTCGTGGCGTTTTCGCCTGGCTCTGGTGGGCATTCGATCTTGGGATTCTCCGGCGCAATCCCCGCAACGGGCTCACCCGTATTCCAGGCCTCGACGACCACCTTGAACACGTCCCTATTGAGCTTCCATGGCGTTTTACCGAGCACAGAAAGACCGGTTAAGACCTGATCCATATCGCCCTTCTCGATTGCTGCCTGGGCATAGATGCGCTGGGCATCGTCCGACCTTTTTTCTTTGATGATTGGCTCTGGGTAGCGAAAAAACCCTCCTTTCCTGTATCCCGTCCAAGGCAGAGGCTCCACCACCATGGGATACTTTGTGCCAAAAGAACCACGGAGAGGTTCTCTCCTGAGCTTCTCCAGCACCTTCTCATGCACTCGAACCACGCCAGCCCTGCGACCAGACACATACGTCGTGGCATGATGGAATGCTGGTTCAGTAGCAGTAAGCTGCCTTCGAGTCTCTTTCTCCTCACGTGTGATCGGAATTTTGGCAGCCTCCAGGATCTTTGACAAGCACAGAGCTCCCACCTTGGCCTTGATTGCAGGCGCCCATTCCAGGTCGTTCAGACGCTCGTAGTTTTTGGAAACATCCTCTCCGTCCTGGGTGTCTTCCGAGGGCTTCGTCTGGTTCGGATCTACCGTCTTGGAATACTTGAGCAGAGTCCTGAGACGGCGGGCCGAAGTCGTCTTGTAGATTGAAAGATTCGATTGGACGCTCTGGGCTACCATTAGGCTGTGCTCCATTGCCAGCTGCTTTCCGATTGCCATGGCAAGGTTCGCAACCTTGATGCCATTGAATTGATCAGGGGCAGAGAAGTTGGAAATTGTGACGATGAGCGACGTTGCGGCCAGTTTTTCCGGAGTGAACGCTTCTAGGAACGGACCCGTCACCGCTTGTTCGGCATTGCCACTCATTGCGTCTGTCCTCTCGTAGACCGTCTTGACGTTTTCTAACTCCTGCTTGAACAGCGGCACCATGGCGCTATACCACTGCCACATGAGAGCTTCCATCGGCTTAGTCTGCAACGCCGAGGTGATACCCATTTTCTGCATGTTCTGGTGCTCCTCACGCCACCTGTCAATGGCTGCATCCACAGTGTCCTCTTCCAGACGATCTTGCCGCATGCGCGCGTATATGTGATCCTTCTCTTCCTTGGTGTATCCAGGGAGATCGTGGGGATAAGGAAGAGCCTTTTCGAGCTCCTCTGGATTCGAGAAGATTGACAGAGCCGCCTTGACCGTTCTCAGGCCAGCGCCTTTCTGCTCCATGGGTCTAAGTTCCGGAATGAAATCGTTGGAAAGGGCTGGCCGCGGTACTGTCTCTCCAAAAAGCTCGGCACGTTCTGGCCCCTCCGAGTCGGCCGGCAGTTCCTCCCCGATCAGGTCTGGCCTGACGTCTGCCAGTATCGAGTACTCATCATCCGACCATGCTTCATTCGTAAGCACGCTGTTCAGCTCCCCGGACTGTTCCGCGAGCCACAGATACCGCCTGATCAGCCTTTCCCTCTTGGCTCCGTCCAGGATCAGGATTGCAGTGCGCAGCATGCACGTGTATGTCACCGAGTTCGGCGGGATGTCGTTATCCCTCATCTCATGTTCAAACCACGAGCTCATAGTGTTCATCGTGTACCCGGGCTGCTTAGCCCACACGCGATCCATCAGCTGCAGCAAGTACATGTTGTTAGACTCGACCAGCTCCGGCGCCGTTGGGTTATACAACTCGCGCAGCCGCCGCAACAGCGCCGCGGCCCGGTCGAGGCGCCCGACGCGCAGGCAGGCTTGCAGGTTCGAGTGCAGCTCTACCGGATCGCCACCGATGCCATTGAAGTAGTTAAGGCGTGGCGGCGGCGCAGTCGTTGCAGTGTGGATGACCAGCGGTCGTGCATCCTTCCATGTGGACAAGGGCATGGAGTCATCGGAGGTCTGCGAGCCCCGCGCGCGGGACAGGTGGCCTTGAGGCATTTGGTCGAAGATATGGGGGGCTTTGGTCTCGTTCAGGGCTTCGGCGGCGGCGGCGGTGGCCAAGGTTCGAGAGCGTGAGCTAGCTGCTGTGCGTGATTTGTGTTGCGCAACTCGGTTGCCTGGGTCGCGAGCAATAGGCCCGAGCGAGGCATTGCCTCTGAACAAGGCCGGACAAAGCCATGGGAGGTAAAGCTGGTCTGCGACGCGCGAGAGGCGGCGTGCGTCGCGCTGTGAGCGGCGTCGCGCAACTTGCGCGAGCATACTGGCGACGGACGCGGGAACGTGCAAGAAAGAAGACGCGCAAGGAACAAGCAGGAAGAAGAGATTGGGTATTGTATGAACAAGAGAAGGACCACACTGGAGGGATTGCGGGTGGCGGGAGTTCCCTGGGCGGGAAGAATGTACAGGCAAAAAAAGATGCAGACGAGCTCGCACCTGCCACCGGGCTGCCTGCCAAAGCTTTGGCGTGGGTCCCAGCTTCGGCCCGTTTGCACGTGACGCCATGACGCCCTGACGCCCGGGCCGCCCGGCACCCCCGCCCCGCTACCTACTACGGGTAGCCTGGTACGGGCAGGTTCGCTCGTTGTTGCACCAGAACTTGGGTATGCAACAGTGCTTGTGCGCAATTCCGGCGTGCGAGGGGAGAATCTTGAAGCGTCTCGAATTCGTACAAGTAAGCATGTCTGTCCCGCTAATGTGCCTACAGCATCAACGACGCCTGCAAATATGCCATTGTACTGTACAAATCCCCCACCCCGCGCCAGGCTGGTTTAACACGACCAAACACCAACAACGCCATCTTTGCGGCCTTCGATCAAGTATCCTTCCCTGATGCGGACCTTTTCGATGGTCGAAAGCGGCGCCGGCGGTTCCTCCTCCACTGCTCCAGGTCCGCAATTCCAATGTCTACCGTCCGTCTTGTCATACACCTTGACCACATCCTCACCCGCTGCCGCCACGATTCTCCGGGTGTCGAACGCCATGCTTGTGACCGGGTTGTCGTACGCATACGCATCGAAAATCGATCCAGTCCGGAGATCCCAAATCTGCTTCCGTTAGAACCCGTGTCCCGCATACCATCTCGTCCGAAGCCGACTTACCCGAATACTCCTGTCAAGACTGCTAGTCACCAAGTGCACATCGTCGAACTGCAGGGCCGTCACTGGGCCGGTGTGGCCTACAAGGCTCCTGTGAACCTGGCCGCTCCTGAGATCCCACAGACGAACCATGCCGTCTGCAGTACCGCACGCCAAAGCCGCATCGAAGCACTGCACGGCGCCAACAAAATCCGCAGACGCATCCGGCACGCGCCCTGTTTGCCGCCACCCGTCCGTCGGCGCCATGGTGGACGATGCCTGAGCAGCTGCCCAAAGCACATCCAACGTTTGCACGCATCGCCCCTTGGTCAGATCCCACTGGCGCAGAGTCTTATCAGCCGAGCCTGACACAAGGGTATCACCCCTAAAGTGCAAAGCTGTGACCTCCGCAACATGTGCATCGAGAGTAAACAGCGGGCACTCCTGCATGCTAGTCGGCGGTGGCGGCGGCGGGGCATCTTCAGGGTTCTCGAACCCCAATGCATCCTCGTCGTCCTCCTCCCCATCCTTGTTGATGCGGTTATCGCGGGGAGCGTATTCGGCGCGGCTCAAATCCCAAAGACGGATAGTTGCATCCATAGATCCAGTCGCGACGATGTGATCCTCGACTTGAAGGCAGCGGACGGATGACAGATGGCCATCCAGCATTCCCATACAACGCCCAGCGTGCAGATCCCAAACGCGCACCGTGTCGTCCAAGGCCGCAGTCACCATGGTTCCGAAAGGCATGTCAAAATCCAAAGCAGTCACCATGTCCGTATGCCCGGCAAGCTCCTTGATCTTAGAGCCCGGCTCCAGGTGCTCATGCAGGACAGGCATGGATATCCGTCGGTGAGTCTTCCGTTTCCTGCCAGTCCTGGGAGACCGCGATGGCAGCTTCTCATAAATAGACTCCGACATAAATCCAGGAGAGCCCTCGTTGCTGTGGTCCGAATCGGGTGCGACCGGCGTTACCGGAGACTTTTGCGACAGAGCAGCCTGGTCCTCAAGCTCCTCCTGCATGTCCTCAAGTTTGTTCTCCACGTCGTTCAGCTCATGCTCAAGCTCCGCTTCCTCGTCCTCTAACGTCGCAAGCCTGTCGAGGACTATCTTGCGCATTGTATTCAGGTTGTAAATCTTGTTGTCAATTTCCCGAATTTCTGTGCTGCACATGTTTTTCCGCACACTCATCATTTCCAGGCGATGAGCCAAACCAGACTTCTCGTTCTTCAGTTTTTGCAGCGACGGCGGCACATTCTCATCATCCGTGTCCTGGCCGCCAATCAAGCGCTGCCCTTTCGAGTTATGACGCGGTCCGTGCCTCTTCTTTTGTGCTTTTTCTTCTTCCTCCGGTACGGTAGCCTGAAACCCTTGGAAAAGCGAGTATGTCGGGCTGGAATCCGGTATATCGGCGAGGAGTTCGTCGGGGAGATAGGTCAAGGCGCGTTGTTGGATCTCGGAGACGGACAGTTTGGAGCGCACAAGTTCTCTTGGTGTAGCCTGCGCGAGGTTGAAGACGGACCGTTGTATACCAGGCCGCCGTAGCTCGCGGTGGATCTCGCCGAGAGCATTGTGGTAGTGCTGGCTGACGCCGGCTTCTCCCAGCGGGCCGATGAGGTGGTTTGCGGTCGCGGTGACTTTTCGCCCAAAAGCCTCTAGATGTCTTGACTGCTGTGACGTTAGAGGGCAGCACGCGCAATTGACTCCCGCTGCAGGGCACATACGGTCGAGCCAAAGTCATCGTCGTCATCAAAGTCCTCGGAAAGCGCTCTGGGGCGTGGGCCTGACCTGCCCCGAGGCTCGCGTTCCCCGGCGGCGGCGTTTGCCATGGATGGCGGTGGGATGGGTGCTCAAAAAACACACGGTGGCGATACGCTGCGGACTCAACAGGCGGCGAACATGGCTCCTCTCGTGGTCGCGGGACAGATGTGGGGGGCCACGGAGGCGCCTGGCGTATGCGGAGGGCGTGTTGGTGGTGTTTGGAACAAGTGAAGCTGGCAGGCGTCAAGCTGCACCCATCCCGGCCTCGGTCCCGCCCGCAGCCCTCGTGCGCGCGCGACTCGCTCGGCGCGGCAGCAGAAGGCACCGCGCAACAACAAGTCGCTAGGTACCCGCTGCACGCTCGTCATGGTCCCCAGCCATTCGACGCCCTCCTCCGCGCCCAGCTGCCGTCTCCCCCAAACATGGATACCGCCGTAGGTCTGACCAGTGCCGACCAGGTCTTGGACCTGGCCAACATCCGCTCGACTCTGATGTGTGTAAAAAACCCCGCAATCTGAGCGCCCGCTGCAATTCGCAGCCACGCCAACGCTAATTCGCGTTTGCAGCCGTCTGGAGGACACCATCACCGTCTACCTCATCGAGCGTGTGCAATTCCCGCTCAACCGCTCCATCTACACCCCCGGCGCAATCCAGGTTCCCGACAGCCCTCTGAGCTTCCTGGACTGGCTCCTTTGCGAGCAAGAGAAGGTCCACTCGCGCGTTCGCCGCTACCAAGCTCCGGACGAATATCCTTTCTTTCCCGAAGCTCTGCTCTCGCCAATCCTCAAGCCTTTGGACTACCCGCCCGTCCTCCATCCCAACGACGTGAATGTCAACGGCAGGCTGAAAGAGGTGTACATCAGCAACATCCTCCCCGCCGCCTGCGCCAAGGCCGATGGCAATGAATCGAGCCAGCACTTTGGTTCCACGGCGGTGAATGACATTGCCTGCTTGCAGGCGCTGTCACGCCGTATTCACTACGGCAAATTCGTCGCCGAATCCAAATTCAGGAAGGAGACGGACCGCTTTGTGAAGCTCATCAAGGCAGAGGATCGAAAGGGCATCGACGAGGCTATCACTGATGCTGCGGTGGAGAAGAAGGTGTTGGAGAGACTCCGCAAGAAGGCGACTAATTACGGGAATGACCCTGAGAACCCTACCGCTGCGCCGCCCAAGATCAACGTGGACGCTGTCGTGGCCATGTATAAGGTGGGCGACGATCCAGAGCACGGAAAAGAATCAATCACTGACGCCTGGAACAGGACTATGTCATCCCGCTCACGAAAGATGTAGAGGTGGAGTACCTGATGCAACGCCTAAAAGGCACTCAGTGGGAATAGCGAGATGCTTGATTTATGAGTTCATGCTTGCTTGCTATGGACGTAGACGAAACTCGCGAAGAACATAAGGGACCTGTTCTCATGACGAATACCTAAATACTGTCGAGATGACAAGCAGGGCGAAAAGACGTAAAAAGTAGAGTGAAGGATGCCGAATGTGCTCGTCCTCGTGTGGTCTTTGACTGAGTAGTTGAACGCAAGTTGATACTGGTAGAGGGCGCTAATAGTCGTTTTCCTTTGTCCTGTGGGGATCAATTAATAGTGAAAGGGCCCGCCCTAATCGACCTGCTCGCAAGAACTTGATAGCGACCGAAACGACTGCATCGTTCTACGCGCATTTGCACAGGCCTCTGGCCTACTTGACAACGATAAGCTGGTATGAGCATCCCGTGACGCGCCGAAGCAAGGTCGTCGTACGGACGTAGAAGCAGGCCGAATGCACGAGTGTGGCGGTGCAACGCGCTTCTGCGTCATCGCCCTTGTCATGCGCCAGTTGCCTACCCCAGACACCCGACCTGCAAGGCACCACCGTCTGCTCTTCTGATCACCTCAACACCACCGCCTGCAACGCATAATCCGAGCAAAATCTAAGACAGCCGTCGTTATGTGCGGCTCCGACATATTTCTGGCCCTTCTGGCCCTCCTATTCCCACCCGTCGCAGGTCAGTCTCTCCACCGAGCATCCCCGCAGCACACGCGCGCACAGGCACCCACATCCACAGCATCAACGCACCCGCCACATTCCCCTCCATGCCGAATCTCAGAGCTAACACTTGCCGGTGCAAACAGTCTGGGTCAAGCGCGGCGTGTGCAGCGCCGACTCACTTGTCAACATCGCTCTCTGCTGCCTCGGCCTCCTCCCCGGCCTCCTGCACGCCTGGTACATCATTTGGGCGTATCCGGATCGCGACGAGTACGAACGTGTGGCCAACGCGGAAGACGGCAACGTCACCTACTACTACGTCGCGCACACCAACACCGACGGCCGCCGGGCCCCTCCGTCGAGAGGCAGCAACAGTCAGCAGCAACAGTACCGCAGTCACCCCGCCGGCCCAAGCTACGGCGCGATCCCGAGCCAGCAGTTCCACGGACAGCAGAGCGGCATCGAGAACCCCTGGGCAGAGGAGGGAAGGTCGGCGGCCAAGAAGAGCAGCAGCGCGCCGCCACCGCAGGGACCCCAGCTTGGCGATGGTGGCGAGGGTAGTGCGAGCCAGCCCCCGCCGACGTATGCGGAGGCTGTCAAGGGCGACCACAAAGTCCAGACGCACGATTAAGAGTGACCGCGACCGGTCAGACAGACAACCGGTAGCCGGAGGCGAACGGGTCCAGGCTCTGGCGACGGCATAAGGAGTTTTTTGAGGCGTTGCATTCAAGCCGGTGGGAACGGATGATCAGCTGATCATCCATTTGTATCGAGCATTATTCGTGGTTTTGAGTTTTGTGATCGGTGCATCTTATTAATCGTTGCCATTTCTCTTTGATCGAATGCTATGGTTCGCAATCCAGTGGAGTGGCTAATCCCGATAGAGGAAACCCCCAACATTGCTCCACAACTTTGTAGGTCTTACTGACATCATTGCTCATCCCATAGCTCTAATAATGTCTTATGCTGCTAGTCAAAGATCCTTTCCGCAAAGAGTGAATTCACAGGGACAATCACAAGTTCCGTGGTACACGATCGGCGGCGAGTATTTGAGCGTGAAAGAGGATATTGATTAAAACCATAACCGGGAGATAGGTTCCTGATTCGGAACTGTGGATATATAATTGAACTCGGCCGTAAAATCTACCCCAGAGAGAGTGGAAGATGCCAAGGTAGTAAACCCTCGACCCTATCCCGCTGTAATATCATGGTCTATCAAAAGCAGTAACGGTAGTGGGCATTCCTGGCTCAAGCTTGATGTTCTGCAGGACCTTCACCGTATCCTCCCAAGGTACTTGGAAAAGCCCGGAGTTGATCTTACAGATGCGCAGCTCAGTGACTTCCCTTGTCTGGCTTTCTTCGGCAACCTGCCTCAGCAGATCTTCCATCGCCGGACCCGTGTTCTCCAGAATCAATTCTGGTGAGTCTCTCTTTTTGCCGAAGTGTACGCTGGTGAAGAGGCAGCCAACATAGTGGCGGCGCGCTTGGCCGTTCACAGGTGAGATCAGCTGCGCTGTTGCGGGGTCGGCTTTGCCATCTGGGCCATTTTTGCAGAACTCCTTGTGAATTCTGTGGGCTGAAGGGTAGTGCTTCTTGAAAGCAGCAGCGATGCCCGCGCCCCAGTCACCGATGCAGTTGCAGGCATGTATGAGCACGGCGTTGGGTGGTGCGTCAAATATGTCGCCAACAACCTCCTCCACGTTGAGAGTGCCCCGTTCGGAGGAGCGTACGGTAGCATTGCTTTCCTTGTTCCGAGCGACTCCTAGAAGGTCAGGCTCGTTGTCGTAAGCACCGACCTGCTGTGAGGCCGTCTTCGGCGGCATTGCCGAGGGAAGGGTTGTGAGCCGAGAGATACTGAAGTCGGCCCGGCGGCGACACGAGAGGATTGGTCTGAGGAGCGAAGTTGCGCGATAGCAGTGTGCAGAAAAGCTGTGAAGGGTAGTCATGTGTCAGCAGGCGTGAAGCTCCCGTCAAGCCGGAGCAGGGTTGGGTGTAAATAAAGGGACGTGCGCGCTCCAGCCAATGAGAGCTTGCCCGATCAGCCGGGAGAAATCGCAACCTCTTGCCATTGACACCATTGAACCTCGCCCTCGAGCGTCGCATCCCCATCCTCCGCACCACCCGCCTCCATCCAACCCCGCTCGCCTCTCCGCTCAACCACCATGCCGGTACTCGCCTCGACCGCCAGCTCCCTGGCCCGGACCGCCGCGCGCTCGCAATTGCCTGCCGTGCGCGCTGCCGCCGCAACTGCCGTGCAGGCCCGCCCTGCCTCATCCGCCTCCTTCGAGAACCCCTTCAAGGGCGCCCAGAAGACCACCAGCATCCCCACCGCCGCCTGGAAGAAGTACCGCTCGAGCAGCGGCGAGACCGGCAACAGGGTCATCCAGTACTTCATGGTCGGCTCTATGGGTGCGCTGTCCGCCATGGGCGCGAAGAACACCGTGCAAGGTGGGTAGCATTCCTGCATCGGGCAGATGGATATCTGGGAACCACATATCAGGGATTGGGGTGATGAGACGTTGCATTGGAGCTGTGGCTAATCTGGCACCCGTCAGACTTCCTTGTCAACATGTCCGCCTCTGCCGATGTCTTGGCCCAGGCCAAGGTTGAGATTGACCTCGGGGCCATCCCCGAGGGCAAGAACGTAAGTGCGGCAAGCCTGTTTGTTAGGGTATCAGCTGTTGAGCCGTCGCGCAGGTTATCATCAAGTGGAGAGGCAAGCCCGTCTTCATCCGCCACCGCACCAGCGACGAGATCTCGGAGGCCGAGGGCGCCAAGTGGCAATCTCTTCGGGATCCTCAGCCCGACAGCGACCGTGTGCAGAAGCCCGAATGGTTGATTATGCTTGGTACGTGAACCGATAATCGGAGGGTCACGGCTGAGCCCGCCGAAAATTCGGGACGACGACCTACTAACGTCATTTGCTCGCTAGGTGTTTGCACTCACCTTGGCTGCGTCCCCATTGGCGAAGCTGGCGACTTTGGCGGCTGGTTCTGCCCCTGCCACGGTTCCCACTACGACATCTCAGGCCGTATCCGCAGGGGTCCCGCTCCTCTTAACCTTGAGGTTCCCGAGTACAGCTTCCCTGAGGAGGGCAAGGTGGTCATCGGTTAGAGAAAGTTATCCGGAGGGACGTGATTTCCAAGAGCACGTAGATGGAGGGAGACAGACGTGTGTTGATAGCTGGGATTGGAGAGGCCACCCAGCCTTGGTCGTTATGCTTCTGCTACTCTTCTCCTTGGCACCATAGAGCGAGGAAGAGCGAGGGGGTTGCATTTGTATAGTCATATCACTTTTTTTCCTTTGTTGGCGCGCATTTATTCGCGTGAGAATGCTGAAGACTGTATAAGACGAGTCACTAGCACAGTAATGGCTCAATTAGACTCGAGACCACGGAACAATGCAAGCGCCCCTGGCAGGATGCGGTAAAAAGACGGCATGGATTCGCCCAAGAGATTCTATTCCTATCCAGTGCCAAACCACGAGACAAGATTGATCACCGTCGAGGAATTGACCGACCGAACGCACCATGTGCGTGAGGATTGCGGCCAATCAGCTTGCGCCAGCACCCCGCGCTAAAGAATTTCAGGCAGTGACCATAACCACACCTTGCAGCCGCTCCACTCGGCCTCCAAAGACCGAGCCCTTCCCTTCCTTTCGGATCGACACTTTGAAGCGAAAAGCAAGGCACGAGCTTGCCCAGCATGGTCTACTACTTCACCAGCAACGTCGTGTCGCCGGCGGCGTTCATCTACGTCGGCAAAGACAAGGTTGAGAGTACGTCGCTCACGACAGCCAACGTGACTTGGAGAAACCGTTCGAGATGTCGCTGATCGGATGGCCACTAAACAGATGAGGAGCTGATAAAATTCGGCTGGGAAGAGGATGTCTGGTGAGTTCTTGCAGCTTTTCGTGGTGTCTGCGGTGGTGGCTTCTTATCGTGTCCGCTGCCGGTGTGCTTCACAGCCCGAAGTCCACTGCTTTGCTCATCCGGTATTGCAACGTGAACTGATAGACTCTAGGGTACGTCATGCCGGGCAATCGCGGGTTGTATCCTTCTGTGGGGGCGCTGAAATGCCAACATGATTGATAACTTAGTTCCACGTCGACAACCTTTCCAGTGCGCACATCTACGTCCGTCTTCGCGAGGGCGAAACCTGGGACAACATGGCTGAAGAGCTTTTGAAGGACTGTGCACAGCTGACCAAGGCGAACTCGATTGAGGGTACGCTCATCTCTTTTCCACGATGCATATCTACGTTTACTAAGCTTCGCAGGTAACAAGAAAAACAACATCACTGTTATCTACACGCCATGGTCCAACCTGAAGAAGGACGGCAGCATGGCAGTTGGCCAGGTCGGTTTCAAGGACAACAAGAAGGTCAAGCGCATCCATGTTGTAGAGCGCGAGAACCCCATCATCAACCGTCTCAACAAAACCAAAGTTGAGAAGTTCCCAGACTTGCGTCTGGAAAAGGAAGATAGACAGAGTGAACTCAGGAAGAAGGACCGCGCGTCGCAGCAGGAGCGGGTGAGTCCATGCGTCCGCGACCTGCATTCCTTGCTAACGCACTCGGGCCGATGCAGAAGAAGGAAGAAGCGCGCATTGCCAAGGAGCGCAAGGAGCTGGCATGGCAGAGGGATCATGCTTACGACGATGTGCATGCGGATGACCAAGTGGCGCAGTCGAGCAACCAGGACCGGGACGAGGATTTCCTCGATGACTTCATGTAGCTAAGTGACCAGGAGGCTGCATGTTGCGAGACCAGCGCCGGTGCCGTGTAGCGAATGAAGTGAGCCCGGCAAGCTACTGGATGCACATACCCATGGTCTCGTTCAACATGCGTATTTTGTGGTTAAAAGGGTCATAGAGCGTCCTCGCAATCCTGATCTCATCCCTCCTTCTGTTCCGGGCGTCAGCCACCGGCCTGGACCATGCTGCGGGGGAGAGATGGCGCACCTGCCGGATTTCCAGGTGTTCAAGTATCGGGTGTTGCTTTTCCAGCAATCCTCGAGCCACCACACATGGATCAAGCGCTTGACGAGGCGATGCTCAAGACCCCTCTCTCGTGTTGCGCCGCGGAGGAATTCCAGGGTGTTGTCAATGCGGCGCTGGTCGAAAGCGGCGCGGTCGTTTGTGCGGAAGATGCGTCGCAGCCGGTCGCGAAGGGTGAAGCGGGCGGGCTTCGAGTACTGCACGGCGCGGAGACCCCAGGAGTAGAGGTGGCGGTAGGCGCGCAGGATCTCGCGGTCGGTGGCGGGCATTGCGCCAGTGGGCCAGTGGGCCAGCGGTCGGAGGCCAGGTGCAGCGCGACTGAGGACCTTGGTGGCCGGTGTTCACGCGTCGACCTGATGCCGGAATTAGGCCGCCTCCCTCCGGCGCCCGTGCACGCCCGTCGCGACCCGATGGTCTACTCAAGCTGCGCAACTTCGTCTCACCTCCGCATCTCGACGTTTGCTCGCTTTTCCCGCTCGCCACCGCCGCTCCCGCGCGTTTGGCCCCGCCGCTCACTGCTTGCTGCGAGCGCGCATAGTGCCGACCGCAGAGCGTTGCTGCCGCAGGCCTCTGTCGTGTGTCTTGCCCACTAACCTCAACCAGCAGCATTCTTGCCCCGGGCCGCATGTTGCCGGCGCCCAGGAGTCGCCATCATGGGAAGAATACGTAGTCGCGCATCGTCGGCGCACCCGGCAGACGGCTCGGCATTGTCCCTCTCAAAGCAGCAGCCGCACAAACGCCGCAGGAAGAACGCCTACAAGGTCGTGCTGGAGTCGGTGACGCAGAAGAGGAAGAAGCTCCGTTTGACCGTCCGTCTCTTCATCTCTCATCCCTTGTGCTCCCGCGCAATCTGATCTTGTCATTGTCTAGGCCACCTTTGACCAGCAAGCCCCGCCAGGCTACACTTTCATCGGCTTTGGGAACGCAAAGCTTTCGGCGCAGTGCAAAGAATTCTGTCGCAAGCGTGGCGAGCTGGCTTACTCCGTTTCCGTAAGGATTCCGCCTTGACTTGCAAGCCCCTCATTGACACGCCAAGGCGCCCCCCAAAAACAATGCCACAGCAGACCCGGAGAAGATCTCGTTTCACGTGAACAGGCTGGGCTTCTATTTCCCCAACAAGATCGTCGACCTGGCCATGGAGTGGCTTGGCATCCATGTCAACGGTGCCAGACCGCGCTCCAAAAACGGCTCAGGCTTCACCCGGGGCCTGGGCCGCAGACTCAAGCAACACACAAATCTCAGCGAGGAAGACCAAGTCCGGGCCGCCATGAGGGATCTGTTCCCAAAGATGCCCGAGGATTCGCTGGAAGCCATCGTAGAGCACGCCTTTGCCGAAGTATGAGCCTCCGTCTTTGTAAGTACGGCATCCACTAACCTTTCTTGCCAGGGTGCCAAAAGGGTAGGTAACGCGACAAACCTCTCCTTGGAGCGGCGCGTACAGATGGCAGTGCTTGCCCACGTGCGGCACAAGCACACCGAATATGACAAACTACTCAAGGAAGTCGGTTACATTCAGGCTCGCAAGTCCGTGGAAAACCCATGCATCGAGAAAATCCTCACATGGCGCGGCGAAAACCTGAACGAGGATGATGATGTTGTCGAGATGGAAGACGACTTTCGCGAAGTCATTGTCCTCGATGACAGTGATGCTGGTGACGAGCAAGACGATGGCATGGAGTCTGACTCGGAGTCCAGCGAGGGATATGCACCGCCTGCAGCCATCAGCCCATCTGTCGGGAATATGCCTCGTGGTCGTCTCGCAATGGCCAACGTACATGCTACTGCAGCGCCCAGACCCAGGTCACTCATTGAACCGCTATCTTCACCTAGACATGGCTATGATCGGCTGCATGAGAGACCAGTCTCTTATTTCACTACTCATCACCAAGAAGCAGCACCCTCGACAGCGTCTCCCCATGGTCTAATCCCGGTCCCTCGGACGCCACAGGCATACGACCTTTACAAACGGTGCGTTGACGCCCTCAGGGATGGTTTGGGTACAAGCTGGGGTTTTCTGACCTTCCGACAACAGTGTACCTTACGAGTTGCCGTATCGTGAGCGAGTTCAACAAGCCGAGGTAAGTGGTTCTGGCTCGAGCCAATCGTGTAGCAGTTTAACTCCGCATTCCTGCGAAATTTCTTACTCACAAGCGGTGCTCGCAACAGCCTTCCATGCATCGCCGCAACGCGGAACAGGACCCTTATGATAACTTCCAGTTGTTTAAAGCTGCTAGGTATGCTGCCGAGCCCTCTCGTGGACAGCATGCCCCTCGTCACTTCATCAGTGGACGCCTCCCCACAGCAGAAAGTCATAGCTCGCATCATGTGGTTGACAGGGTTGAACATGGTTCGCACCACCGTGGCGAGCCCCGCCCTGAAGATGTTGTTCCTTCTATTGAGAAGGATGAGCCAAGCCCAGCTACTCCAACAACGGGCAATGAGAGACCTCGCTATGTCTCACATCAGGAGCGATCTCTCATGCCAGAGCCCTCTATGCACGGGCGGACGATGCTTCCGCCATACCGAAGAACGCATGCCGTGGATGAAACTTCCAGGTGCATGCCGCCAGCACCCGTCATAGATTTGACAGACAGTCCAGGGCGTGTACCCGGCGATTTTCATATGGGCAGCCGCCAGCCCGTTACAGTGGAACCCCTTGAGACTAGGCGCATGCAGTCCAGCAGCCTCTCCATTGATGAGAGATATCGCAGCCGCCGCCAAATGGAGCATGATGCCAACTACAAAGTCAGGACGGCAGGGAAAAATGAACCGTCCCCTTTCTATTCCCCCAAGTACGCAAGACAAACGGAAGGCCGTCGCGAGCTCGGGACTGTATTGCAAGTCGGTGTTCCTGGCAGTAGATCGGGAAGCTTGCAGCAACCGAGTCTCACAGGCGATCGTCTATCGAATGCTCCAGTATCCTTGCGTCACAATGCTGACCAACAGATATTTGAGCAATCAGTTCCCTCAAAGCGTTGGTCCGGTGACTGGATCCCGGGCCAACTTGATGGGCATGATGATCGACCTCCGTTTTCTATTCGCAGAAGGATTGATGAGAGGCCTTCTGGCCCCAGTCATATGGTAGCAACAGTCGATTCTCCAGGTCCATCGCAAAGGCCTCGTGTTCCAGTTGTGCCAGAACGTCTGATTGCCAACCCTCATGCATCACGGGGCTATGATATGGCACCCAGTCCAACTCGCATGAGAGTTGCGCACACATACGACCCCGGCACAGTGGGACTTCGAGTGCAGCCCGACAGCGGCCATGAGTATCGGGCGCCACCTCGTACACATTACTATGACTACAGGCCCGCAAACGGAGATGCTTACCGCTGAGGCGGTTTGCTGGATAGTGTCCCTGCCCAGTGTGATCATATCATCAGGTCATGCCAGGCTTTAATCACCTTTGCCGTAACAATTGCTATAATTGCACCTTACGAATATCAAGACAGTAAATTGAGACTGCTCGGTGAGAAAAACGACCCGATCCTACTCGATCAATCGGTGTCTTAGGTCAGACTAATCGAGTTCTTCTATCACAGATACCTTGTATAGTCAGCACAATAGCGCGGTCAGTCGAACCGCACCACGCTGCTTGCGTCCATATCAGTCAATCCAGGGCGAACGAAGCGGGTACCAGAAAGGGGGCATGTCGAGGTACAGAAATGGGAGTCGATTGCCTCTTGAGAACGAGGATGACTTCTGGTTCTTACACAGATCCAACGGACATTCGTTCTTCTCGCCCCTGGATAAAACAAAGGAGTGAAAAGCCAGAAAGCTGCGGTACATGAACTCTTGCTCAACCCAATAGCCTCTCCGGCCGGCCAATTGCTATCACAAAAGTCACTGCAGTAACTGGAAGGCAATCGAAGTTAGAATGGCCCGGCCTCAAAGGCCCCTAGAAACCATACACTAAACACCGAACAACTCATAGTCCTAACACTGACATGCATGTTCGAGCACAATGTCGCCGTCCTCTACTTTGTTTATACGCAGTGCATTGTATTGTTCACTTTTTGCTCAGTATATAAATTTTGTCGTATACCTTTCATACTCCCGCAACACTCAACTCTTTTTACTCGCGAAGAATCGTTCACGAAGACACTCATCAGTTTCTGCAAGACAAGAACGGTTCTCGATAGCAGGAGGTTGCAGGTATGGACGAACTTAAAGATCCAACCAAGGAAGAGTTCCTTGCTCATGGTATGGAAGAGATTCCTGAGGAAGAGTTGCTCGCATCTATTAGCGACCCAAACGCACCCGACGGCAGGGACTCATGTGTCTTCTGTCTTGAGAAGTTCTCTTCCGAAAACAGCACGGAACGACCGGTTCGCATAATCTCTTGTTCGCACTGGGTGGGAAGTGAGTGCATCCAGCTTGTCAGCAGCAACAAGTGCCCTTTTTGCCGTGCACGCCTCTTCGCGAAGGGGCCGGAGCCAGATGAGGCAAGAGACTTGCCCTCCCTTCAAGGTCTCCCCTCCTTTGGAAATGTTGAAGATCTCCTGGCTGAGCTTGCGCTTGAGGACCGGGACGATGATGTCGACACGATCGGATCCGGCGAAAGCAACGGAGCGTGGACCTTGCGCATCCAAGTCGCCAACCACTGGCAGTCCGGGTACCTCGACCAGCTGGCTTCGGCGTACCCGCAGGCGCGCACCAGGCACGAGCAGCTGGCCGCACAACGCGCGTGGGAGATGGAGTGGCACCGCACGCTGACCACGCACGCCGCCAATCCGGAGATGGTCACGGCCCCGGGCATCCTGCCGCCCGGCGCCAACCTCTACCCGCACCCCAGCCCGGCCACTACCATGAACGACACCCGCCCTTACGCCCTCATCAAGCCCTTCGAGCTTGTCTTGCCGCGTGATGTTGCGCCGGTGGTGGACCGTCCGCCCTTGCAGGGCGTCTGGCTATCAGTCCGCACCGAGGCTGTTGGGATCAACTTAAGGATGGCGCTGATGAGTTTCCAGACACTCGACATGCTTCTGATTCCCGAGCCGGCGGGGGTTGAGGCTGCGGGTTCGTTTAACAGCCTTGTGACGCAGCAAAACGAGTGGAACTTGCTAATCACCCAGGCCATAGACGCCATCGAGAGGTGGTGCCGCGAGCACGAGGCGCAGCTGTGGCGGTCCAACGAGCTCGAGGAGCGCTGGGTGGCGACGGCGACGGCGGAGATCCGCACGCAGACGGCTCAACTCGGCCGCCCCGTGCCTGCCAGCTTGCAGCGTGCGATGGGCACGTTGATCGAGTTCGTTGTCCGGTGGAGGGCTGTGAGGGAGATGGAGGTCTGGGAGACGCTCGTCACCGACCAGGATCAGGGAGAGTGAGGAGTCCAGTAGGGGCTCATGCATGCCTGGGGCTTGACGTGAGTACCTCCCATGAGTTCCCCCCCAGTGTTTTCTCTCGCCTCTTTCGAGTTGTTTGAAAATGTCTTTGTCGGAACGCTAGGGAACATTGTCTTGTTGGTGCATAGCCTCTTGAGTAGTGAATAAAATACCCCAGATCCGGGACCCAAAGGAAAATCTAAACAAAATATGATCAGTGATACATGCAACGTGAAGAAAGCAAACGCAAATGTCAGCTCGCTCATCAGCGTGATCGCTTATCGGATCCATCGCACCAAGGCTCGTTCTTTGTCCCAAGATGCGTCAAGGTACTAGGCAGCATTCGAAGCGCGTCTCCGTCCATTCGGGTTCCATCCGCACTCAAATGGACCCGAGAGAAGCTGGGCGATCGTGAGCAGATCGGCATCTAGTGGTTGATCAGGTGTACGTAAGTCTCAACTCTGCTCGAGTTTGCAGAAGCCAACGCTACACCAGATGAGGGATATGATCACCGGAAGGAACCCGACGGGTGGCCCTGCGAAAGGACCGCTCTTCGCGACGGCATCTTTTTCGAAGCGGAAATGCATGTCGGCTAAATATAGCGAGCAAGCATATATAAGGCTTGAAGATCGGACGAAGTGAATTTTGGCGTGTGTTGATCAAAAGGGCGGGCGTATGGGCATCACGGCCTTGAAGAAGGCCAGCGCAACCGGAGCTGGACGATCGCCGCGAAGGCACCGACGAGCCGCGACGACCGTACCCACACGACATCACGGTCCAGTCGTCGAGGTCTACCTGGGCTGGCGGACTCGAGCTGCTCTGCATATCTGCACACACGCCCAAGCACGCGCCATTACGAGTTGCGAGGGCCGATGCTCTTCACAATATTTGCAATCGCCAGCGCCTCGACCTCCCCCCCCTAATGCGTCCTATCATTTCTAGAGCGTCTTGGCCAAGTTTCGGATAGTCCACGCTCTTGCCCCCAAAGAATGAGGGACCCTAAAGCACGGCCCACAACAGTGCTTGAGCCAGCATTTCCAGCATGGGGAAGCAGAGCATCGACAGTCGAGAAGGGGGGTGACCTAGTGCGCACGAACGTACTTCCATATCAGGACAACATCGGAAAGCTGGGGGGCCATAAAAGAGAAGACTAGTGAGCAGCGCCCCCCCCCTTGCGAAAATCCCGACGGCAGCACACTCCCAAAGAAAGAGAGAGAAAAAAAAAAACACCGCGACATGTGCCGCCATCAGCAGCAGCCAAGGAGGCAGACGCCAATCTTCCAGCTTGGCTCCCCACAACTTCTGCTGCTGCGCCGCTTGTCGTTCAGCTCGGCGCAGGAGGAAACCATTCCAGCAGCCCAACTGGCTCGATCCCCCCCTCAGGCCCGACGTCACCGCCCACTCCTCCTCCCCCTCCCATGTCCACGCACTAACTAACTAGTACGTCCCACCTACCACAAGACCCTTGGAGGCTCCGCGAGCATGCATATGTATGTATGTAGTTTCAGTGAGATCTCGCCTCGCCCTGCACAAGTATTACAGTTTTTGGCCCGCCGCTATTTTTTTGACTTTTGACTTTCGTCGCCAGCCAGCCAGCCAGCCAGCCAGCCTCGGCGGGCCCCGTCCTTTTCCCCCTTCGCCGCGTTTCACCACCAAAAGCAGCCGGCGGCGGCGGCGCCGTCGCCACGCTAGGCTCCGCGCCGCACCGCGCCGCGCCGCACCAAATTTCCAGTCGGGACCGTCTTTTGCGGGCGATTGGATCGAGATGTGGTCCAAAATCCCATCAGCGGGTGATGAAAAGATGGAAAACAAAAAACAAAAAGAAGAAGGATGCAGCAGACGTGACGTGATGAGCCAGCGCACTACTGCATGCATGCATGTGTGGGTGTGTGGGTGGGTGTGTGCGTGCGTGCGCGCCTGCGCCGCCCCTCCCCGCCGGACGCGCATCTGGCGTACGAACTTTCAGCCGCTCTTCCCGGGCGGCGGGGGGCTGATGAGGCTATGTATGTGTTGCGTAGGCAGCGAGAGGGGGGGAAAAGCGGATATCATCACCATATCTACGATAGGTATGCCTTTTGCTTTCTCAAACAAATAGCGGCGTGCCTGCTTGCCACCACCCCTATCGTTGTTTCGCGATATATCCGTAGGCATGCTCCAGATCTGTTGTATCTCCGCACCCGAAAGGGGGGGAGGGAGACGAAGCCCCGGAGCCGGCGCGTCAGCGCTAAAAAGCTGCCCGTCATGGCCCTTGAGCAATTGGCGGAAGCAAAGGAATGGAAGTGCAGATAATAATACTAAGAAAAGGGACGAGTACAGGAATTGATGCCCAAAACGGCCTGTACCTGGCCCTGATGGCAAAGCAGGAGCTCCCGGGCGATCGCCTGATGTTGAGCTGATGTGCTCCCTTGTCTGCCTCTATTTTTCCGACGGCGGATTCTTTTTACTTGGGCGCGCATGCCGTGAAGCGCTCTCTGAGTTCTCCCTCCCTGTGGTCCAGGTTTCCTTCTCTGGCCGGCGCCGCTCGGTCCTCTGTCCTATGCCGTTTATTCCACCGGCGATTAGGTACGCGTGGCTGCGAGAGCAAGGCTGCGTGATTAATGCTCGACCTCGCCGAGGAGAGCGGGTTTGGTGGCTCGAGGCACTGGAGGAACAATGGGAGAAGAGGATGGAACAGGGGCAAGGGAAGTTACGGAATGCAGGGGGCGGGAGCGAGAGCGAGAGCGGATGAGCTTAGTGTAAGGATTGGCGCACGAGTCGCACTCGAGGTTAGCGATGCGGCCGGAACGATTCGGTGAGGGAGAGGAGAAAGCTTGCGGTGGTCAGGGGACCCGGGGTTTTGGTAAGGGCCCTGCTCGCCAACTTGATTGTGGTTTGCCTCAGGTTCGCTCGCGTGGCTGTGGGCCGGTGCGTGGCGCGGCAGGTCGCATGTCAGTGTCTAGTTACGTAGTATGGATGACTGCATGCGTGCGACGGAGAATTTGTTTGCTTTTCCGTCTGTCGGCGACTCGGCGCATGGCGCAGATCCAAGTCGATGCCAATGCGATTCGGTGTAACGCACTGGTGTCGGGTCGGGCTGGCGGTGATGGATTGGGTAGTTGCACGCGCTGACTGGCTTCGCAAGACCTGGCATCATTATTAGGTATTACTGTCGCTGCCAGAGAGTCAGAGAGTCGGAGAGTCAGCAGAGCCACATGGCCGCGGCGGCTGGCGGAGGTAAGCGAGCGCACAAGTCCGTGGCACGGCGCTGGCTCCGGTGCTGCCCCTTCATGCTGCGCAACGCCTCCCTCTCTTGTTGACTTTTGATCGTTTCCATCCGCAGGCTCGACGGCTGCGCCTGTGAAGCCTTCTTCGGCATTCTTCAGGGTCTTCAGGGGCCAGGGGCCCAATGGCAAAAGAAGCGACTGCATTCGTGGCTGCTGGTGGCTGCGGGTATTTGGTCAATAGCGCGCGCCGCCGCTCTTCTGCTGATCATCTCGTGATTGTGCCCGCAAAGAGAGGGGACGCTGAGCAAGCACTATAGCAAAGTATAAGGGGCCGGCACTTGGAAATAACGATGGCGCAGCCCGCGGCAGTTGGGCCCAAGGGCCCAAAGCAGCACATTTAAGCACAGGCTAATCTTGCGGGAGCGGGAAGGGTACCAGCGGAGGCCGGAGGGTAGCGCCTCTGCGGCACACAGGCGGCGAGCAGACGGGCGGTGGCGAGGCGGTCGGGCGGTCGGGCGGTCGGGCGGTCGGAGCATGCCGTGCGTGCCAACAGAGGTCGTCGTTGTTTATACACGAGGCATGGGTGTGTATAGCGATGCCGCAGAGCGATGACGACGGATGGCAGAGGAAGCGGGGGCGGGAGATCGGATAATGCTCCGACAGGCAGGTGAGTGGCTGAGCGGCAGCGCGGAAGCGGTGGCTTGGGCCCGACATGCGGGAAGGGCGAGCTTGGTGCGTCAGATGGCCGAAAAGGGCGGCCTAGCGTGCGGGATCCAGCACGCCGGACGGAGGATGCTGCCGCTTTGGGTCCCCATGGATTTTCTGGGTCGCCCATGGGTCGCCCATGCAGCACGCTTCGCCCAGCCTGCGGGTGTGCGCGGCTCCGCTGTGCTCTGACTGCCGCCGCCGCCCCGCCTGCCCGGCAGCCGGCGCCCTGACTCGAGCTCCAGGAAACGCCACTGCAGCCGTGAAACACGACCCTTCCACCCCCAATGATTCAGCAATCCCGACTCCGCCTGCGTGCCTGCTGCAATCTGCAGTAATCTGGTGCTGCGTGCTGCCTGCCTCGCGCCGCCCGCTACGTGGCCAATCCCGCGCTCTCGCCTCTTTTGCCCATCGCAGCCCGCGCCCTGCAATCACCGTAGGGCTGACCATCAGGCTCCCACTCCGCTCACCGACACACCAGTCGACTCGTGCCGACGTTTGGATGGCTGTCCTTGCGACTCGTGCGGCTGCAAGCCCTCGAGCACTACGGATTACTACTCGTACTCGTTCCTGCCTATCCGATCCAGCCCTCTCTGTGCGGTGGCCGATGCTCGAGTGCTCCTTCGTGCGAAACATGCATCTCAGCCGGCTCCAAGACGTCCCGTTGCTTGGACGCAGTGCCGAGTCCGACCCATGGTCCACGCCGTTTCCTGAAGCAGCCTCCCGTTTGCCGGAGCCGTTCCATTGCATGTGAGTTTGGAGAGGGAGATGCCGCCAATCTCGCAGCCGGAGCGATCGGCGGATGCATACATCAGGCATCGATGGTTTGGCCGAGGGGCGTCGACGCACTCCTGCAGCCAACGTGGTGCACATCGCCATTACTGTTCATCAATTCGAATTGCACCTGTCCTCGTTCACCGGCAGGCCGGCGTGGCGGACGAGCAGCCCCAGACAGCAGCAGAGACGCCAGGGCAGCGCTGAATCAGGAGCTCGCGTCAGTCCTGAACCGTCTCACAGTCTGGCGCCACGCCCTGGCCTTCCGGTCGAGGACCACTTCCCCCGCCATCCCGACGGGAGCACCAACAAGACGGTCGAGATAATCAGCCACATCGTACGATCCGAGAAGCTGAGAGCACGAATCCGGGCTCCCGCAACCCACCGAAGACGGCGCTGAGATGCTGCGCGGTGCTACGGATACAATTTCGTGGTTGCTGCTCGCGCCTGGACCCCGGGCGCACCCCTGTACGATCAGCTGGCAGTCTTTCGGCCCGGCAACGCAGCGCCAACCAACAAGAACTGAGGGCGCCTTCCCCACTGTATGGGTCCTTGGGTGAGCTGGTCAGAGTTCGCCCAGGTGGTCGGATACAGAGGCCGTGGGAATGGGTACTGCGCCCCGACATGGCGGATGAACTCAGTAGCAGCAAAAGCAGAGAGTCAGATCTTGATGCGCCTCCCCCCCGCCGGGTGTTGCAACGCCCGACACGCTGCCATTATTGTGCCCACGTCGTCCTGGCCTGCTCTCCGCGGAGAATTTGAACCTGAGCGGCACAGCAGCCAGAGCAGGCGAGGCCGAACAGGCCCCCATTTCGCTTCCAACCTTCTTGAGCAAACCGAGCTTGCGACCTGCGTGCGACGGGGCCGGCCGCTGCGCGCTGATGTTTCTAAATTTTCTTCCCTTTTTTTTTCTTCCTTCCCTCCCCCGGCCGCCTGGCCCTCGGGACCACGGCTGTGAGCGTCGTCTGCCTCTGCGCCTTCCGCATCCTCACCAGGCGTGCGCCCACCCGCACTTGTGGCTGCACCAGGAGCGCGCGCACAGAAGCTCTGAGTTGGCAGCGCGTCCACCACGTCGCTCGCGCCAATTGTTGCCGGCGTGCGCACGCAAACGTCGCGGCGGCATGCCGGTAGTCAAAGAGGGCAAGCTGCGTGTCTTTGGATCAGCAGGCGTGCTTGGTGCTTGGTGCTTGGTGTGCGCGCGCGCGGGTGCATGATGAAACCGAGCCCAAGGCTGCTGCTGTCACTCGCTGCAGAAGCCGCAATAGCAGCCGCCCCCGGTGGCACAGGTTGCGAGAGCCGGCGGGCGGCTGCTACTGGGGAGGCCAGACGGGCACTGTGAGCTGCCGCCAAGGGTCCTCACACCACTGGCCGAGATCTCGTGCGACGGGGTGCACGCATTTCGACAAGCGCCTACTTCGCGTGACAGCATCATCTGCGGAGAATCGAACGGACGACTGGACTAGAATGCCCCTGCGCGCGATGCCCGGGCAGGGAAGCGGGTGGGATGTGGGCAGGCGCGAAGGGAAGGCCGTCCGAGAGCCAGACGCGCGAGACTACGCCCAAGGCGGCGCGCCCACCGCGTGGTGCAAGTCGCCCGAGGCCCAGAGCCTGCGCACCCGCCGTGTGTGCCTCGCCGCGGGCCGCGCGCGCTGGAGGCTGGAGCTCCTGGGGGACCGCTGGCACCGCCCGGCGGGCTGGCCATGATGAGCTTCTTGCTGCTCCTCTCCTCTGCTGCTGCTGCTGCTGCTGCTGGCGCTGGGGCGTGTCTGCCGCGGCGCCGGGGGCATGCAGCGGGCAGTGGGCAGGGAGCAGGGCAGCGCGCACCGTTGGATGATCGGCTGGGAAGAGCGCGCTGGGTAGCTGGGTGCGTGGGTGCGTTAACTTGTGCTGATGAGTGCACAAGTGGGCCAGGGTAGGGATGCCTGCAATAAGTGGAGTCGCTCGCTTGTGGCAGTGGGAGCAGAGGTTGCGTTCCCGACAGCGTGGTTAGCGTGCCCGCTCCGAGCTTTGGGGCCTTAAATGGACCAGCGCCCCATGCAAGAGCTGGACGGTGCTCGCCTGCGCAGCCTTGATAACCCACCACTCCCCTTCCGCGGCGCGCGAGGATCCACAACTCCCCGTCTCGTGCCCACGTCGGAAGGTGCCTCTGAACCCGCTGCCACCGAGGAATTGGCGAGCTCACCTCGCTCCACCGTGCCTGCCTGTTGTAAAGGACCCCATCTGCGCTTGCTTGCATCGCCCTCGCCGCCCTACCACATCTGCCGCGCGAGTCCGGAACATTTATACCTACCGCGAACATCCATCCTCGGATCCCGCCCGTCTGGAACGGACCTCTCACCATGAGCAGTCCCGCCGAGGAAACCCGCCAGGAGGCTCTTCACGAGCGCCGCCAGAGCATTGGCAAATACGTGAAGAGGCTCCGCACCGTCTTGAAGAGAGGCAACTCCAGCAAGGAACGCGTCCCGGTTGCTGCGTCGTCTGCGGAGAAGAAGCCTGAGCCTGCTGCGTCGACAAGGTAAGCGCCTCTCACTCTCGCCGTCTTGTTCACTTCACTGATGGGCCTAGCGCCGCCGAGCCCAAGCCCGAATCCAAGCCCGTCACCTCGACAACGGGTCAGGTCAGCTACCCGCGCAGCGCCGCCCAGCAGGAGCGTGCTCGCGCTCTCTTCGCCAAGTATGGCCTGACTCTGGAAGCCCACGAGTGGATCACCACCGGCCCCACCAACGAGAATGTCCAGCGTGTCGAGAAGCCCATCCGCATGCGTGTCCACCGCCAGTGCCACCGTTGCCAGACTACCTTTGGTGCCGACAGGGTCTGCCAGCAGTGCGAGCACACTCGGTGCAAGAAGTGCCCTCGTTTCCCGACCAAGAAAGAAAAGTCCAAGGGAAAGGCCAAGGGAGGCGAGACTCCGGACATTGCTGCCGTCGTAGCCCCCGCCGCCGCCGCTACCCCGTCCACTGCCAAGGTTGGGACAGCGACGGGCAAGAAGCAGCAGTACTTGACCATCAAGAGCCGTACTGGTGGCCAGGACTTGGAACGCCGCCCGCCTAAGCAGCGTGTCCGCCGTAGTTGCCACAAGTGCCAGACCCTATTCATCCCTGCTACAGCTACCATCTGCACCAATTGCCAGCACACGCGTTGCACCAAGTGCCCTCGCGACCCGGCCAAGAAGAAGAAGTGGCCCGATGGCTACCCTGGCGATGCTCCCGGCTCCGACACGGAAACGGACGCCGAAATCCTGCCCGCCCATCAGAGGCCGGAGCGCGTCTGGCGCAAGCCGCGTATGAGGATCAGGTGGAGCTGTGAGCAGTGCAATACCCTCTTCATAGAAAAGTCCAAAACGTGTGCCAGCTGTGGGCATGACCGCTGCCAGAGCTGCGTGAGACTTCCGTGAGTAGTTCCGTCTCCAACCCGATTTAGTCTGATTGCTGATGAACAATGCAGCCCGAAGAAGATCAAGCAGGAACCCGACCCAGCCGTCCTACGTTCGGTCGAGGAAAAACTGGCCCGTTTCAGGATGGAGGGAGCTCCAGCTCCATCTGGCACGGAGCCGGCGGCCTAAACGACTGTTCCTACCCACAGCATCACGAAAGCCCCCATCATGATTGTGTTCTTGTTCCCCAGCATGGATCGCGTATTCTATTCGAGGAGAGGAGGCTTTTTTCGCTTCTGCACGACAGCCATTCAATACCATTCGTCACGAAGAGGGAGGGTCTTGAGCTCGGATGAGTGAGAGAGGAAAAGGCTGTTGATAGGATTGGGCGCTTGCTCTTAGAGCGGGCCGCTACTTTTGCAATGCTATAATTTGGGCATGGCGAACACGTTTGATTGACCAGGCCAGTGCCACATCTTCGACAACACCCACACGCCGTCTCAGGTCCCCACAGAAGGCATGATGAAGCTCACACAAGCGACGTCATACTGCTCTCACACCACGCGACATGTGCGCCCTCGCACCGCCCCGGTGAAGAGGGGCCAACGCCGGCTAACCCCCGCAGTCTTGTCGCTGTTGAAAGTTGACCCGCGGGCCGGATCCGGCAAGGTGGCAGGTTTCTTTTTCCTCTTTTCTTTTCAAAAGAGGGTCGGCGTTGTTGGGTGCGACGATGGCATGTCTTCCGTGCTACCGTGGCACCGGCGCTGGTTCGCTTGACGCGACGCACGACCAGCTCACCGTCTCTTCGAGCTGCAGCAAAGCACGCCCACCGGCCCATCCCTTACCGCGCCCTCGGAATGCCAGGCAGGCCAGGCGCTTTTTCCCCGCCCACACTCCAGCCGTTGGAGCAAAACAAAAAGTAAAAAAAAAAAAAAAAAGCGGGCTCGAGCCGGCGCGTGGGGTCATTGCAGGCTGGGAAGACAGGGGTGCAGCACACGTCGAGAAAGAGCAAATAATAAGGCCTGCATTGGAGCAGGAGGTACCGGCGGGACGCGCATTTTTCCTGGCAACGGCGGGCAGGAGGTATGGGAGGGGACCATGGCAGCAAGGTGGCGAACGGCGGTGCTGCTGCCAATAATGCTCTGGGACTCGATCGGACTCTGATGATGAGCTCTCGAGATTGCCGGGAATCATGTGCGGGTAGCCGTGCAGTCGATCTCATCTCAGCATGACCCCCCCCCAGCACCCGCTGCTCATCAGCCGCGCGCGCAGCTTCATGTGCTGTCGATGACGGCGTCGAGGGGGGAGAAAAGAAAAGCCCGCCCTGACGGTCTCTGGTTGCCGGCAGGTGCATGAGGCATCGGCATCGGCACATCAGCAATGCAGCAGCAAGACATATTCTCTGTGTGACGGCAGGCGATGCTCCCATGGCCTGACAGCAAAGGGCCGTCGCATCATTGCATTTTGGTGCCGCTGTCTCGCAGTCGGCTTGACACGGCACGCGCCACGTTGTCTCTGCCCACAGCAAGTCCAAACCACGCTCACTGAACCGGCATCGTACGATAGCGCTGGGCAATCACGGAGAAGGGCGAAGGGCGAATCGCAAGAGCGGTTGTACGCCGCACATGGGTGCATATGCGCACGCACAGCTTGATGAGCCATTGGCGCTGTGCGAGTCTGGCAGAAGCAGGCCGGCAGGCTAGTCGGGCGGTGTCGGACGGGCGCCGCCTGCTGTTGCTGCTGCTGCTGCTGCTGCTGCTGGACTGGCCGACTCAAATCTCCGCTGCGGCTCGGCTTCCAGCCTCTGGTGGTATGGATGGGTGGCGGAGAGGGCGATAGGAGCGGGTGGATGATGAGGCTCTCCCCCCCGCCCGGCGTCACCATGATGCCCGCGTGGTGTGATGGTCCGCTGCGAAGAAGCGTCGTCGACAGGTGAGCGGGTTCCACGTACAGCTGCACGTCTCCAGAGAGCGGAGCACGTCGAATCAATGGTCAAGGTCGAAGCGCACCAAGACGCATCGGTCGACTGCCCCAACGAGAAGGCCAAGCGAGCCGCCGATCGCGATCTGGCAACACCGTGCTGGTTTCCCTTTCTTCCCTGCTTGCTCTCACCATGCGGTTTGGATACGCCGGGAGGATAGCTTCGGCGTCGTTCGCCAAGACACGCTACACAAGCCCCGGGCCGCTGGCGAGTAAAGAGACGGCCTTCAGAGCTTCGCTTGCAATATCTACAGGTTTACGCGCGCACCAGACCAAAAGGCTCCCGTCTCCGCTGCACCAGCCGTCCGGCTAAAGGGCTGGAGGGAATTCAAGGTCCAAAAGCAACGGCGTGATGGCACCACCGAGGGGTCGGGATTCTTGTTCAGTCGCGTTCCTGGTCGGCCCCTTCTTCTGCTGCCTTTGCTTCCTTTTTCCTCGTTTGCTTTTTCCCCGCCAGCCAGCCACCAATGGTGTCGAAGATTGGCGGACCCGCGGAATGCCAGCTGCTTTTTCCCAGGCCCACCGTTCTTTCGTTCGTCATTTGCCTCCGGTCGTTTGTGCTAATACAAGTCGCGCCGTAGGGAGACGCAGGTGCATCTCCGTTCGCGTGGCAGCGCCGGGATTGGGTGCGGAGAGCCTGGTTCAGAACGTGCACCTCAGGTTATTAGTTGGGTCCTGCCTGTGATTGGAGGCATTGCTGCATCGCCATTCGTCTTCCTGTCGGTGTTGGTTTTGCGGAGTCATGATCAGGAGTCCTCTCTCAGCGCTGATCCGCCGACGATCGCTGGGCCGGCCCGGGCATACCTAGCCCTGGTTGAGCACGAAACCCCACCAGTTGATGCTGTTCGAGATGACGCCCTCGCCACAGTTCATCTCGAGACAGACGGGCGACGGGAGCCTCTTCATGGGTTGGCTGTGCACTTGGGTGTCGGAAGCGCACGGGTGCAAACCGGTTTTCGCGCGCAGCCACACGGCTCGACGACGCAGCCCTCGCTCCCCCGGTCGACCAGGTTGCATGTTCCATGTTCCATCGGCATCGCCGGCCTGCTCGCCTCAATTGCTCCTTCCTCGCTCTTCGGCCGTAGCCCGCCCTTTCGGCAGCCGCCAGAGCTGATGATCGCTTCACGCTTCTCCAGCCATTGGATCCTCTGTTCCTTTGTCTTCCTTCTCACCGCGCTGCTGACATGCTCACTTCGCTCCTGTGCCGCAGGTAGACGAGCGAGGCGTCGATTCGGCAGCGAGCAGGGCTGGCCCATGTTCTCTTCCCGCGCTGACGCCAGAGGAAAACAAGCGCCCGGGCCCCAGTCGGCTCCAGTACCCCGTCACCCCCAACGTGCCAAAACGGTCGCGCATATATACCGGCCCTGTGCCCTTTGCGACTGGCTGCCATGCTTCGTCTGCTGCTTCGGAACTGCTTCGCCGAACCGCACACGCCATGCTTGCCCCGCAGCACAAACGACCAGAGACAGAGCGAAAAGAAGCGGTCGTGCAGCGAGTCAAGTGAGGCGACAGTTGACTCGCGAGGAGCAATGGTAATGACGCTTTGTCGTGGCTTTGCTTCTCGCTCTAGCGGCCGTTGTGACATCGCGCCTCTCGCGGCCGCAAAGTCTATCTAGACCACATCATGTTCACATGTTTCAGCTGCCGCCGCTGCTCACTGTTCCTTCCAACTCTCCCCTTTCCCTCTGCTACGTATTGTGGCTTGCTGACCACTGGCCATCACGTCCGGGCAGAGCATAGGTAGGCCCGTCTCCCCAGAACGGCTGGGTGCCTGCTTTTTTCCGTGCCGCCTTCCTTTCTCCATGCTCTGTCCGACTTGTCGACGCGTGACCCTAGCGGCAGCCGCTTCGTCTCGTCTTGCTTCCGCCGAATGCTCAAGCTTCCGATGGCTGATCATGGCGCGGCATGCAGCCCGCACCCAAGAGGGCCCAGGCCACGCGGCCGGACTCTCGCCAAGGATTCACTTGCCGCTGCGGCGTCTCCGTTGGCTGGTGCGTCAACTCTTTGCGCGATGCCTTCGGCGCAGGGCCTTGCCGCCGTTTGATTCTAGACACTTTCCATCCGCGTCGAGGCGTGGGCTGGCCTTGCCACCACAGAGGGCATGGAAACTACGTACGGGAGGCAGGCACAGCAGGCACAGCAGGCACAACAGGGGTCAAGGTCAAGGGCAACGGCAAGCACAAGCCTTGGCACTCATCCAGCCAGTCAGGCCAGCCGGCAGATCAATCAAGCGTCTGGATCAGCAGCAACGTTCGGCAGAGAGTGCAGGGTCACCGGGCCTTCGAGCAGCTCACCGGGCCATTGACTGGAAGCCGGCTCCATGTACACGCCCCATGTGCCCTTTTCTTATCGTGCCGCCTTTGTGCTTGACTGGCTGCTGTACCAGCAGAAGCGATTCCAGGAGCGGGAGGCCTCCGGCCAAAGGCAGTCCATGCATCTGCGGAGGCCAAAATGAAGATGTCCCTGAGCCGACACTGTCCACAGGTGAGCGCCGTGGAATTTCCCGACTGTAATTGCCCATGTTTTCCGTCTCGGCTCTGTCTCGTTTGCAAGGCCTAATCTTGCATTTTTCGCAACGACGAAGGACTAGCAGACGGAAAGATCTGGCTGGCCGTTCAAGGCTTCGCTTCGAGGTTGAGCCGGCGGCAGGGCAGCAACCTGCCCTCTTCTGCCACGGTTGCTTCTTCCGCCGTTGCTGCCATCGCAAGATCGTATGATTGTCCCGTTAGGTAGCCCCTCCTCCAACTTTTTCCGGCCTCTCTTCCGTCGCACCGCCATCCACCAGAGCAGAGCAAGGTCACCTTCGTCACCCCTGCCTGTACTTTATTCAAATAGTGTGCTTACAGCCCCCCCGGCATTCCATGTCTCTACCAGTGTCATGGAAGTTTCCTTTAAGCGTTGCCTGGCCTATAGCTCACCTTGATCCTGCTTGCAATTCCGGTAACAGTCGGCCAACGGCCATGTATGGAGGGAGGCAGACCTTTTCGCGCATGCGTGCATACATATTGCATCGTGCATGCGCCGGGCGAGACCACAAAACAGCGGGCCCCGTATGCATTACTCCACAACTCTATTCCTATGCTATGCCATGCTCTCCAGACCTTCGTCTCTCCCACAGCGGCCATGTTGGATGCCCGTTTCCATCTGCGCAGCTCGTGCACTCTTGGCACTGCACATCCACGTACACCCTGCGACTGATGAGCTCGTCTTCCGTCTCTCCCCGTGCCTGCTCCCGTACCCACCTTCCCGACCGGTCGCCCTCGTTACGTCAAGAGAGAAAAAAAAGAGAAGCACGGAAGATGTCTCCGGCAGGCCTTCTCCGTCCCAGCTCGCCGGTCCTGCACATCGCAACCAGGGCCGAATCAGAGGACAATGGGAAAGTTGAAATTTAAATGTGGATACTGTGGGTAAAGCCTCATGTCACTCTCTACTTAAGCGCTGTGGCGGAGCGGATCACTGCCTTTCCCTTCTCTCTTGGCGCGCTGCTCGAAAAGGGACGGGGGCTCCGAAGCTCCTTGGCGACCTTTGCCACCTGCGATCTATCCATAGAAGCAGCAGACAGGGGGGGCGAAAGGAAGAGGGAGAGAAAACAGTTGAGATGAAATCTCGAGAGAAGTTCTGTGCTCTTTTTCTCCCAGTCCAAAGCCAACTGCACGGGCATCATGGCAGTTGCAGCGTGCAGCTCCAAAAGTTCTCGCTGCCCGCATCCTCAAACCGAATCTGGCGGATGTACGATTAGGTAGACTCCGGGGACGAAGGAGCAACAAGCTTGATCTCGATCGAGGGGCGCTTTGTCTCGATCAGTGGGGGATGGGGATAGGAGGGGACGAAGAAAGAGGGCAGGGAAGCGGTATTTCCCGGAATGATGATCTCCCGCGAGATTTACTGTGGGGAGGCGGTATAGCAACCCGAGGTCTAGAATATCGAGGGCCGTTGGGACTCGCTGTTGGCCCTTTCCCTCTCCCTCAGCACGTTGCAGGCGGCAATTGCCGAAGTCGTCCTTATGGAGAAAGGCAAATCGTGAGTCAACAAGGGTGACCGGTGACGAGGGGAGCGTGCGTTATGCAAAGACCTGGATTATGTTTTTTCTCACGCACGGCAGCAAGCAGCATTCGACTTTCTGCTTGTGCACGGCGCTTGAGTGTGCCACTGTTGTACGATGAGGTTGGTTTGGTGAGGCGTTGTTCATGGATCCTCTGTCTGCGGTGCGTGGCTTCAACCACGGAGAGCAAGCAAACATTCACTTGAAACGAACGTGCACTGAGGAAATGTACCATTTCGAGCAGGCGATTACGTTAATCAGTCAACCATCGATCGCTTTCTGTGAGTATATCTGCTCCACAAGCGAGAATCCCATCGCTACACGTGTGGACAGGCAGATCGGTCGGTTAGCCCAATGGCTTTGAAGGTTCCCGCTTAAGGCATCAGTAGAGAGAAGCATGTATTCCGCATCAGGAAAATTAGTCACTCAACAAAGCTGCGCCTTTCGGGTTGTATAAGCAGCTCCTACACGCCCACTGTTCAGCCTCTTTGTCCCACTGTGGCGTAAGCGCGCCCCCTCTTCGGATGCCTCGTCGAGCTCGTCTTCGACGGCGGGAGTGGCGGGGCGACCCGACTTCGCCCTAGGAATGGGTTCCGTCGGATCGAAGATCCCGGCCGGGGCCTTGAGACCAGCTTTCCTGAGCTTGTCAACTCCAGCCTTGTACGGCTGAAGACGCGGGTGGGTGTCAGACTGTTGGTCCGGGAGAACGGCCTGGTGGCCAGCGCGGTACCTGGCGAACTGGGCTTGTTGCTCCTTGGAAGCCAGCATATCTCCATCCCATCTCTCGTAATCTAGCTGGAATGGGTGTTCCGACAGGTTGACGGAGGGGCTTGTGTTTAAGGGGTGCCCGGTGTCATCCATGGTTGGGTCCGCAAATGTGCACAGGTTGTCAACGATGTACAATAGGTCCTCTCTTAGTTGGAGTTGAAGAGCTTCCTGCTGTTGGAGTGGCGGAGGTTCGAAGCGGCGCCTGGGAGTGTGGAGATTCGATGAGGCAGTCACACCCCGCTGCGGCCTGCTGCACCCCGCCACGCTTTGTTGGGGCAGCCGCCATGTGCTGAGGCAGTTGCGATACGCTGAGGTAGTCACGACCCGCTGCGGTCTGAAGCGAGCGCTTGTTTCTCATTGGTTGCGCTCTTAGAAAAGCTTGGATTGATTGAATCGAGTTACTGGAAGTTCTACATGAATCCCCATTGATTGTACTCTTCAAGACCCGCCACGCCTCGCTACAGCCATCCGTCTCTGTATTCCTCCTTAACCTTATTCAATGCCTCGACTTGTCAGGTCTCCAGACCAAATCCCCGTGTTGATATCACCTTGGCTTTGTTGGTCCATGTCCAGGAAAACTTCCACCTGACTCTCCTTGCTTTCCGTAGCCAAGCGGAACGTGTAGCATACCGCCTCCCGTTGAGAAACACGATAGCAACGACTTGCGAATGGTTGATCACGGATCGCTGAATACCCGAGAACGAGGAAGACCAGCCGATAGGCTCGGTCCAGTGTGAAACCCACAGCGCCTTTGCGTGTGTCGACGACAGTGAAGCGGGATTGCGGGCGAGCTTCCGTCTTGAAAAACTTCAATCGCTGCGTTTCTCTTGTCTCCGCCCCTCACGCCTGGCTTCGACGGGTTATCGGCGTTCAACACCTGGACAGCAGTGCACCCGTTTTTTTTTTTGTCTTGGGCCTTCGGCGACGGTGGCATTGATGAGTGTGTTCGATGATCCTAAGACGAACTTGTCTTGGGTGGTGTCTGCGCCAATAAGCCTGAACAATGCTTTCATGCTACTTGAACTGTCAAGTAGAGCGTCGAAGTTGACGCTCACTGGCGAGGTATTAAGTTCCTTCTTATTGTAGTACGGATCCTCTTCTCCGTCTCGATCCCACATCTTGTACCGGCTGTTCTCCAACAACTCCTTTTGAGTTCCTTCGAAGCCTTTCCATTCAGGCTTTTGCAGCTCCTCTGCTAGATGCGAGAACCCTTGTAGAGTTAGCGCGAGACTAGTCTCGTTGGTTATCAGATCGCTCTCTTTCAGAATGAAGCGCTTGCTGTTCTGCGCTGACTGCTAAGCACGGGGCTTCTTCATGCTTTGGACAGCCGCTTTTGACCTTTCTCTTTGCGCCTTCTCTTGCTTCTTGACGAACTCTGTGATGGTGTCGGAGTATTTTGGTAGAACCTACAGGGAATGACGAAGTGTTTGTGAAGAGGAACTTCGACAGCAAAGTTACCATCATACCAGATCATTTTTGTGCTTCTGGCAATGCATACTAGCCCCAATACATTGTAAAACCTCTCGTGATGGTTTCTCTGATCCCGTTCTGTGTGGTGGCTTTTGAATATCTCCTTGTAAAGGTCAAGGAATCTGGCCAAGGAGCGCTCATGTAGGATTTTTGGGAGAGTGTTGTTCGTTGCCCTTTCCCGGAGTGGCCTAACCAGTGACTCTGGCCCTTTAGGCATCGGAGTCTGGACACGAATAAGAACAAGGGCTGTAAATCTACGTGAAGGCAAGAGTCATTTGATTTGATGCGGTTCAGTAGTTTCCATAAAGGGGTCCCTTCTACATGGGCTTAGATGCCATTCATCTATACTGACGATTCCAAAGACCACGTTTTTAGCAAAGCCTGTCTTGAGGAGTTTGGAATACATTGAGCCTTGCGTGGTGACAAATGCGTAATGACCGCTCTTGTCTTTGCTGAGGACTTCCAAAGGGGCGATGTCGTGTTTGACCGTCCACTCGTTACCAAGATCGCACTTGTCCCGTTTCGTGGAAATCACCATTTGGCTGGAGTCGAACCTGAGTCGTAATCAACGTCGTGGCAATCCTCCAAAGTCGCGAGTACACAAGGACACTCAAATGGACAAGCCTTTCCTTTCGACTCTGGCTTGGTGTAGAAATATCTACGCTAATGCTATTAAAGACATCAGGAAAGAACTGATGGAGGCTAGATGCCGATGCTGAGCTCACTCAAACATCAGGCATGGACGATGGAATGAAGTGGTTGGTGCCCAGGGCTGTGCTATCTCTCATGGAAGCGATGCGGATTCCTCCGGGTAGGACTACTGCGCAGGGTTGCCGGATGCGGGCGTAGAAGAATGCTTGGTTGCACCGGAAAAGATGATGCATTATTTCACACTGAGAGATAACGGGATTGAAGTGACCGCATCCGTCTATATGCCTAATCAGATCAAAGGTCAGCTGCACTTTTTACCAACAGCCAATGCAGCTCAGGCGGAGGATAAGGTAACAGGCTATTGTTTCGCCACCTCCGAATGTGAACCGCGGCAGGTCCGTAAGCAGTGCGCTGACAGACTCGAGCCCATATCATAGTGTGCACGGGCTTCGAAGCATCCCTCTCCCCAGCATCGATGCGTGGCGTTCCTTCTGGCATGCAACGTCGGCGGCCTCCATCATGACGCAGTGGCTGCAAAGCGGCTGGGCCGAGGGTGATTTTCTAGCGGGACTGGGCCATCGAGGACAGCCGGCGCGGTGCAAGAGCGGTGCAAGAGCGGTGGAAGGGTGGCGGAGAGATAGCTCGGATATATGCATGCGGTCTTGCCACATAGCGACGGGCGATTGAGGTCGGCGTAGTAGAGAAGACTAGAAGTGCTGATTAGCGATAGCGAGATGCAGCAGACGCACCGGCCTGGAATAGAATCGGGCAGCGTGGCCAGGGCAGCACGGGCTTGAAAATGCCGCATGCCGCATGCCGCATGCCGTCAGCATGTATACAGCGCGCGCTACGGGGCAAATGGTGTGGAGTCGAGGGGTTTGACTTGCCGCCTTGTGGGTAGGGGACGAGAAGGCGCGAAACCGGCGGGCTGGGAATCCGGGGAGGAAGGAGGCTAAGCGACGTGACTGGCAGCTGCGAACCACGCGGAGAAAACCATCACCAAACCCTATCACGCCCCCATCTCGGCGCCGACGACAGCAGCCACGACCATGGCCAGCCTCTCCCCTACGTCAGGCCCTCCGCAATGCCCAAGAACGCGGCCAGTCTCTCGGCCAGGACAAAACTGGCAATCCGGCACGGCCGCATGTCCCGCTGGGGACAAGCCGTGAAAGGTCTACCGTGGTGGACAGACGGGCTCCACTTGACCCCACGCCCCAGCCAAAGAACCCCGTGGGCAGCCGCGCACTGAGGGACGTCGAGGCCCGAGGAAGACCCACCTCGGACATTGCCGACACACTTTCTCGCCATCGCCGTTGTCAGCACCGCGACCACTCCACAGCCTGCAGCCAGCTGCTAGCCCTGCCCCGGAGCACGCGTGTGGCTTTGGGCTTAGCGACGCCGCTGTTCCACCGCCAAGAGCGTCGCCGGCAGAGTGAAGGCGGGCCATGATGGCGGCCGCTTCTGCTTTTTGCCCAGAGTCGCAGAGTCGGCGCCCGAGTCGCGCGGCGAGTCGTGCCGGCGCTCAACCGCGTCATTCACCCAGCGGCAGTTGTAGCCTCAAGACGCCGCGAGGCCTTGTCCCGTTGCTTGTGCCGCGAAGCATCCCCAAGAGAAGTCTTAGTGCGACCGGGGTTCTGCGCCACCGCCCTCCCCGAATCCGCCCAAAACACAACCTGCGCTCTCATCATCAGCCGCACTTGCAGCGCATCCGACGCCGGGCGCAAACGGCGCGAATGCGGGAAGGCGTTCTGGGCGCTGTGCAACCCGCCGCCACATGCGGCGACGCGGGGGACGAGGCGCGGCAGAAAGGGAGTGAAGAGTGCTACCTTCTGCGGCTCAGCGCATCCAGCCGCGAGCCCTGGCCTGAGGCGTCCCAGCCGCCCTCTGGTTGGTGTAACGCGGTGGAGTCCTGACCGGACCTGTGATCGGCCTGCGGGGCCCCAGCCGCGCTACAGTGGCTTCAGGTCTAGGTGTGGCCAAGCGTAGGGATGATGGGCGTCGACACACTGCAACAGCCCGGCTCATTTCATTTGGCCGTCGACGCCGCTTGCGCTCTCCCGCGTGCCCTCGCCCTTTGCTCTTGATCCTGCGAGCGAGGGCCCAGCCCAGATACGGCCAATCCGGACGTCAATCACTTGAGACTCCCAAGGCCCGAGCTGCCAGCACCCGGCCATACGCACCAGATTTGCCGTAACGCACACTCCGCTCCGGGTTAGACAGCCAGCCAGCTGCGTTGAGACGCCATGGAATCCTTGCGATAAGCCATTCCCGCCCCATGTAACCATGCCCATGTCCTCTGTACCGTGTGGTGCGACGGGTATTTATGCCAGGCTCGTCAGCACGCCCTGGTTGAAGTCGTGCTCCTCTTCACTTCGTGGTCTCCGAGCTGACGACGGGGAAGCCTCTCTCCTCTCACACACGCTTGCCTTTCACCGAGCAAGTGTTCTTTGAGGCAGAAGCACGTGGTCTCCTTCTTTGTTTGCTCAATCCACCTCCGTGCAGAAACAAATCTCTTTTCTCCCGTTCTCGCTCGCCAAAGTCTCACGCACCCACACACACACACCATTGTCAGGCCCACCCTGAACAATACCTGGAAGACGAGACACCATACCCAGTGCCGCCGCCATCCACGTCGCCACTTCCCACTAGTCACCCGCCATGTTGGACATCGACAGCAAGATGAATGGCGAGAAGTCGGCCACCGAGCACATCGACGCCACCGAGAAGGCTTCCGACGATGTCAACCTTAACAGCAATATCGAGGCCAAGTAAGCTCCGGACAATCAAATACCTTATACGCAGGCGAAGTGACGTTGCTGACGTACCTGTACAAAGGATCAAGAACCCGCTTGCCGGTATCCCCAAAGAGACGCTTCTCTACCAGGTCGAAGAATTTGCCAAAGAACATGACATGACCGACAGGCTCGCCCTGCTGCAGCGCGGCGCGCTCGTAGCTCAGGACCCGGCCGAATTCGAATCCGTGGAGGGCATGTCCTCGGACGAGCTCGAAGCTCTTCGCAACGAGGTGACGCACAAGTGGCGCCAGCCGAAGGCTCTGTACTTCACTGTCATCCTCTGTTCTGTTGGGGCGGCTGTCCAAGGCTGGGATCAGACGGGCTCCAACGGCGCCAACCTCTCGTTCCCGGTAGCCTTTGGCATTTCTGATGCCGAGTACCTGGACGATGCTGAGACGATTCCAAACCCCGACTACGCCACCAACCTCTGGTTGGTCGGTATCATTAACGCCGCACCATACCTAGCGTCGGCGTTCTTGGGCTGTTGGTTGAGTGACCCGCTCAACAACTACTTCGGTCGTCGTGGTACCATCTTCTTCTCGGCGATTTTCTGTTTCCTTTCTGTCATCGGCTCCGGCTGCTCTCAAACCTGGCCTCAGCTGTTCGTCACTCGTCTGCTCCTGGGTATTGGCATGGGGTCCAAGGCCTCGACCGTTCCAATCTATGCCGCGGAGAATGTGCCCGCCGCCATCCGTGGCGGTCTCGTCATGTCTTGGCAGATGTGGACTGCGTTCGGTATCTTCCTCGGCTTCTGCGCAAATCTGGCGGTCTACAATACCGGCGCCATTGCCTGGCGTCTGCAGTTGGGCAGCGCCTTCATCCCTGCGGTGCCACTCGTTGTCGGCATTTACTTCTGCCCCGAGTCTCCTCGTTGGCTGATGAAGAAGGGCCGCTATGCTAAAGCGTATCAGAGCCTGTGCCGCCTGCGTAATACTCCTCTCCAGGCCGCCCGCGACCTCTACTACGTGCATGCCCAGCTGTCGGTCGAGTCCGATATCATCGGCAAGTCCAACTACGTCACCCGCTTCATTGAGCTCTTCACCATCCCACGCGTCCGCCGCGCTACGCTCGCCTCGTTTGTCGTCATGCTTGCCCAGCAGATGTGCGGTATCAACATTATTGCTTTCTACAGTTCCACGGTCTTTAAAGCTGCTGGGGCCAGCCGCTTGGAGGCTCTTCTCGCCTCCTGGGGCTTCGGCCTAACCAACTTTGTTTTTGCCTTCCCGGCCCTATGGACGATTGATACTTTCGGCAGACGTAACCTGCTGCTGTTCACATTCCCGCAGATGGCGTGGACGCTGCTCGCGGCTGGCCTGTGCTTCCTGATTCCGGCCAGCAGCCCAGCGCACCTAGGCCTAGTAGCAATGTTCGTTTTTCTCTTTGCCGCGTTCTACTCGCCTGGAGAAGGCCCGGTGCCATTCACGTACTCGGCGGAGGTCTTCCCCTTGTCCCACCGTGAGGTTGGCATGTCCTGGTGAGTTTTTCCACTAATCGTACCACTACCCAAAACGGTATTCGCTGACGATATTCCTTGTCCAGGGCCGTCGCAACCTGCCTCTTCTGGGCCGCCATCCTGTCAATCACCTTCCCGCGCATGCTCGCCGTCATGTCCGTCACCGGTGCCTTCGGCTTCTACGCCGGCCTCAACCTCACAGCGCTTGTCATGATATTCCTGTGGGTACCTGAGACCAAGCAACGCACGCTGGAAGAGCTCGATTACGTCTTCGGCGTTCCAACCCGCAAGCACATGAGCTACCAGATTACCAAGACTCTGCCATACTTCATCAAGCGCTGGGTCCTGCTCAACAAGAACGCCACGCTTGAGCCCTTGTACCAATTCGACGCGCACTTGGCTAGCGATCAGGCAAGGAGCAAGAGCGTGAGCAACTAGGTGGTGCGGGTGAAAGTGCCCTTTATGGATTACTTGGGTGGGGGGGTTCAGAATGCTCGGTAGAGAGGCGGTGTGATATCCACAGATGGTAGACCATCTTTTTCGGTGCGTCTGAGAGCAAAACATGGACTGTCTCTTACGAGGAACGTCTGCAATGACTTTATGAGCATATACCATTGCCCGGCCCTCTGCTCGAGCGCACGGGGAATGGAAAACGTAGTTTAGATAATTCTAGTCGACTTTCAACGAGCACGGGCTTCTGAATGAACCTGTTGTGATCAAGTGTGTCGTGATAGCTGTGCACACCAAAACGATGGTTACAGCAACGCTTTCGTTGAGTGGTGGTGATGTCGCTGGGGGATTACGTTCATGCTAAATGAGAGCCGGAAAACCCCCGGGTCCTCAACTGGGTCTAGCGCGTAAGTATAAACTGGCCATTCTATTTCGCCTCAGCGCAATATCGCGACTACTGCCTCAACAGGGCGCGGCAAGATGCAGCTGGTTGCGTCGGGGTGTGACTGCCTCGTCGAAAATCCACACCAACCCAGCATCAAATATCATCCCCAAGTCCCATCTCCGGTGTTAAACTCCAGCCTCATACCATCTACTCAATGACACGCTTGCTGCGAAGCTGCTGCAGATGATCACTATATCTGACAGCTGCTTGGATCCTGGCTTTCCTGAGCATGTCCAAATGCGTATCACCCTGACACTTGAGCATTGTGGTGGCTGATTGTGTCGTTGTTCATGGGTCGGCGAAAGTTTCGGTGTGTATGTATTGAGTGCGACCGTATGGGGCGGCAAGCAGCATTCGACTTTCTGCTTGTGCATGGCGCTTGAGTGTGTGCCATTGTTGTACGATGAGGTTGGTTTAGTGAGGCGTTGTTCATGGATCCTTTGTCTGTGATGGGTGGCTTCAATCATCGAGGGCGAATCGGTTCTTTACGACGATTCACGCACGTATCACAACAAAACAACACAGGATGAAAGAGGCCGCCAGCGAACGATCACGCAAGGGGATCTTTGGGAGGTAGAAGCCATGCTTCAAGAACACAACTATGCGCGCTTTGTGACATGGGACCAGCTGGCGGAGGAGTGCGTGCCACCAGCCCGTCTTCTTCTTATTTCCACCTTGACCCTAGGCAAGTCAAGCCTACTGTGTTATGGGAGGGCATCCCCCGCCCGCTTCCCTGACACCTTATTAGCCTCGAGGCGAATATCTGGCCGCAGATGCAGGTGTTGAAGCTATACAAATACATCCGCATATAAGGTTCCACTACACGCATGAGTTAGATGTAGGTGGGTCGAGTCATGTTGCAACTCGCTGTGCATTTACTACTGCTGGAGCTTGGATTCACAAGCAGTGCTTTTGGGGCAGATGGGGGTTTGCCACTGCCGTTCGTTCGCATGACGGCGCCAAAGGAAAGTAAAAACAAAGCAGGGACCGCTTGAGCTCATTTGGCTGGAGAAGCCCGAGCCCCGAGCCATCTTTTAAGCTTTTCCAGAACCTCCGCTAGAAAAAAAAAATTGACCGTACCAGAGCCCCTGACTCGTGTGCCGCGAGGGGCGTGAGGAGGCGAGAGAAATTAGAGGCCGCGGCACCACATGGCCAAGGAGGCGCGATAGACTCCAGCCGCGTATCTGAGAGGCGCTAGCAATTCAGATAGGACACTATTGGCCCAGGGAAGCAGATGACTCGAGCGCTCATTCATCACTTGATATACGTAGTATTAGAGACTCGTATCCAACGCTGCTCGCAAAATGTCATGGGCGCCGTTGCTCAGACCTGGCAAACAGTTCCCTCCCAGCCGACGAACCTACTAGAGCCGCCCGATGAGGAAAATGCTCAAATGCCGAAATCCACACGCAATTGGAAGCTTCGAATCCACCAAATGACTCGTGGTCTATCAGCTCAACCGGAAATCGGCGCCGCATATGCTCATCAAATGCTTGTGCGTTCGGTGCTCGGACCCTATATGAAGTCCCAACACCCCCGGTCTTCCTTCTAGCATTTCCGATGTGCTTGTAGATCTCCTCAGCATGGTAATTACCTAACTCAATCCGCACCTCCGTCATATCGGACATGAATCACGCGTCGTTCTGAAGCTGCTTCTCGATGTTTTCAAGCTCTTCGGCATCAGAAATCTCAATGATGCGATTGACCTCCGCCGTGTTGCGCATCAGCTCCTTAGCGCTGGCGTAGAGCATCTTCATTTCCGAGTTGCAGGTTGTGGGCAGGTGGTAGATCATAACGTATGGGACGGAGAGACGGCCGGATTCCTGAAGTTGGACAGAATTACGTCAGTCGCCAAGTCGCTGACAGCTTCGGGGCCCCCAGGTGGCCATATCGATAAGGCGTGCGATAAGAGCGAGTAGAGCGGGAGGTCTCACAAGAGTCATGGGATAGCTGAGCAGCACGAAGCGCGGCGTGTTGTCAGGCAGCTCGTCGGCAATGTCCTGCAGATTGGTGTAGACCTCATTGTCCGACTGGTGGATCTCGAGCGTCTTCTTGTCGATCTGGTCTGCGTGCGGGAGAGGAAAGATCCATGTCTCAGCGAGGGTCGTCGTGCGCCGCGGTGGGGCAGCAGGGGTCAGAATAGGAGAGGAGGGCAGGAGCTCTCGGGCTCAGGAGAACGGCGAAGCTTGCGTACAGATGACAGCTTGGGGGTCCTTTGCGCGCGAAGTGCCGAGGCGGAACTTGCGCAGCTTTTCCTTGGTCTCGGGCGAGAAGGTGAAGAGGCGAGCTTCGGAGGACTGTTGGTGAACGGCGCGTCGTGTAAGCGAGATCAGTGCCGCTTGGACAAGGAGATCATGATATGCCACTGACCATGGTGTTGCCTGTTTCTGGCGGGACAAGCCTCGAGCAGAAAGGGGGGGAGCTGCGGGTGGTGCGGTAGGGCTGGCGCTGACGTCGGGGAAGAGGTCAAGCCTCGAGGGGCAGCTTTGGTGGTGGTGGTGACGCGCTCCGGCGCCGATGCGGGGCGGCCCACAGCCTGACTCGCCGCGCGCCCGCCAGCGCGTGTGCGTGGGTACCTACTGGAGCATCGCGCCTGAGAGCCAGACCTGTAGCCGCTGGATTCCGCGAGACGTCGCCCTTTGCACCGCACGCCGCTGCTCCCAATCCATGTTCGGACGCTTGAACCAGCTTGCGCGACACCTCACCCGCCCGCTCCCCAGCTACGCGCACCGCTCCGCAGCTGCCCCTCCGAAGACCGGCCTCGTGAGCCAGATACAGACGTCATCAGCCATGGCTGCGACGAACGCGCAGGGCAAGAGCATGATCCACACGGCGGCGTGTCTCATCATCGGAGACGAGGTGCTCGGAGGCAAGGTGAGCATCACTTTGCACTGGGCGTCCGCTGAGCGCTGCTGAGACGACGCTGTGCAGACGGTCGACACCAACTCGGCCTACTTGGCCAAATACTGCTTCAAGCTGGGCATCGCACTCAAGCGCATCGAAGTCATCGCCGACGACGAGGACGAGATCATCGAGGCCGCCCGGCGCATGTCCACGAACTATGACTTTGTGGTCACCTCTGGCGGCATAGGCCCGACGTGGGTAGCTTGAAGAAACAGACATGGTGCTGTTGAAAGGCTAACGGCGCGCAGGCACGACGACATCACGTACCAATCGATAGCCAAGGCCTTCGGGCTCCCGCTGGTGCTGCATGAAGAAGCATTCGAGCGCATGAAACGGCTGTCGAAGCCGCATCCCTCGCAGCCGAACTTCAGCTGGGATGTGCCCTCGCCGGCGCTTACGGCGAAGAAGCGCATGGTGGAACTGCCCATCGACGAGAGCAAGGACCTGGGCGAGCAGGCCGTGTTTGTGGACGACTCGCTGTGGGTGCCCATCAGCGTGGTCAACGGAAACATTCACATCCTGCCCGGGGTCCCGAGGCTGTTTGAGAAACTACTTGAGTCGCTGAAGCCGCTACTGCTGCCGCGGCTGACGGACCCGGAAGGCAAGGGCGTGTATAGGATCATCATCTCCACGCCAATGGCGGAGAGCGCAGTCGCGCCGTTCCTGACGGAGCTGGCGCAGCGAGTGGAGCCGAGGGGCGTCAAGGTCGGCTCTTATCCCCGGTGGGGCAAGGCGCACAACTCGGTGACGCTCGTGGGACGCGACCGGGCGTACATGGAGAGCCTGGTGCCCGAGGTCGAGAAGGAGGTGCAGGGCAAGCGGGTGTCGGTCGAGGGCGAGGACGACGGGCCGGAGAGCGAGGCGACCAGGCCGGCAGGCAGCTAGAGGGCGCCGAGTGCGCGTGAGATGACGGACGGGGTGATTACGAATGGATTTCTGGCGCCGTAAGGCTGCTTCTAGGAGAATTGCCATTTGTTCGAGAAGGTGTGACAGGGCGCCCGCGCACGACCCCGGACGGCGCAGCGCCAAGCGACAGGCGTGCCAGACCAGCGTTCCCAGCGTTCCCTCGTCGGGCACGCCCCGTGCGAATGGGAAGACGGCGGAGCAGCGAAGCTTCGTCGCGCGTGGGCGCGGAGGGTGCAGCGCGCGTCGATAAGAGCAGCGGGCATTAGGTAACGCAGCGCGGAGGGTTTGGTCTCCAGTGCCAACGAGGATGTCCCTGGGCGTGATGCGGGCGGCATACTGCAGCGTAGCGCGCATGCAGATAGCCCAACGTGACCTGCACTCTGGCGCGGGCTCCGCACAACTCTGCCAGCAGTGCGGCGCGAACCGGGCAGGCGGCAGGCGAGCGCGCAGCAATGGCTGGCGACGGCGATCGGGCGAGCGCCGGGGCGCGGGCGCGGGCTAGCGCTGGCAGCAGTGGGTGAGTGGGTGCCAGGTGCGTCGGACATGCCTGGCAGCGAGAGATTGCTTTTCCCGCGTGGCGGGCTGGCGCGAGGCGTGCGCAGGCGAGGGCCGCCAGGCTTGGGCGCTGGCCGAGGGCAGCGCGGTGGCAGCGCGGCGGCAGCGCGGTGGCAGGGCAATGGCGGGCGGGCTGGCGGGCTGGCGGGCTGGCGGGCGCAGACTGCGCAGCACTCTGCTGCGGGCGGCGGGCGGTTATGCCTGCTGCGCTGCGAGGCGCGCCGTGCCTGAACCCTGGCGCTGAGGGGTGGTGTCTCTTATCGAATTGGAGCGCAGCTTGCCGAGTCGCTCTGGGAGGGAAAAGCGAAGCACTGGGCTGCGGTGTAGGCCCGGGCCATCAATCAGAGAACATCGACAAAGACCCCCCGAGCTCGACCACCTCCCGTCCAACACCACCGCCGCCATCCACTCCCTCCCATCACCCTCTCCGTGCTCTCTCCACGCACACCACCACCGCCGCCCAGCGCGACCCCCCCAGAGTCCCGCCACGTGCCGCAGCAGCGCAAGCTCCTCGTGTCGCCCTCCTTCCGCTCTTTTGTTTAGCGCTCTCCTCCCCCGAGCCGCAGCCAGCCCTTTAGCGAAACAGGCGCCCGGAGTCCGCACCACCGCGTTCCTCCATCCCCCCCAGCACACACGATGGCCTCCAAGGTGCGCCGCCGCGAGCCCCCCCTGACGTGCAAGCGACCCCAATGGCTGACCCCGACGCAGTTTCTCCGAGAATACAAGCTGGTAGTGGTCGGCGGCGGAGGCGTGGGTAAATCCTGCTTGACCATCCAGCTGATCCAGAGCCACTTCGTCGACGAGTACGACCCGACCATTGAAGGTGCGTCCGCCCCCTGGCCCGGCCCGCCGCCTTTGTGACTGACGCCCGGCCCGCAGACTCGTACCGCAAGCAGTGCGTCGTTGACGAGGAGGTTGCCCTGCTCGATGTGCTCGATACCGCCGGCCAGGAGGAGTACTCGGCGATGCGCGAGCAGTACATGCGGACCGGCGAGGGCTTCCTGCTCGTCTACTCGATAACCTCGCGGCAGTCGTTTGAAGAAATCATGACGTTCCAGCAGCAGATTCTGCGTGTCAAGGACAAGGACTACTTCCCCATCATCGTTGTCGGCAACAAGTGCGATTTGGAGGCGGAGAGGCAGGTTTCGACACAAGGTTAGTCCCCCAAGTCTTCTCGCCCAAAGGGGGGGCCCGAGCGCTGATCGTCACCGCTATTACCAGAGGGTCAAAACTTGGCGAAGCAATTCGGGTGCAAGTTCGTTGAGACGTCGGCGAAATCCCGCATCAACGTCGACAATGCTTTCTACGACCTCGTCAGGGAGATCAGGAGATACAACAGGGAAATGTCGTCGTACGGCTCAGGCGCCCCTGCCGCTGGGGGTAACGGCCCGTCGGGCAAGATGGAGATGGACGGTGAGGCGGAGAGCAAAGGCTGCTGCTGCACTGTCATGTAATAACGGCCTGTCCGCGAAGCGCCGTCATCACGTCGCACCGCCAGTTTGGTTTGATTTGGGGTGAAAGAGTTGGGGCAGGTGAACAATATCCTTTTTTTGCATTGGCTGCCGCCGGGGAGATTTAATGATGTGGTAGCCGCCACAGGGTCATGGATGCATGCTTTTCCAAGCACTACTACCTTTTTGTTCGATTTTCTGCCCGGAGCACGGTTGGGAGGAGAAGAGACGAGCGAAAATCCCCTTTTGACAACACTCTTATTGGCAGTTTAACTTTTTTTTACCTTGGTACGGATGGAAGGGATTACGAATGGTTTTTATTTCCCTTACCTCTGTTACTCTTTTTTTTTTCTTCTTCACCCGCTTGTCTCTAATCCTTTTGGACCAGGCTTCAATGCCAAACTACGGCTTAGCAAGCCCATTAGTCATTTTTCTTCGTCCACAAGCGGGTTTCTTATGTGGCTCCTGCTTCCTTTTCTGTCTACTTTTTTTTTGTTTTCCCCTGTCTTCCTGACTCCCCGGCACCAATGTATCCCCTCGCTCTGGGAGTTGCTGCGCCAATTGTCGTTGAAGGGGAGGAGGAGAGAAGGCATGGACTCACGGCCAACGACGACCAACGGCCGCCTCAACGCTGCAAGCAGCGTCGAAAGGCGACATGTCGACCCGCTCACGCAGGAACAAGCGATGCCAGGTTCTCTCCATTAGCACGGCTGGGATGACGGAGTTCAGATTTCCTTGTTTCTTGTTATTTCCTCTTTCCTTGGGAGCTCGAAAAAGCACGTCGTTCGCCACACACACACACACACACACACACACACACACACACACACACACACACACACAAGCAAAGGCACACGCAGAGTTGCGAGCGTTGTTGTATTCCCCATCAAAGCATATTCCCTCAAACGCTTTCCTCTCAAGTCATGGGTGTGTGGGATTGGCGCCCAGTCTCGCTCGAAATTGTGGGAGTTTGATGTTGTACCATCTGGGGCCGTTTGATAAGGTGGTTTTCCTTGATAGTTGCCTGTACGTAGTGTGTGCTTTCGGTCGCTACCGCACAACCATATCGTCCACCGTTATGCTAGACTAGTGCTCAATTGAAGAATCAAACCAAACGGCCAGGGACCAATCGTGCAGGCTGGTGGCTAGCGCCGACGGAGGCCGCTAGTTGCGCCCTCTTCCTTCGTCCCTGTCCATCTCTCGTGAGGAGCGGCCGAAGAAGTTTCTTTTTGTTCGTCTGCCGTTCCCCCTGCGCTTCCATCTTCCATCGGGTCGACTTGCTTATTCGGCCATCTTCCCGAGGCACCGTGCGGGTCTCAACGGCGGGTCCACGGTCTCAGCAGCTTCGACGTCGTCGGCAACGCGCCTGCTTGCGTCATAGGCTCGTACACGCAGCCGTTGTTTATTTTTTCTTCCGACACAACCTGCCCTCTGTGCCTCTCCTTTCCCGTCCGCCCAAGTGGACGAGCAAGAGGGCGGAAAACAAAAGTGGCGTGTTTGACGGGGCGTGCCCCCTCCCCTTTCGTCACGAGACCCGGCCACGGAGCGCACCCTTCT